GCAGCTTGATCTTTTTCTCGGTTGCCATTTTGAAAGGAAGACTACACAGCGCATAATGAAGCTAGACGCACTTATAGTTTTGAGTAAAGAGTCGTCCATAATGTATGTAAAGGTTTTACACGCTCATCATAATGAAGAGGAAGGTTTCACATGGTCTCAACAATGAAAGGGGAGCTTTCACACACTCACAATGAAAGGAGAGTTTTCCCACACTCACCACAATGAAAGGGGAGCTTTCCCACACTCACCACAATGAAAGGGGAGCTTTCACACACTCACAATGAAAGGAGAGTTTTCACACACTCATCAAAATGAAAGGGGAGCTTTCACACACTCACAATGAAAGGAGAGTTTTCACACACTCACCACAATGAAAGGGGAGCTTTCCCACACTCACCACAATGAAAGGGGAGCTTTCACACACTCACAATGAAAGGAGAGTTTTCCCACACTCACCACAATGAAAGGGGAGCTTTCACACACTCACAATGAAAGGAGAGTTTTCCCACACTCACCACAATGAAAGGGGAGCTTTCCCACACTCACCACAATGAAAGGGGAGCTTTCCCACACTCACAATGAAAGGAGAGTTTTCACACACTCATCAAAATGAAAGGAAGCTTTATGTATTTCAGCATCTCATTGCATCTACAGTGGTCATCAAAAGTCATTCAATGATTTTGAATTTTTAACATTCTCATTCCTTTTCTTCATTCTCATCTAGCATGTGGCTAGTATATTTGGGGTAGTGCATTTGTTCCCCACACCTCATGATTACTTTCATGTCTCATTCCTAATTATGACTTCATTGTGAAATAAAACCAATTTCAATTTGACCTGCCTATTGAATGACTTCTGCTGAATTTCAATGTTGATTGCAAAAAAAACTTTTTCACTTCTCTTTTTTCTACCAAGATTACCTTCAGCTATATCTTCATACACCTCTACTTACAATTAACATTCCACATCGTTTAGTATTTATTATGAGGACGCTTTCTATGGAAAAGGTACAAAATGCTCAGGCCTTACTTCGACAAGGGAAGTCTACAAGCGAAGTGGCAAGGCAACTTGGTATCTCTATTTCATCGGCAATAAGGATCAGGAGGGACGTCAAGGACAATATTCCTAAACCCAGAATGGACAGACCCTCATTGGTTTCCCCTGCTACCAAGAGGGTAATTGCACGCGAGGTTGATACGGGGAAACTTAGATCCATTCTGGCAGTTCAAGAATACATCAGATCGAGCCATGGAGTGCATGTCAGTGTAGAGACTGCCCGACGCTATGTAAAATCAGAGGGTTTGAAAAACTATGTCCGCCCATTCAAGCCTAGGCTGACAAAAATGCAGATTGCGAAAAGGAAAAATTTTGCCCTCAACCACCTTGACTGGACTATTTATACTGATAATTGATAGGGTTGGGGCTTGGCGTCTTGGCACTTGGGCTTGGCGTCTTGGCGCCTGGGGTGCGCGTGATAGTTGAGCCCTCCTCAAAGGTTTGAGTTCAGTATTGTATAACACGTTTGCATCCTTCCCGTCAAGAAAAGAAAAGAAAAAAAAATTGGTGGAAATAAAGAAAGCGAAGAGGAGAGGAGAAATAAATAAAATAATAAATAAAAAAAATTGATGTGGTGATGTCTGATTGGTTAAAATTACTGGTCACGCGGTTCATGCGGATCATGTGGATGAATGAATGGCGATGGAGCTGGTGAGTTCGTGTTGCATTCTTTCCTCATTCCTCTTTGCTCATTTCAAAAAAAGAAAAAAGTCTCCATGATGTCTTCACGCAAGGCTTCTCATCCAATGCCGCGTAAAGGTCGTGCTCCTTCTGGTGGCGTGTTTTCTGAAGTTGTATGTTGTATTGACACAGCGGTCGGCGGTACCAAGCTCCCAGGGTTCTTCAGATGACCCTGACGCCACACAGCCTTATTCTGTGCCTCAGGAGGAAGAGCTAGATACGAGGTTGGAATCGTCTCCACGTTTTTCACCTATAATCTTGGGGCCGATGATACCGAAGGAGGAGTATCCAGAGGTGGGCGGTTCGCCAACTGTGAGGGAAGCCAGAGATCGTGTGGAGTCGAGTACTCCAGCGACGTCGGGAGTGGAGGGGGCTGGGGTCCGTTTGGCTTCTGTAAGTTCGACGAGCGACAATGCACACTGGGAAGCTGTTGATGGAGAGGATGGTCATGAGAAGCCGGAGAGGCGACGGAAGAGGAGTCGTCATGAGGGACCGAGGCTGTCGATGATAAGGGAGTGTTCTTCGTTGGTAGCGTTTGAGTTTCGTGCATTGCAGACCCAGGATGTGAGTGTAGAAGAGCGAGCACGGGAACGTCGTCGATTGATGGAGGAAATGGCGGTTGTTACCATGCTGGAGTGGGCAGAGAAGGGAGGTAAAAGGAAGAGAGGAAGAGAGGAAAGGAGATAGTAAATGAAGAAAGGGAAAAAAAAGAAGAAAATAAAGAACAAGAAAAAAAAGAAACAGAGAAAAATAATTTTGGTGTTACTGTGAGCGTATATGCTAAAAAATAAATCATAAATAAGGTTGAAGTGAGTGAGTCATCAATTTTAGAATAACAAAAATATATAGCGAAAATGATATGGAATGATACATATGACCTTGTGAAATACTTTGATTCACCCCTGATCCTCAATTAAACCATTAGCCCTCGCCTCATTCCCCTCATTCCCCTCATTCCTGGCGCTCAACACAGGTTCTAGGACTAGTGTACTAGTTATACTCTAGTATAGGTACACCATATCGCTATATTTATGCCACCAAGAAAGCCAAGGACAACACACCCACTGTTTGCTAATGTCGCTAGAGCAAAGGCCATGGATAAATCTGGATATTATGAATACCATAACTCGTCATCTCCAAGTGCCACTGCCACTACTGTCATGCTTGATGATGATAATCCCCAAGGTAGTGCCATAGACAGTGCTGAATCTTCAAGCATGATTGGCGGGACCAAGAGAATCAATTATTTTGGACTAGACGAAGAAAGTTCCGACGAGGAAGTGGACGAGGAACGGCGACAAAGCATCATCAATGGAAAGCGAAAAGCAGATGAACAACTAGAGCCTCTGCCGAACCCAAACCATCGGGCTTTTATTCAGCTCCCACAACCAACTCTACTTGAAGGGCAGGATAGGAATCTCGATATCTCAGTAAAGATCGGTTTAAGAGAGCAAGGAGCAGTTACAAGAGCTTCGGCCATTGATCCGGAATTCAAGTCGCCTCAAAACAACAAAAGTCTAGAATCTAAAACAAAGGTGGAGTTCCGTGAGGCGCAGGCTATGGTACGTGCCCAAGGAGTGCGGGTAGATACTCTTCGAGACAGTAGTAAGAAGAGTTATGAACGATATATTCGACATTGGAAGGTACGTTAAAGCAATCAAATTTTACTATAAATTATCAGGAATAAATCAAGCAGTCAAGCCGTGAATTAACACTCTTCTGTTAGTCTTGGTGTTTCCGTAAAGGATATGGAGATGACTACAGGGTTCGATATGCAAAATTCCACGTATATATGGAGGAAAACTTGGCAGATGAGCCTTCCTTTGCGGAAAATCCTGAGGATTGTATTTTACCTATCCGTTGCAAATCAGTGAAGAAAAAGCCATCACCGCCATGCTATGAAACTGGAGATCGAGCACAGGATGTCAACGAATATCGCTCCAATTTGAATGGAAAGGCAGCTTCATTTGAACTGATTGATATGCATATAAAAGCCTGTGTGGATTTGTGGGAGCAGCAGATGGTCGATCCAGCCTTAGATATGAGTAATGAACGTCACCCACGATCAAAAGCGATTTGGACTAGGATGGATATTTATAGAAGGAAGATGAATATAGAGAAGGTTCCGCACAAAAGGCGAGTAGTGCTGGATCGGGGCGATGAACTGGAGGAAATTAAAGAAGTAATGAAAGCAGCGTGGATGAAATCAAAAGGCCAAATCCGAATTGGGCTTCGTGATAGGCTGGATGCGGCTTGGTCTCACTTTCTAATGGCCCGAGGCGAGAGCCTAAGATACGCCACTCTTGGCAACATTGAGGCCCATACATTTCGCCAAAAGGATCCGGCTGGACAATATTGCCTAGGTGTCATCCTCACAATGTTGCAAGGCAAGACAAACGACGGCAGCCATGAGATGTACGGGGTCGCTGTCAGAAATATAGATGTTGAGCTCTGTCCTGTTGGTGCCCTAGGGTTTTATTTTCTTGACCAATTTGAGGTAAATGCAGCTATTCGCTTATTTACAAAACTCTTTATATATACATACTATTTCAAAGGCCATCGTGCTAATAGTTTCTGTAGTTCCAGGGCGGGCCACCGGACTTCAACACTCTTGGTGAGGATTGGACGAAGCTTCATTTAATTCATGGTGGCGATAGCACTAAAAAATTTAGTCAATCTGGACATCATCAATCATCTTTCAAAGCGCAATCAGGAGCTGGAGTGGCTATACCAAACAAAGTAACTCATAGGTATCGTGGCTCTGGAGCTCGTCATGCTCAAGAGGCTGGTGCAGATGTCAGGTCGATTTCACAGCATGGTGGATGGTCAACTGAGCGTGTTATTACACATTACTTGAGCAGGATTTCTCCAAATGTTGCTTTGCGTATGGCTGGCTTTACAAACCACGATGAGCCATTTTGGCTACCTAGGAATACTTTCCTCCCACCAGCTGAGCTTCAGCGTGAGATCTTTCTATTCATCGAAAGTAGTTTTGGTGGACATCCTGACTGGAGAGCCATCGTTGAAAACGTTATGATGGACCGTAATCGTGGGTATGGTAGGCGTCCTGAGTCGAGGTTTAACCCTAGCAAATCAGAGCTAATATTATCACGCTTTCTTTTGCTGTTAGCTCACTTGCGAAAGGTGATTCTACAGGACGCTGTCGCCCTTTCTCAGACTCAGAATGATCCTGCGAGTAACTACATGATGCATCGTATATTTGGCCTTCCATTATTTAGGAGTTCATTGTACTCGGATTTTAAATCGAGACTTATGGAACGGATGATTACAGAGTCATCGCCTACCTCAGACAGCCTTCGCACTAATGCGCCAGCTATTCGTTCAGAGTTCCGAGCGATGAAAAATAAGCTTAATGACATTGATCGGAAGCTTGGGACGGAACTAGTCGGAGACTTCGAAGGAATGATGGAACGCCAACAGACTCTGTGGACACATGCGATTGGCAAGGCTTTTTAGAAAGCACCAATATGACGGTTCGGGAACTTGAGCGGGTTGGTTCGTCCATTAAGATGAGCGTAGCCCAAAGTCGCCAATTATTTTTTGAAACACTGAGCAGAGTAGCTCAAGAAGCAGGAAGAAAGGAGTACATAAAAGTACAACAGGAAAAGAGGCAACTAAAAACTAAAATACAACAACCTGCATTGCAAGGGATTCTGAGCAGGCTGTCGAGAGAAGTTCCATCATTTAGTAGCTCTGGCATTGATAACTTATCGCCACCTAGGGATCCAGAGGATTACCAGCAAGGGAGTGAGAGCGAGAGTGACGAAAGTGATAGTGGCCAGGAGAGCGAGCCGGTTGTTATTAACGAAACCGTTATTGCTGTTGATGATCATTTTCATGATGATCAAGATCTATGTGATCAATTTAACGAGGCACTTGGTACTAACGCACTGGATCAAAATTGGGAGGACCAAGATGGCCAAGAGGACCAGGAGGCTGGTCAAAATGCAGAAGGACAATGGCGATGGGATAACGAGAAAGAGCTAGAGAAAGAGCTTGGAATGCGCTTGTGCCCATATGTACCTGAATTTCACTACATGGAAATGGAACCAAGGGATAGGCCGATTCGTGATCTTTGGAAGGAGTGGTTTTATGGAAACGAAGAAAAATCTTCAATATGTCGTATGGAAATTGAACATGGCAGTAGATGGCGTCCTGGCAATGCCAAGGCTGCAGTATATTTATTCAAGAAGCGTCTAATCAACTCCGTTCTTAGAGAAATGATCAATGCGGAGCCCAATCTCACGGTGGAACAACGTATTTTTTATGCATTAGACAGCGTTCATTTAAAGATATCTCAAGCAGGATCAATTAATAAATATGAGAAATCTCTTCCAAAAGGCGCTCCAAAACGCCGCCGAGCTCCTGTACAAGAACCGGACCAGCAAGATCAGTTAGACCAGCAAGATCAGTTAGGCCAACAAGATGCATAGATAGACACTTGTAGTCACTTATTTAATGTTAATAAAAGAAGAATTTTGAATGAAGTTTGACTATTGTCTGTGGACAGCTGATATGGAATATATATAGCTGTTGCCTATTGTATTCAATTCAATCAGAATGGTGAGTACACTCGGTATTCCACATTTGTGCCGCGAAAAAGATGGACAAACGCCAAGTTATGCTCCAAAAATAGATCACGTGCTGCACGTGAAATATATTTATGATTCAGAAATTTTTATGACCCCAAATAAAAACATACTGTTGCATTTTTTGAAATTCCTCCAGTGCTTCTTTTGCATTAACTAATGTGGATCTCCGTTCCCATGTTGCTTCGTCAGGATATCCCTTCCATTTCTGCCAAATAGTTTGTAATCCAGAATCTTTTCCACTTCATATTCTTCTTCGCCATTGACTAAATCTGGTGGGGATCTGGCAGGTGCTCGTTAAATTCTCCGGGGATTCGTGATAATGTCGTAATAAATCTGTATTGAAGACAGGGTGTTGTTTCATGTTCGGAGGTAGCTCGAGCATGTACGCGTTGTCGTTGATCTTCTCTATGATTTTGAATGGTCCAATGAATTTTGGTTCTAACTTTTTCGAGGGTCGGTTTGCGTGAGCTGCGACAGTGATATGCTCCGTACTCAGTAAGACACTATCGCCCACAGTGAACCTGGCGGGTGATCGTGTTTTATCTGCTTGGCGTTTTTGGATGTCCTGAGCTGTCGCTATTGCGTCTTGTGCTTGCGCCAACGCAGAGACTTGAGTTAAGTATTGTATAACACGTTTGCAGTGACTTTGCAAGGTCGGCCCCCCAGCACTGGATACTTTCTTTGCCTCTTTTCCTAATCCTTTGAGCTGAGGTAACAGATATCACTAAACTCTTTGACACTTCTCTGCAAGACTTTCCCTGACGAAGTAGAGCAGTTGCATTTTGGATAGTTGATTTGGATAGTGATTTCATGTTATGATAAAGATACACTATCATGCAAAACTGATTCAATAATTCATTCCCATGTGCATTTCTTTTTTTTTCATTCCTAGAAACCGTATATGCATACACCACTCATACTTTGGTTTAATAAAGCTCCCGTCTTCTTTTACGTCATAGTGATGCGTTGTGACATTAGCTTGTCTCATTTGAATAGCTAATGACTTTTTTGTTCATTCAGGTCATTGAATCAGTTTCACATGTGGTCTAAAATGTTGCCCATGACAACTTTTGGACGTCATTTAATGCCAGTAAAAAAAGGACTTTTCTCTCTTTCCTTTATGAACACTTGCTTAACTCTCTCTTAACTATACCTTCACAGAATATGAGACCCACTCCACAGAGGAAAGTCAACGAAGCCAGGAGGCCAGGATCTATGCACATAATAAGGAGTACATGCCAGTCAATAAAGGCGGTCGACCAAGGAAAGTACCTAGAGGTATCATGCAGTATCTTAAGGTGAACATGAAACGAGGTACACTCAAGTCTGCAGTTGAGGCCGCCGTCAGAGCCAACCAGCTCATACCAGCGGCTGTTTCTGAGACCACCGTTAGACGACGGCTCAAGGAGTTAGGATTGACAGCAAAGAGGCGTGTACATAAGCCAGCTTTACGTCGACGGCATATTAAAGCTCGTTTGCATTTTATCAAAAAGTATAAGGAATGGACTCTGGAAGATTGGAAAAAGGTTATTTGGTCAGATGAATCGAAAATAAACCGAATCTGCTCTGATGGCGTGCAGTGGATCTGGGACGACAATCCGGGACGCCTCACTCGCAGGTCGGTGCAAGGCACTGTCAAGTTTGGGGGTGGTAATGTTAAAGTGTGGTCATGCTTCTCATGGTACGGACCTGGATACATTGCAAAGATTGACAATAATATGGACGCACAACTTTACATCAAACTACTCCAGGAGGATCTACAGATGTCGCTTAATGACTGGGGCCTAACTAAAAGCGATATCGTCTTTCAGCACGACAATGACTCGAAGCACACGGCGAAGATTGTTAGGAAGTATTTGGAGTCAGTACATCTGACAGAAGAGGAAGGTACACTTCTAGAGTGGCCATCACAATCCCCTGACCTCAACCCTATTGAACACATGTGGGCAGAATTGGATAGGCGGCTCTCTAGGTATCCTGAGCGAGCTAAGAGCTGTGATGAACTATGGGAGCGAATATCGGTTGAATGGTACAGGATCCCAGTGGACTTCTGCCGCAAACTCATCATAGGTATCCATAAGAGACTCCAAGCTGTCAGTGATGCCCATGGTTGGAATACTATCTATTGATGTAAGGTTATGCCTCACAAAAGAATAAAGATCTTTGGCCACCGAATGGGCACATGTGAAACTGATTCAATGACCTGAATGAACAAAAAAGTCATTAGCTATTCAAATGAGACAAGCTAATGTCACAACGCATCACTATGACGTAAAAGAAGACGGGAGCTTTATTAAACCAAAGTATGAGTGGTGTATGCATATACGGTTTCTAGGAATGAAAAAAAAAGAAATGCACATGGGAATGAATTATTGAATCAGTTTTGCATGATAGTGTATACGACAAAGCCTTCGTACTGCTGCTGTTTCCGAGGCAACAGAAGGCCTTGATCCAGAGAGTGATTCTTGGTATGACGGAGAAGAGTCAGGCTCAAATTCAGCTCAGTTCTCCTTTACTTCTGATGAAGAAATGTTGGGACTGTACAAGCTTTTAGATGGGCCCCGCTCCATTTGCGAGTATGTTGACTCAAAGTTAAAAGACCATCGCTTCATGGGATTCTTTACCTGTGAAGACGAGACTAGTATGGTGAACGACTCCATGGAGCTTGAAGAAGAGAGTGTGGATGATGATGATTACGAACCAAGTATTTCCTCTGATTACCATGTCGTAGATGAACATGGCCATAACTTGTCGCCGGCGAAGAAGGAGCTCCAGACGCGTGGAAAGAGTTATCCCTTTTATGAAATTAGCCGCCTGGCATCGCCTGAAGATATGGACTTTGATAATGATAGCCTTGCCGAGGATGTTGCAGAGCCAGATCCCAGTATCGATCTTCAGGACCCATACATCCTCATGGATACTGCAGCCCTGTTAAGACACCTGGGCCATGAGGATGAAGGGCAAAGAATGGAGATCATACATGTATATGACTCTACGATCGATAAGGACAGGATCTGCATCAATGAAAGTTATTTCAAGCAGCGGCGACGATGGCATGAAGATGAAAGAAAGAAGCGGCGAGAGTCAGCGCTTCAGTTGATAAAGGATGATCAAAAGATCTGTGGAAGATATCCAAATATAGGACCCAGCGCTCGCTTGATGGGGGATCCCGCACGATCATCGCAACTACCAAATCAGATACAGCGCGCGTTGATTCCAGCCCTTGCCTTAGCCTCATCCTCGGCCCAGTCCCCAGCTGCAACTACGGCCACATTCTCGCCCTCATCTTTGGTCCCATCCTCGTCATCTTCAATTCCCCCGTCCTTGTCCTCACCTACGCCGGTACAGGCACTGAATATGAGACAGCGTCCATTGGCCCCTGCTCCATCTTTTCCACCTTCCTTGGCCTCGCCTTCATCCTCGTTCTCAATCCCATCGTCCTTGCCCCCACCTACGCCAGCACAGCCATTAAATATAGGGCAGCGGCCATTGACGTCAGCTCCATCTTTTTCACCTTCCTTGGTCTCGTCTCCATCCTCGTTCTTAATCCCATCGTCCTTACCCCCATCCGCGCCAGTACAACCACTAAGTATAAGACAACGTCCATTGGCCTCTACTCCATCTTTTCCCCCTTCCTTAGTCTCACCTTCACCCTCATCCGCTTTTGCCCAGCCGCTAAATATAGGGCAGTATGCATTAGCCCCAGCTACATTTTCGTCAACCGTAGCTTTACAGGAGTGTCAAGGACTGACAGGACGATTGCAAGAGAAGGTAAGTGATTTAGGAACAAGAATGAACTTAGGAGATTCAAGAATAGTTTTATTGCAGACTGAGGTTTACTATGTTACAAATCTATCATATTTATACTTGTTTGACTGAAGCGGAGACGCGCTTCAAGAACTCTAAATAAAGCTTACTCAAATATTTCCTAAGGACTTTTACCATATGCGGAACTCCAAGTGTTGAGTTAACTTAATACACAGGATCCGAGGAAGATATCTGGTGCAATCTTATTTCAAGGTTCCTTGGCACTATAAGTCTTGGTTATTGGTTTATAGCTCTTCTAGAATCCTTGGAGCTATTCACGGAGCTAGAAAACTAGGAGACGCGACTTGGCTTGACAGGCAAACTATGCATGGAGGAATGAGTGAAGGAAATGAGCGGAACAAATTAATCAAGCACACGTGATCTTTTTCAGATTCGAATCAGACAAAAGTCATTCATCAATTCATGAGCTAGACATTGCTTGCTGTTCGTGACAAGGAGTCTGAGCTTGAAACACCTTTGTCGCCCCTCCCTCAGGCGTTGTCTTGGTCAGTACCAGACTTACCATTTAATGATGGCAGGTTTCCCTTTGGTACTCTTCCGAAACGGCGCCCTGCGGATCCTTGGAAGTAGTCGTGATTCTAGGCTCGATGAGTCAGATAGGTCGTAATAAAAGTGTCTTTGCTGTTTTGCAAGTGGACAATAGGGTAGCAGTAGACACGCTCTGATGTGATAAAGTTATTTGAGTCAATATAGCGTTCCCACTAGTATCCTTGCTTTAAGGTATCTGGAGGGGGTAATCCTGGCTGTCGTTTAATAAGTAACGTCAGCACCGGGTTTTTTTTTTTTTTTTTTTTTTTTTTTCATACATGTATCATCACACTCTCTTTTTTTCACACTTCACATCCACATCACCAAAGATCATTACCGGAACGCCGATTGTTTCTACAGTAAATGATCTCACTCTCGAGGGGTAAATCCAAGTTGATATAGATGACACTGATGAATCAGAAGCTGTGCACTATTCTCTGTTCTCTATTCCCTGTTCTCTATTCTCTGTTCTAATTGTTTGTTGCTGTATTTCCAAGCCATTACAACTGTTGGTGCTGTTCCAAATTCTGACTTGCCAGCTCGGCCTCGAATAACTTAGGCAGAGCCATTACCACTGAGCTGGGCCACTTCGCGTGGCCGTCTAGGTTCAGAAAGGCCGATGTCTCTGTCGGCTACAAGTAGTGCCTATTGATTAGACCTACTATGTATGTCTGTTGTTCGAGGTGTTAGTGAAGGCACCGCATGTTTAGTGCTGAATGATTGGGCATCGGACCTGTGTTGCTTCGCGTGGCCATCCAGGGTTCGAGACATAGTTCGGCTTCTGCTTGCGAGCTGCTTTCTTAGTTGAGCTAGCGGAGTCATTTATAACGAGTTGCGACAAGGGTGACAAGGGTGAGTCCAACACGATCACCTCGATGTGATGACAGTGATGATTGATATTACCTTTGTGGTATCCTTTCTAAACATTATCTTGTTTACTTCTCCAAGCCGTTGCTCTTTTCTGGGACCCATAGATGAGAAATGCTCGATTGGTGCCGACCAGTGCTCCTATTCGAACTGAAATTTTGTCAATCATGATGTTTCAGATTAAAAAATAAATATCAATTGACAAAATTTCAGTTCGAATAGGAGCACTGGTGCCGACCCGCATGCCTGAAAACAAAGCAACCTGTTACTGGAAGGGAATGACATCAAGGATCCTTTTGGTCAAGAATAGTGCTATTAGTACAAAAAATACCATACAATAAATTGATATATCGAAATATAAAACATAACGCAGTGTTTATTTGTCCCACTTTTTAGATGTTATTATTATTAGCATCATGACTTTTTTGCATTCCCCAAAACCATTACCTGACTATGATTTACTTTTATGGAGATGAAGACTTTCTAAAATTCAGCGAGTTCCTTCCTGTGCAAACCTATAGAATCTGATAACTACCCAAAAAGATTTGGTCATCAAGCCTGTTTTTTCTAGTGCGTTAGTTCTTCCTACCAGAGCTAATAGTCAAATGAAGTGTCACTATCAGTTTCCATTTTAGGCAGAGCATCAAGCAGGACTCCCCTTCGCCAAAAAAATCATGGCGTACGTATCTTCAGTGAGAATAGGAGTTGATAGGCTGAAGTTATTGAATAGAAAGTAAAAAATATTTAAATTGAAATGTGCTCTAAGCCAATGATAATCTTGGAAATATAACAAAACTTGATAATTTTTTGTTTTGCAATCCCCCATAGCGCTCGACTGTATATTATACAGTTTTCTCCAGACAAAGATTGAATGTCCGCTGCCCTGAGCGATATAGGCAGGAAAAAGAAGAAAAAAAAAAAAAAAAAAAAAAAAATGGAAGGACGGAAGCGGTCGCGATAGCCACTCCTCAACTTGACCGAGCTCTGAGGTTGCTTCAGTGGTATATAGATAGTATGTGGTATATAGTATATGGTATAGAGCCTCATTTCCACACTGTTAGCTCCAATTAGCTTCACTTGAATAAAAGCATCCTCCTAATCATTACCTTGGATTCTTACTTTTAAGTCTTTCAATTTGGACATTTCATGTAGTGATAGATGTAGAGAGAAAGAGGGAGAGTGAGTGAATGGGTGAGAAAGAGGAGCCACTGATATCGATTTCCGCCAAGTGAAGTAAAGGAGACTGCACCGCTTGGTATGATGAGGTATTTGTCTAACTAGAGTGGGTATCAGCCTCCAGGACTAATAGCTTGAATAAGAAAAAAGCTGCTGTGTGATCTGCCTGTGTAAGAGTCTCGATAGCCGCACATTCCTGTCCACACACTGCGTGGCTTGCTGCAATACACAACCAATTTCCTTTGATGTTTGATTGATTACATAATCAAATAAAAACAAATGCAAATCTTCCTATTTCATCCAGCGGATCAAGCTACAGACTATATACCATGAAGAGCTATAGGAACATTTTTTTTTTTTTTTTTTTTTCGAAAAGATGTCAAAGATGAAACGTACACGCTGGATAAGACGTGTTAGGAGATGCGAAAGAGGCGGGGGCGTGGATGATGGAAGTTAATAATGAATAGCCCGACTGTCGGAAAGAACAAGACCCTTATTAAAATCATATAATCCCCATCGCTACAGTTTTTTTATGTGATACATGAAAGACCCTGTCCATCCATCATCATTGGCCGTTGAATTAAAGGTGTCGTGTTACCAAAGCAAAGGAGAGAAATTCCTCAAATGCACAATTTTCTTTGTTCGGAGCGTAACATGAACACGATTGTCTGCTGGTAGAGTAAATACGCTGCTGACACAAGTAAGGGAAAAAAAAGAAAAAAAAAAAAAAGGGGGGGGATAGGAGAGGGAGCTCTTGTCGCATACATGTTATGCAAACAATGGAATCAGCACCTAACGCCATCAACAGGACAGGTCGAACTTTTTACGTATTTTGGATGTCCCAAAAGCATTTTTATGAAATCGTTTCAGCTGCCTTATTATGTTGAGGACAATGATTTCATCAAGATGGTACAACGCACGTTGCATTCCTCTTGAAACGCAGTACACAGCAATGTTTGTCCTCTTGTATTCACAATTTGACATTGTACATACACATGGGAGGTATCATATGTTTGGTCTGTATCAGGGCAGTTGCGGTGAGAGCATATCGATCAGAATCGAATCAAAGGAAAAAGTGCTCACTCCTAATTTGGTCGCTACGATACCCATTTACATTTTTTAATTTCACTCGTTTTACTTGTTAGACTCCAGGCAAGACTAAAAAAAAAAGCTTACTAGACTATTGCTGTTTCCTATGTACTGTCCATGTATCTCTCTCTTCCCTCTCTCTTTCTTTGCACAATCACAATTGAGTTCGTCCGAATAGAAAATTTGAGACTGATTACGACCGATATTAAAAAATTATCCGTCCTCCTTTCTTGCCCAATCAACTTTAATTGATTCGCAAAACGTCTCTTTTGGAACAAGCGTCTGCTTATTCATTCTTGCTTCCCTTCCCGACGTCCAGCCATTTCAGTTAATTCACTTTACTTCATCTTGTGTGGACCCTTATTAGCTGTTTATTGATTTTTATTAATGCCATAAACATTTGCAATTATGTTATATATAATTATATTTGATTGCCCACAAGACTTGTCATGCTCCTTCTCTGATTGCTCTCATAAAAATATCCTCTCATAAACCTCAACAGAGCTTTAATTTTACTCAACTTGTTCTCTGTCCAGCAACTCTGTCGCATGGTCACTTTTGAAGGTCATGGCAAAAAAAAAAAAAAAAAAAAAAAAAAAACCTGGGCCATGCTCATGGATATCCTACGCAAGTTTAGCGTTTCGTCTCCATTGTTGTTGTAAAAACGCTCAAAACAGCCAAAACAGAAAACTCACCGCTTTTGCATTGCATCCAGAGAGCCATCCGATACATGAGATATCTTTTCCCCCCCCCCTTCCTTCCCCTAGCTCTAATTATTACTTTTTTTTTTTTTTTTTTTTTTTTTTTTTTGCGCTTCTCTACTCTTTTTTATTTCATATTCTCTTTTCTCTTTTCTCTCTCTCCTTCTTCTTTTTCTTCTTTTACTTTGTCTCTTTGTCTTCCATAGCATTGCATTCCCCTTTCCCGGCAACACGACTTTGCCTCTGTACCTGATATTTCTCATTTTGTTTTTTGTTCTCATTACCTTCATCCCTCCATTCCGCTTCGTTTACACTATCCATACCCATATTCTCATCAGTTTATTATCAACAATCTATCCGTCTACCGTTACGACATTCCTCCACTTACCCAACTATAATATTAACGATAACACCAATTGCAACAACAACAACAACAACAAGATAGACACTTTTTTTTTTTTTTTTTTTTTTTTTTCTTTCCAAACAACAGTAACAAAAAAAAAAAAAAAAAAAAAAAAAAAAAAGAACCACATCGCCGAAAACGCAACGCATATTATTCTTTACACCTTTTTCTTATATACCTCATTCTAAACAAAACCTCAGAAAAGAAGAAAAAAGAAAAAAAAAAAAAAAAAAAACGACCTAATGATAATGACTTCAACTACTACTACATCATCCATCACCTCGTCAACCTCTACCATGTCCCATACTAACCCATCACCACGATCGGTCACCCCAACACCTTCAGACCCTCTCACAGGACGGCATCTAATTTACCGAGGGCTGAACAAAAGCTCGATGGAATACATGTCACTGACACACTCCACTAAGCTGGCAGAGGCGGCTCACACTCTCAAGGGCGAAATTTTGATCTCTGGTCGTAATAGCCCTGGTTATATCCAGTATTGTATCACTCTTGACCAAGACTGGATGACTAGGCGAGTGTTACTGACTGCAGTATTCGACGGCAGTCAAGAGAAGCGCATCGTTCTGGAGGTGGACCAGGATCAGCGATGGTACAAGGTGACGGAGCATCGCCTGACAAGGTCCCGAAGTTTCTTTCGGTCAGGCGTCAACTCCCCGGCCAAGGCTGTGGCTTCCTCCTCAAGCCCTTTGGGTCCCAATAGAGAGGCCTGCACAGCCGATGAGAAGGGCAGCTTTTCAGGCAGGGTCAGTTCAGAAAGTTTGGGCAGTGCTATGAGCATGCAAGATATCGACCCCAGTTTTTCGGACGCCGCCAGCTGTTGCTCCGCCTCGTCCTTTTCATCATCCTTCTCTGACGACGATGTGGCAAGTTCGATCCCGTTTGAGAAGATCAACTTGACATGGACTCCCCCAACAAAAGGCACAAAGAGAGGCTCCAAGCGTTTTTCATCGTTCAACCCACTGAAGGATGTTTTACCTTCCAGTACGACTACTACTTCTACTACTACTACTACTACTACTACTACTACTACTACTACTACTACTACTACCACAATGAACAACACTGCTGTCTCAACACCCTCACCTTCCAATCTTTCTACTGCCACGATGTCATTCGACAAATCTTGTACCACCACGGCCCTGCCAACCACTTCATCTATGCGTAGTCCCGTGATCGAGTTTGCAAACAGGACATTGGCCAAGAGTAGTTCTTCATCAAGTTTGAATGGTGGGCTAAAGTCATATGAGCATCTTCCACATTTGGATGGATGTATCCATCTGGATCTGGGCGGAGATGTCAGTCCAAGCACCCTGCTCCTGCCTTTGAGACGAGCGACGCTAGGGATTGATCCTGATGAGATGCGGGACCACTTGGCAAACTTGATGTCCTGTCCATCAGCCGTAACTTCCGAGTTGACTGCCATGGTCTCGTTCCCGGACCTGGAATTGCGGCCGGTTCGAACACATGTGGCATATGTTGGACAGGGTCGAAGTGACAGTCTAAACATTGTCGAATGCTGGACGGATGAGGATGATGATGACAGTGACTCGACGTTGGTGGAGGTGGACGAGGATGGGCTGGTAGTACAGTACGGCGACGCGTGGGCACGGCTCCCGATATGCTAAAAAGAAAGGATGTGGGGGGGAGGAAGAGAGCAAGGTGGCTAACTCTATAGTTCAATAGATCGTATCACTTTGTAGTCTATTGTGACGTATCAAAATCAAAAAAAAAACCGCCAAAGTAAAAAAAAGAGCACACACAATATTCACCTGACTATCATTGCTCAATGATTTTTTTTTTTTAATAGTGCTTGTCTGTCTGTCTTGCCGCTTTTTTTTTTTTTTTTTGGTCCATCATCCCATTCTTATTCTTCTTCCTTCATTCGCATTCCCAATTTTGTGCATCCTAGTTTACACTCTCTTAATCTAACTTGTATGGATCAATTGGCCAACCGCCTCTCTTTATGATACTCATTTATTGTTTTATAATGTTGCCATTCGATTGGAACTACTTGTAGTGCTTGGAGCTTTTAGAGGAGAAAGATAGTCGATGCTCTTTTTTTTTTTTTTTTTTTTTTTTTTTTTCTTTTCTTTTCTTTTCTTTTTCTTTTGGTCCGCGTGGACTTTCTTTATTCCCACTCTGCCTTGAACACCACTTCCTTTTGTTTTCTTTTTCTTTTTCTTTTTCTTTTATCTTTTATATTTTAATTACTTACTTATTTACTATTTTTCTATAACCCTTAGCATTCATTACACTATGGCGTCCCGCAAAAAAGTTCTCTTGAAGGTATGAAGCTTTAGTAACAAGTTGAAGAAACAAAGAATTACATTATCTTTTTTTTTTTTTTTTTTTTTCTCTTTACTTTTTTCTTTACTTTTATTATCATTGTTCAAATTGACAGAAAGTAAAAGAAAAGAAAAGAAAAGAAAAAGAAAAGAAAAAGAAAAGGCAGGAATATAAGCAAAGGGCGCATAGAAAAAGCAAAATCATGGAAAAAGAATGACATTATTATACTCTCAGGAAAGGGACTCAACTTTCAACAACCCATCAGCTCACACTTTCATGTATACTTCTCACGCTGTAGCAAAAAAAAATATATATATATACAAACTTTTTATCGGAATTGTGCAAGGACAAAAAAAAACCCCATCTCTTTTAACATTTAACTTTGACGCGAAGCAACGCAATGAGTCTTTTTTTTTTTTTTTTTTTTTTTTTTTTTCTTCCTGTTTCTCTCTAATCTTTGATGCCATACTCTGAAACAATGGCATTCACAAAAAGAAAAAAAAAACTGACACTTTTTTTTTTTTTTTTCAAATTCCTGATGTCTTAGGTCATTATCCTCGGTGAGAGTGGGTAAGAAAAAAAAAAAAAAAAAAAAACAGACAACATATTGACCGAAAAGCATAAAGACAACATTATGTCAAAGGGTCAAGGGAGGGGCGGGCAGTAACCAATGTGGGCATGCGTTTCCCTAATTATCAAGTGCACATGACAAACTAGAGAGAAAAAATTACATGATGGAGTCTTGCTCTTAGCGCGCGCGCCAGTCTTTTTTGATCCCTCTCGTGAGCATGAGTTATGACCACGTTGCCCCTCTTTTTTTTTTTTTTTTTTTTTTTTTTTTTTACACACCATGTATTTTTGAATTCCCCCTTTTCTACTCCTAGCCGTGCCACGCCACGCCACGCCACGCCACATTAGTAGTGCAGGGGGTTCGGTTACCGTTGTTAACTCTTTTTTCCCCCTAAAAAAAAAAAAAATTATGTATGCATAGTTTGAGATGTTTGAGCACTGTTTTGACTCTATGAGACCATGATTCCATATTATATTACTCTATCTTACTAGTGTTGGAAAGACTTCACTCATGAACCAGTATGTGAACAAGAAGTTCAGCAACCAATACAAGGCTACGATTGGAGCTGACTTCTTGACCAAGGAGGTTCTTGTCGATGATCGCCTCGTGACCATGCAGGTAAGAAGCGACAGGAAATGCCACTTTGCTCTTTTTTTTTTTTTTTTTTTTTTTTGTTTTTTTGTTTTTTTCTTCTTGGGGGTAACAAACAGGAGAGAGGATTTTCATCTTCCGATGTCATCCATTCGCGCACGTGAAATGTGTTTGAAATTCTAACTCTTTTCTATTTTGTATGAAAACGAAAAAAAAACAACCTTGTATTTCCTAGATTTGGGATACTGCTGGACAGGAACGTTTCCAATCGTTGGGAGTTGCGTTTTATCGTGGTGCAGACTGCTGTGTACTTGTGTACGATGTTAACAACGCAAAGAGTTTCGAGACTTTGGAGAGTTGGAGAGATGAGTTCTTGATTCAGGCTTCTCCTCGTGGACCTGAGAACTTTCCCTTTGTTGTCATTGGCAACAAGATTGATATGGAGGAGTCAAAGCGCATGGTATGCAGATGGTTTTGGTTTTATGGAATGTTGTATGCAGGTGAATAATTTAAAAAGGTTATTCATCGTTGCCTTTTTTTCGTTTATAAAAAAAAATAGATCTCTCAAAAACGTGCAATGGCTTGGTGTCAATCCAAGGGCAATATTCCGTAAGTTTTTAGTGGCGTTTTTTTTTTTTTTTTTTTTTTTTAATAACTAGGAGAAGGAGCTAGTTGAAGATGACTCACAGTATGTTGAGTTGACTCTAGTTACTTTGAGACGTCTGCCAAGGAGGCTATCAATGTTGAGCAGGCTTTCCAGACCATTGCTAAGAATGCTCTTCAACAGGAGGTTGAAGTTGAGATGTAAGTTTATTATGAAGAGATGTGGGATACACGTGACGAAATCAAAAGAAAAGAAAAGAAAAGAATGTTAACTTTATGCGGCTTGGTCATTGAATTATATAGTGATTTCCCTGATCCCATCAAGATTGACAGCGACACGTCAAAGGACTTTGGATGCGCATGCTAGATTGCAGAGTTGCTTTTTTTTTTTTTTTTTTTTTTTTTTTTTTTTTTTTCAACTTTGAATACACCAGATGATAAACACGAGTTTGCTGGAGAAGGAAAAAAAAAAAAAAAAAAAAAAAAAAAAAAAAAAAAGAAAAGTATATATATATAAGAAAAAAAAGAAATAACAAAAAAAAAAAAAAAAAAAAAAAAAAATGAAGCTGGCTGTCTGGTCTGTCTCGCGTCAATTGTTGAAGGGGAGGGGAGGGCTGAAGGAAACAAGTCTGCATTGAACATATATACACAATAGGCACCACAGATTTGTCAGAAGAGTGAATTAAAGAATCATCCATTACTACATGATACAAATATATATAAATATATAAATATGCATATCTTTATCTCTTTCGCTCTCTTTGACTCTCTGTCTCTCTCCTTGGACCTGTTTCTTTTTCTTTTTTTTTTTTTTTTTTGTTTGTTTTTGTTTCACAAACACGCCGGAATATGCTTGTGGTTTTTTTTGTGGACAGAAAGATGGTTACAATTGAGTATTTATATGCAACTGCACATCCCATGGTGGATGAGGATCCATGATCCATGGAGTAAAAGTATAATTCTATGGCAAAGAAAAAAAAAGGGTCAAACAAGCTCTTTTTTTTTTTTTTTTTTTTTTAAAGTTGAAGTTTACATAAAAAAAATAATAAAAAAAAAAAAAAGTATATCAGTTTTAGGTCTAGAGCTTGTAGAGCAAAAAAAAAAAAAAAAAAAAAGAAAGAAAGAGAAAGAAAAAAAAAGTCAAATCGTTAGCACTGACATTTTAAGAAATAAAATAAAAAGGGACGAAAAATGTGATCAGGTTGCATGCGATATTCGGTCGTACAATGCACTGCAGTGATGTCATGCAATGCTCCATGCAGAGTCGCATTCTTTTTTTTTTTTTTTTTTTTTTTTTTTTTTCTTTTTTCTTTCTCCATCTTGCTTTATTTTTCTCATGCACAAAAAAAAAAAAAAAAAAAAAAAAAAAAAGATTGATCGGTTGTATATATATATAGACATATTATATATACAAATGTATAGATACATATATACAAAGGTATATGCATATCTTTATGTTTACCAGTGGGAAATGATGGATAGTTGATCAGTGTGAATGTGGGAATGAAGAATAGAGAAATGAAGGGATGTTTGATAATTATACGAAGAATGAACTAAAAGAACTTGAGGAAAAAAATAAAAAAAAAAAAGGATCGGGGAATCAAAATCTTGTTTTTTTCTGTTGCAATGACGTTGGGTGTGTAAAAAAGAGCCAAGGAGAAGCAGGTTTGTGCATGGATGTGGCAAGGTTTGAATACTAATAATACGGACATCTAGACCATTCAAAAAGAAAGCCATGAACGTGTACTCTATCCATGTCTTTATCCATATCCATATCTATATCCATGTCTATACACACACACACACACACATGTATACATGTATAAATATATACATATTCAAGCATAGTAGTCCAACCTGTCAATCCCCATAATATAAATATTTCACATGGCGGGTTATTGTTTTTTACGCCAGAACATTCTTCTTACTCATAAAGACCTCCTTTTATTTTATATCTTTTTCTTTATTTTATTTTACTTTATTTTACTATATTTTCCTCCTAAATCCTATTGATTGATTATCCATTTCCCATGGGGGGAACAGAAAAGGAGGAGTAGAGGGGTTTGAAATCGGGGAAGGGGCTGATGTGGGGGCGCTGATCCTAGTAAGCTCTAGCGACGAACTTTACCCCTAACGCGTTTTTTAATGAATATAAAAAAGAATTTTATTTTTACATCTTCAGGTGTTCTCCACAACATTGGAGGAAACAAAATCAAATAAAGGAGGCGAGGGAATAAAGAGGAAGAAAAAAAAAAACCGAAGGGAGTCCCGAGATAACAGTAGCCAACTGTAGGAGCAAAAAGAGGAGTAAGGAGGTTGCCCTCAGGAGGAAAAGTGAAGGAAGATAAAAGAAACAAAAAAAAGGAGAGAGTTAGTTAGAGAGAGGGTTGGTCAATGAGGTCATTTTGCTCACAATAAAAAAAGACCAAGTCTTGGGTGATGGATCTCCATGAATTCAGAAACTAGAAGCGAACAATCTCTGAGAAGCATCGATTCCTCTCTTTCTTTTTCCTCCTTTTCTTTTTCTTTCTTTTTCCCCCTTTCCTCCCAATACAAAAAAAAAAAAAAAAAAAAAAAAAGAGCATTGTCAGGAGTAGAGAGGTATGTTTTGGTCCCTTTTTTCCCTTTTGTCTTTTACAAAAAGGCATACAAATATGCACACGCAAATACCAAAAGCAGAGACAGACAACAAAACAATAAACAATAAACAATCAATCAAATCCCAGAGATCTGATTCCATAAAAAATAAAAAGAGCGAGAGCAGAGCACAATGGCGACTCTTTTCTTTCTATTGTGAGAAAGAGCAAAAGAATAAAGAAAGAGAAGGAGAGAGAGAGAGAGAGAGTAAAGAGAGAGAGAAGGAATGAAGGAATGAGGGGAATTATGGATTTTGAGATTGGAGCATGTAACGGTCATTGCTCATGCAGTCTTTGTCATTACATTTGTCCAAATAAAAAATACAAAATAAAAAATAAAAATAAATAAAAACAGAAAAGAGATCAGATCTCTTAAGAATTATTTTTTATCTCGCCTTTTTTTTTTTTTTTTTACTTTTTACTCTTTACTTTTTAGTTCCCAGCAGACGGAATTGCTTCTCTCTCTTTTCTCTTTCTCTTATCTTCCCATCTCTCTCTCCTCTCTTTCTCTTTTTACTCTTTCTTTCTTTAGATTCTTTGCTCAACCTTTTCTTCATCTTCCTTTACTTTCACTCTTTTGTTTGTTCTAATTCTTTGGTCTCCATTATCAGCTCCTCTTCATTGCTCAACCATCTGTTTCTTTATCAAATCCATCTTGTCTGTCTGTCTGTCTGTTAGCAAGAGATTGAAACTCTTAATTGTTTTCCCTTTAGCTTCAATCCTCTTTCTCACCCTTCCCTTCCTTCCCTCTTCCCCCCCTTTTTTTTTCTTTCTTTCTTTCTTTCTTTCTTTCTTTCTTTTATTGTTTTAAAAATATCCCTCATTCTTTCTCTCTCTCTCTCTCTCTCTCTTTCTTGGTCTTGTCAAAACCTTTTTTTTTGTTTCTTTCTTTCTTTTTTGAGCAAATAGAGAAAGGAAAAATATTCTCCAGTCTATATCTGTTATCAATTTCAGTTACTATCCTCCAGTTTTTATCCATTCACTCCATTCCATTCCATTTCATTTCTCATCTCATTCTTCTTCTTCTTCTTCTTCTTCTTTTCCTTCTCCTTCTCCTCCCTCCTTGTCTTGGGAAATACCAATATTAAGAAATAAAGTGTCCCCACTAGCATTCTATCGACATTCACATTCACATTCACACATTTAGATATGAACGCGTCGTCCTCGGCACAACAGGAGCCCCGTTTATCTGCCCTGACTTCTCCCAATGATTCAGCAAACCCACGCCCGTCCTTCGCAGGATCCGGCTTCTTTGCCGTAGCCCAGGACCCTTCCAGACATCTTGCTCAACAACTCCCAATGGAGACCCCCTTTTTCACCCCCCAGGCCACTTGGACCGAATCCTCTCGTTCAGATTACTTTTCTGCCTCAACTACCACCGGTCCAATGACGTCAATATCCCACCTCTCCAGTCCCCACCATCCCTCTCAAGCCAACCTATTCACCTCCGGTTTCTCTGTGCCCGCTCAGACCCCTGCTGCCATCGAAATCTCTAGCTTCTCCGCCTCCTCCCCCTCCTACTTTCCGGATTCCATCAGTGTTTCAGATCAGGATTCCCAAGGCTTTCAGTTACCACCATCCTCTCTGCCCCAAGGTCCTCACCATCGCCCCACCGGATCTTCATGGGAGCCATTTCATTCTTCCAGAGTCATCGATCGCAATGGTTCTTCATCAACCATACCCATCCAAAGATCCAACCTATCCCTCTCCATGCCTCTTTCCTCCCTGATGTCTCCACCCAGTTCCCTCGCCTCTCCCTCTCGTCTCTCCATGTCCTCTTTATCACAATCCCATCACAGCCCTGCTCCTGCCGCCCCTCCTGCAGATCTAAACATCCAGGAGAACAGTCCCAGCACGGTCTCCACTTTGCTCCAACAGGTTTTACAAAATCAGGACAAACATTCCATCATGCTCTTGGACATGAGACCCTCAGTGTCCTATGCATCATCATCGATCAAGACTGCCGTCAATGTTTGTATCCCCAACATGTTGTTGAAACGACCCATGTATTCACTCCAAATGATTACAGAGCAATTGACAACCGAGCAGGACATTGAAACTTTCTCAAAATGGAAACAATTTTCAAACATCGTCTTCTTTGATGCCTCCGGTGCCCCTCCCGTCGTTGGTTCTCCCACATACTTTATGGTTCAAAAGTTTCGAAAAGAGGGCTGCAATGCAACATTAGGTTATCTCCAAGGTAAAAAAAAAAAAAAAAAAATCAACAACAAAAAAAAAAAAAAAAAATCTGCATGCATGCGTAATTTTGTCTTTGTTTCAACAAGATCAATTTGAACTAACAGATTTTTTTTTTTTTTTTTTTTTTTTTATATTATATATACGTAATTATGTTCATAATTAGGTGGATTTAACCTCTTCCAATCACAGTACGACAATCTATGCCGGACAGACGAAAAGCCCCCTTCAGGAGACTCACCAGGCAAGATGTCTTTGAGCGGCAATGGCCCTGTCTTGACAACTGCAACCAATTCTACAACTGTTTCACCACAACGTCAACGTCTCCATCTCGGACCACTCCCTTCATTGATGACCCAGCCCCCGGGTGGACCGCTTGGATGTCAAACCCCAATGATCGAAAACCCTAATGTGAACCCACTGTTTGAGAGCGTGCGTCAGGCCATGGGATTGAGCACCAACATCACAGAGGAAATCCCTGTGCGTTTGCCCATGGGCTTCACAGTCGATACAATGAAGGAATATTTGCCACAATGGTTATTGTCTGCTATCGCTGAAGATTCTGGCAAATCTAGACTAGCTGAGTACTTTCAAGTAAGTTTTTTTTTATTTTTATTTTTATTTTTATTTTTTTTTATTTTTTTTATTTTTATTTTTTTATCTTTTTTCTTTCTTCTTTTTCTCTCTCTCTCTTTCTTTTGTTATTGTTATTGTTATTGTTGTTGTTGTTGTTGTTGTTGTTGCGTGAGTGGGCTCTTTGGAAGTTTGCGTCATTAAAGAGAAACAATGACATCTTACATTTCTTTCTTTTTTTTTTTTTTTTTTTTTTTTTTCTTTTTTCTTTTTTTATATATATATATATACTATTATTCATTTTAACAGAAAGTGGAAATCAATGAGAACAAACGATTGGCTTTGTTGATGTTACCCCAGAACATGCGATCTGGTAGAGTCACTCATTTCAGTATAGGGGCAGGAATCGAACAAGGACTCAAGAATCGGTACAATAACATTTGGCCATATGATCATACTCGTGTCAAAATTTCAGAGGTGGATAGCGGCCATGATGACTATATCAACGCCTCGTTCTTGACGCCCATGTTGAGCAAGAAGACCTATATCGCTACTCAGGGACCCTTACCATCCACATTCCAGGACTTTTGGAAGGCAACGTGGGAACAAAACTCACGTGTGGTCGTCATGTTGACACGCGAGCAAGAGATGGGCAGAATCAAGTGCCATGAATACTGGCCTACGGCTCAACAGCCGATCATGAATGTTGGGGTCATGCGTGTTACATTCGTGACAGAGTTCTTGCCCGATCCGACCATCGGCACCATCTTGATCAGACAACTCAAACTGCGACACATGAACGCACCCGAGGATCAGGAAAGGTCGATCACTCAAATCCAGTATACTGGCTGGCCAGATTTTGGCGTTCCAGAGACCCCTCTAGAGGTATTGAAGGTGATTCAGCTAGCGAACGAGTACAACACACCAGTATCATCGGCTGGACCCATGGTCGTGCACTGTTCCGCAGGATGTGGACGAACAGGCGCATTCTGTGTGATCGATTCTATTTTGACAGAACTGCAGGAGCATCCAGAGGCGGTGATGAACTCGGGATCAGGATCAGGATCAGATCCCTCCAGGCCAAAGCTATCCCTCTCATCCAAACCCTCGCTCGAATTTTCGAGATCGGGCAATGATCGTGTGATCAACACAATGGGGAACAATACCGGTCCCAGTAGCAATCTCAGTAGACCCCCTCTTCATCTAGGATCGTTATCAGCATCGTCGTCCTCCGCAGCATCAGATGAAATGTTGACGGATATTGTATATTCAAGCGTGAGCACGTTCAGGGAGCAGCGTATTTCAATGGTACAGACACTAAGACAATACGTATTCTGTTACGAAGCCATTTACTGGCACATGGCCAAGGAGTTTGCAAAGGAGCGACCTGCATTGGGACTGATGGTTGTGCCACCACCCTCCATGGCAGTTCACACACCATTGTTGCCTATGCCTCCTCAAGGTACCAATGGCATGACCTCCAATCCAGCTCTATCCATGGGTAACGCTCCAATTACGACAACCACGGAAGAGTTTTCGTTCTTTGGATAATGATGAAGATGAAGATGAAGATGAAGATGATGATGAGGATGATGATGAGGATGATGGCGAAGTTTTTTTTTTTTTTCTCTTGTTTTATTTTTTATTTTTTTATTTTTTTATTTTTTTATTTTTTATTTTTTATTTTTTTCTTTTTTTCTTTTTTCTTTTTTTTTTTTTTTTTTTTTTTGCCAATCTTTTGTACTACTACTACCTTGGGCTGGTGGATCGAACTTCTTCAGCCTTGTAAAAATAAACTACAGATAGAAGGAGGTTGTTGATTGAACGCGAGGCTTATGCTAAAACATTTAGTAAAACGTTTTTTTTTTTTTTTTTTTTTTTTTTTTTTTGCGTTGTGTTGTTGTATTTGCTATTATTATTGTTGGTTCATGACAATGAATTGTTTCCTACACCCTTCATTTCTCGCTCAAGTCTAAGTAACTAACTCGATCATAAAGAACCATGGACAAGGGAGTGTTGTCAATAATTTCTCATATCTCATGCTTTGATGTTTCTTCAAAGATGTATATATGGTATTAGGGAACATTACTAACCAGATTCGAAAAGCTTGGGTCCTTGAGGATCATATTGATCTCCTCTTGTAGATCCTTGCTCGGTAAAGCCATCAATCGGTTGATTTCGGCAGTATGAGGTGTTGTTAATCCTTGTTGTGGTTCTTGATTAGGTGCTAGTGAGGTCTGCAAGGAACGGAGAATTTTTTTATTTTTTATTTTTTATTTTTAGTAAATTAGTGAAATCATTTTTCAAGTTCTTACCTGAATTGTAGGATTTGTTGTGGAATGAGCAAACATCGGCCCTAAGGGATGTTGGGAGAGATGTTGCGAGGGATATTGCAAGGGGTGCTGCAAAGTATTCACACGAGGAAGGACAGAATTGAATGGTTGTCGCTGTTGTTGTTGCTGAAAATGTGAATATGGGAATGGGACCGCTTGGTGAAACATAGTGCTGGCAGCATTGGTGTTGATATTGACATTAGTATTGGCATGGGTAATGCTATTGTGATTGTGATTGTGATTACCACTGTAGCCACCCAAGAAATCCTGGCTACCAATGCCTTCAAACAGCATAGATTGTTGGCTACAATCCAAGGTGTCCACTGTATTCGTAATTGAATCATTATGGTTCAGTCCAATCTTGGGACCTTCAACTTGATCGTTTGCGATTGAATTCGAATAAGAGACGTGCAAACCCACATTTAAATTTGATTCAGTCATGGTTGTGGTGGAGGAAGGGATGGTCGGATCATTAGAGACCGCAATAGCTTGTGGAGTAAGGATAACGTCGGTCATAGGATTGTTATCCATATTCATCTTTGCTCTGGTTTGAGTGATCTCTAATGAGGGAGGTCCTCCTACTCCTACTCCTACTCCTACTCCTACACCTACTCCTACTCCGTCGCCTACTCCTCCTCCTCCTCCTCCACCACCACCACCTCCTTTGGTGGTTGAACGACACTCAATGTAAGGTGACAACATTGAAGCGCATTGGCCACTTTCAGGAGTGGACCTGAATCTCACTTGGAATTTCCGGATCTTGACATTTGCAGGAAAAACAAATTAAACAGAGATAGAATTAAGCAAAGAAAGAAAGAAAAAAAAAAAAAAAAAAAGCCCTGAGTGTGCCAGAAATAGGATGAATAACGCGTCAATGGGTTTTTACCTCAAAGGTATTTGAGTTAGGCAGATGGATACGGTATCGGAATCCAATCAGAGGACCTTTGGTAATGCCTTGCAATTTAGAACTCTTCAGGCTGTCAGTATCTAGATAAAATGACTCCTGAGTGTGATGTTTTGGGAAGTGTGGTGATAAAACCAAATTCTTAATATGAAAGTATATATACATATCATTGATGTTCATATACTGAACTTGGAGCGGAAACAGTGGAACATCGGACGTTACTAGAGTTTGCCGGTCTGATTGAATTAGTAGAAGAGGCTTGCAATCCATCATTGAAGGCTCCGTCACTGACTTGTCTTTTTTTTTTTTTTTTTTTTTTTTTTCGAAATGAATCGTGCGATATGGAAAATAGAAAAAAAAATGAATAAAATAAGCTTTTCGCAATGGTAAAAAAAAAAAAAAAAAAGGAAAAGAAAAGCTTAAAATCAAGGCTCAAGACTTGATCCTAGTCAATTAACCTTGAACAGCGCTTCTTTGGTACGCCAATGTTAAAGTAAGTGGAGTTGGTGCCGATAAACAAGTCCAGTCGTTTTTGTCACGGCGTTGAGGTTGTCTCGCTAGAGGATGTAGAATGGAACTATTAGTACAAACACATAAAAATGAAATATAGAGGATATTGTTGAAGGAGTCATCGGTGCCTTGCCTGTGCTGCTTTCACCTGCAATGGTACTACATTGTGAATGTTGTGAGGCTGCAAAGATGCCTGTGCCTGAATCTGCACCACACAGATTGGTGTTATTGAGATCAACTGTATAATCTCTTGAATACATCTTCAACGCGAAGCTAGTAAAGCCTTGCCCATATAGCGGGGATGAAGAAATTTGTGAGACCACAGGGAAAGATGAGATAGGTTCCCCACCACCTTCTCCTGGTACTGTTGCTGCTGCTACAACTCTCGCTCCGTTGCCTAGATAGCTCTGTTGAGACTGACTTAATATCGGGGTCATCGTTTGCAAAAGTTGGATCATAACTAAAAAAAAAAAAAAAAAAAAAAATACATTGTTCTGCATGTTCGTGTGCCCCGAGGATACGTTGCTGATCGAAGTGGCTTAAGCCCAATGCATGAGTACACCGTTGGACAAAAGTTTTTTTTTTTTTTTTTTTTTGTCAAGTCGTTCATACTTTGGAAAGAAGCTCAAAATCGGAAAAACAGAGCTAGAAACACGTGCCACTTATATCATTGTAACTCCTTCATTGCGATCATCTCTATTCCCCCGATTGTTACTGTTTCCATGCGTACCCTTCTGCGTATCACCGAATACAGCGCAATTTTTTTTTTTTTTTTTTTTTTTTTTTTTAATAAAGGGATTCCCTTATGGGAAGAATCATTGTCATCGGATCCTTGGCTCGATTCAGTCCAGCAACTTTAAGATCAGATCGGAATCTGATTCACTGATAGAATAAATAAACAGACTTTATTTCATAAACAGCAATGTAATCTTAGAGCAATAGAAAGAGCGAATGTCACGCCGGTGTTATGGAGAGTAGGTGACATTGTTGGATTAGGCCATAGCCAAAAATTCTTGGAGAATTGCCAGATTACCACCTGTTTATTCATGCAGAAAGTAAGTGCAAATAAGTTTTAAGTTTTTTGTAGCGGATGGGATGCCCATGACAGCTAAAATAGGTTCTGTCTGCAATGTAATTGGACAGGAGTTATTTATTAACCGTGGTGGTGTCATTGAGTCTGACCAAATCCTGAGACACCAGGTTGTTTAAAAAATTTTCCATCATTCTTTTTTCTTTTTCTCCTCTTCATCTTTTCCAATATCTTTGAAGACAAGCCTACTTCACATACGCACACATACACATCACCTTTTGACAGAAAAAGAAAAAGAAAAAGAAAAAGTACTAATCAGCAAAGCATGGCCGACGAGAAACGTGCACAGGGACAACAGGTCCATGCTCAGTCAAGACAGCCTATCAATGCTGTTGATATCTCTGCTCCGCGAGAAACTATGCAGCCCGCTAATGCGGAAGGAACCCAGCCCATCTCCATTCCTGGATCCTCTTCCTCAGCCCCAGCCGGTAGTGCGAATTTCCCTATAATTTCGCCCACCAGTCCTTCCAAGTATCAAAAGAAGACAGGAACACGATCAACATTCTGTTCCACCACATCTCGCAAGGGTACCAAGCTGACTGAAGAGGATTATGAGCATCATGAAAAGAACGACAGACCCGTGCCTACAGGATGGCTCCAAATGTTGGGCCTTAAAAAATCTGCCAACTATGGCGACCCTCTCTATAGCCAGGAGGAACCTCAACAACAGTCGTATTATTAATGAAAAAAAAAAAAAAAAAAAAAAAAAAAAAGCTTTCGAGGCAGTAACAATGAGGATGGACTTATAGTGCCAATAACGGAGGATTATAATGGAGTATGTAAGGAAAACAAACCAGAGGATCAAACAAGGGGGATATAACAATATGGATAATTTAATCTACTATCATTCGCCGCCCATCGACAAAAAATCGTTGATCAGATTGTCGTTGTCATTGACAAGTTTGAATCGGAATAAAAAGAATTAAAAAAAAAAAAAAAAAAAAAAAAAAAAAAAGTAGCAGCAGGGATTAAATGATTCATTGCCCAAGAGCTTCGGAATGGTATCAGAGTTGCTATCGGTTCACATTGCCATACTCTTCACATCATCTAATTCGGTTATTATCGTTCTACATACTCTCGCTCTCTTTCGGATACTCTGTTCATCCGAAAGCAGTGTTTGCTCTATTTTAATTTCTCAATTGTGATTTCATTGCTCATGTCAACAGTAAAGGAAAGTTTGGGCGCGTGCATTAGCAGCACCCTTTTATTTATTTTTGTCCTTTTACTTTCTTTTATATATATATATTTATAATTTTCTTCGAGGCATACCTTTGTGTCGGAGGATCGGGAAAGAAAAGCTGAACATGATTGACTGTCCTTCAATGTGGGAAAAAAAAGTATATTTGTTTAATCTTAACAGGTTCTCAGGTTCGAAGAAAATATTAAAAGGGTGGATCATTTGTAAGACCAATGCGGTCATCAGCCAACCTTGATTTCCCGTCACTCGATCATGCAGAAGTTCTTGCGTGGGTTTGAGAGAAGATCTGTGGGATGAAAAGGGAAAAGTCCTCTAGAGCTAGTTGAATAGCTGAAGGTTGCAATGTGTTTTGAATGTTTTATCATGAGGAAAAGATCGGGAGATAGGATATCTTTTTTACTGAATAACATATTTTTATTGTTATTATGTCCATTACATGTTTTTCCAACAGATCCAACGGGATTTGAAGAAAAACGAAATCCAAGGCTTTCTCTTTCGATATAGGAACGCTTTTTTTTTTTCTGGGTGTTGATAGGGATGATATATATGTGATCCGATCAAAGGCACGGGCATCTCTTGACCGCCTTTTTCTTTGCTCCACAGTGTGTTCATGTCAACCTAAACTTTGTTCGCTTTCTTTTTTTCTTTGGAACCCTGTGTCATACATATTGAGTCCACACATGGGATTTTCGTGTGTGAACGTGCGTTTCATTTTTTTTTTTTTTTTTTTTTTTTTTGGTTCTTTCCGTTCTTTTCCCCCCCTCCCCTTCCCCACTGTTTCTTCTCTTTTCATAATCTCACATTCGAAAAGATCATACTTGATCACAGCAGCTCAGCAATGGCAATGGATGATTCGCAGCGCCACCGCCTGGTTCAGTCAGCCTTCGATGCTTTGGACCATAACAAGGATGGGTCAATCAACGCTCGCGACTTGTTGAACGTGTATGCGGACACATTCCCATCAGAGTCAGAACACACCCCGTTAGATGAGGTAAAAGAAATTGGCTTATCCATCTACACTTTATTCTTTTATATATATTTGTGTCTATCCTTTATCCAACAGTTCTGTTCGAGATTCAACCTGCAACTATGGACATTGTAACCAGGAAAGGATGCGGGTTAATGCATGTAACAGTTCGCCATTCGTTATTTTTTTTTTTTTTTTTTTTTTCCTTTTCTTTTTTATATATACCTGCAACGTGATCTTTGATCTTGAGAAATCCTCAACCAGTATAAGGGAACAACTATACGAGTCATGGAGCGTGGGATACAACTTGGCTTCAATAACTGACTACAAAACATACCAATAACTGGGGAGCTTTTTTTTAATTATTCTTATCTACTCAATTGCTCTTTCGATTCTTTTTTTTTTTTTTTTTTTCTGATCTACAACTCAGGCTACTGCCGACGCGTTGGTTTCGATCGCGTCTGGAAATTCTCAGGACGAGCAGGATTCACCCTCTATTTCATTTCAGGATTTCCAACATTTTTTAAAGATTCATCGGATAGAAGTAATTCCCACGGATCAGGAATGGACTCGTGAAAGTCTGGAGACACTACTCAAAGATTTGACACAAGTTAAAGCAAGAGTCTCTGATACTCTTCATCAAGGGCAAACAGCACCAACAACAAGTCCAGGTAAATAAGGACGAAAAGAATGAAGAGGGAGAAAAAAGAAAAGCCATTATGAATCTGACTCAATTACCAAAAAAAAAAAAAAAAAAAAAAAGTTTGTGATATGTGTGCAACCTTAAAGTGATTTGTCAATATATGCCTTTACGGATGTGGATCGATCTTACTGCACCTTTTTTTTTTTTTTTTTTTTTTTTTTTTTAATATCGTAACTGACATGTCTGGTTTTTCTAACGTATCATGACAGAGACTCAAGTTCTTACCGAAAAGAGGTTTTCCCTCGAATCAGTCAAAAGTATGTTGTTGAGTGACACCGTCAAGCATTTGGTTGCAGGTGGAGTTGCTGGAGCTGTCAGTCGTACCACTGTCAGTCCTTTGGAGCGGATGAAAATTCTCTTTCAGGTAAAATCCTATCAAAAAAAAAAAAAAAAAAAAAAAAAATCGGGGCGATAGCTTACTTCTCAGGAATGGAGTGCTTTACTTTTTTTTTTTTTCAGTTGCTAAACAATAAAATAAAAGGTTGGTTTGCTTCCAAAATATTGCCCCGTCCTAACCTAACAATGAGATGGCCTTTTGATCATACGTGGATGTGGGAATGTTGGATGACATGTAGGTTCAAGGACCGGAGCCAGCTAATTATCAGGGCGTCATTCCCACATTACGGAAGATGTGGGCAGACGAAGGGTTTGTAGGTTTCATGCGCGGCAACGGCACGAATGTTATCCGGATTGTTCCATATAGTGCTGTCCAGTTTGCAAGCTATGAGCAATTCAAGAAGGTGAGTCTAATAGAGATCTCAATATGCTTTTGACTCTCGGCCAAAAAAAAAAAAAAAAAAAAAAGTCATTAAATAAAGAAATAAAAGACCTCCCCATTGATGATAATTCCAATACACTTAATATGGATAACCACTGTCTATTGTTTATGTAGCTTCTTATGGAACCTGGCAAGCATGATCTTGATACTCCTAGAAGACTGGCAGCAGGAGCCTTGGCGGGGTTAACATCAGTCGCATGTACATACCCTCTGGATATTGTGCGCACACGCCTTTCAATTCAGTCCGCTCAGCTTGCCAGCACCAAGGAAGGTCAAGCAGCACTTCCTGGTATCTGGAAGACGATGGTTATTATTTATTCAAAAGAAGGAGGCATTGTTGGTCTCTACAGGGGTCTTGGTCCTACGCTCATGGTATGAAAGAAAAGGGACGAACATTCGTCGTATGACAACTGGTTGGCAAGATGTCTAATCTCTTCCTTATTTGTCTGATATAAGGGTGTGGCCCCTTATGTTGCCCTCAACTTCCAAGCCTATGAAGTTCTTCGTACTTACCTGACGCCACCTGGGGAGACTTCACCATCTGTCAGCAGGAAACTCTTGTGTGGTGCTTTGGCAGGAAGTTTTGCTCAGACGATGACATATCCATTGGATGTACTTCGTCGTCGCATGCAGGTTACTCAAATGGCATCTGTGAGCTACAAATACACTTCGACATGGGACGCAGGTTCGTTACTATTATTACTATTACTGCTACCACTGCCTCCACTAAAAAAAAAAAGAAATTGATTGACACGATACCTCTTTTTTAACTTCCCTTACTCCATAGTCAAAAAAATCGTCAAACAGGAAGGTGTTCGTGGTCTTTACAAGGGCATGGTGCCAAATTATTTGAAAGGTTAAAGCAACATATAGTTTACACGTGGAGCCTTTTTGATGATCACTTTTATATATGATGGATTAGCAACTAATGCATACACCAACGCTTTTGTTTAACGTGTTTTTTTTTTATATCTATAGTTGCACCTGCAATCTCAATATCGTTTGTTGTTTACGAGCAATGCAAGCAAATCCTGATTGGAAAGAAAACTACCGCAGGAATGTAAAAAAAAAAAAAAAAAAAAAAAAAGCGATATCCCGGTCAACATACCTTTTTTTTTGTGAAAAAAGAAAAAAGTTTATCCTCTCCACTCCTCTCTACGAGTATTTTTATTCCCTTTTCACGCCTTCTTTCTTTTTTTTTTTTTTGTGCACAACATAGACATTTTGATAAAGACACGTTCTTATGTGAAAGTTTAATTACGAATATCTTGTGTGTGTAACTGTACCATATCAACCAGGTGCTGGTAATGTTGTTTGTTGTTCATCAGCAAGGGAGGCTATTAAAAGAGTTGATGTCCATTTATGACCATTTGGATTTAACAAGGGCCATCCAAGTTCAAAAATACAGTCCGCAGATAGCTTTATATGCCCTTTTTAGTCCAATGATACCCAGATCTTTGCATGGAGTATTTTTTTCTTTACACCGAAAAGTGCTATTTTAGTAAGAAAAAAAAATATGCAGTTGTGCCAGACGTTTTCCTACATTTTACCGGTTCAATCATGCTAATGGAGCATTCTCGTTAATCATCACTATGGGCCAGATCCAGGCCCATATCGGTTGAAATAGAGTGACCTCATCCAACGACGGCATGGAGCCAGATATCAAGAGTAGATTGTCGTTAACTAACTGAAGTAACGCTTCTCCTAAATTTCAGGTACAGAAGGATACTCTCATAGTTTCGTTGTGCCCTGTTTATTTATCTCGTAACTGTAAATCAATAAGCAAATCTTAATAGTATAAGTGAAGGTACGGTGCAACACAGCATATCATGGCGATCATTGGAGGATGTCAGGCCGACTACATGTAGGCCTGGTCATCGATGTCTTCGTTAGCACTTTGCTTCACCCCCGTTTCTCCGTCCTGTCCTGCGACCTGCTTGTATTCTCATACTCTTCCTTGAGATGAACTGTAGGCCCTTATATCAGTTAAGAAAAGCATAATAAGTACGACTGAGCGACTTCTGAATCTGGGTTATGAAGAACAATGAAAACATATCCGAAATATGAGCATCTCATCGAATAACAGGTAAAGAGGACTCTAGCCTCTTCACGTTATCGACTAGGTACACTGGCTCTATCCTAACAAGCCGAGCGACATTGCTACCACGTACTCCTCAGCATTGCCCGGCTGGTTAAAAGAATGAACCTAGAAATAATAATAAGAAATAGGATTAATAAATCATCAAAGATCATATGACAAGGATCAGACAAGGACATGAGCGTATCTCTTAAAACAAAACTCGGCACAAGATCATTAGGAAGTTTTTCTAAGCTTCCCCACTTGTGTCGACCGAGCTACCAGTATGTCATGCAATTGCCTGTGGGGCTCGTGATTGCACTCTACTAGACACTTTGTCCCAGAGATGTCCTATGTTCTGGCCCCTTCCATGACTACCCCAGTCACGCTCGAGCATCAACATCGTTCTTTAAAGTAGGTCAGCACGATAACCGAGTCGTTTTCTCTTGGAAGGGACAAAGGCTAGCATAGAGGCGTCCGCGTCTGGGCCTCATATAACATATATAAAGTAACTATACCAAGCATGCAATCTTTCGCGGTCATACTTGGTGTACTCAGTGACTGCTCCTGATCGCTATCTTCTTCAACGTAACGTCGGCACCCTCTACAATTGCAAAAGCGAGATGGCTGAATTCTTCACCTTGAAGGTAAGCTCCTTAATATTTCCTTCACGCATAGCATTTTCAAAACCGAGGGCTTCCTATCATCTGCATGTATCAATGGTCAGTGAGAAACAACCAATCCTTTAATACCCCCTCATAAATAGTAAGTGTATATTTGCTTAATGGGCAAAAAGATAGACACAGAATCAGGACAAGACAAAAAAAAAAAAAAAGTATTACCAAGAATAACAAAAGGAAATAGAGGCAAATAATCTTGACGACAAATAGCGCCTTAGGATGCCAAAAGGGAAGACGGGAGCTTTATAGGTGAGCTCACAAACTGAGTTACTGGAAGACAAATGCTTGTTGTGAAAAGGGAAAAAGATAAACGGCAAGATGAACTTGCAGGTCAAGGACAAGACAAATGGGGAAAACTTGAGATTTATGGGTAAACTTAAGCCTTTTGGGTAAACTGAAGACTTTATTGGGAAGGAAGTTTCTTTGGCTTTTATAACCTAGCCTACAGGCCTGACTGTGGTGCTTTCTAGGTGAGGTGGACTCGCCTATAGCCTATAAGGCTTTGCGCAAAGATTCTTTTAGCTGTGGTTCGACAGGATGCCCCGGTTAGTACTTATAATTAATTTAATATAACTATTAATGACCAGCCACAGCAGACTCCGTCCTTCTGCTCCGCTAATCTCAAACAGCTTCTTAACGATGCAGTACGTCCTTATTGCGGTAGAGCCATCCTTTCTTATACTTTTAAAATCTTCTTAATCTCCTTTGTGGAGCCAGAAACGCATTCACAACTAGTTTACAAAAAAAAAAAAAAAAAAAAAAAATAAACAATGAAAAACAGTTAGCTTCATGTGGCTGTACTAAGAAACGGTTCGGTCCTTTATCAGTTGGGACGTTGGATTTATCTCTACATGTGGACGCCTTCTCCTTTCAAAAGGTAGCTCAGTATAGCCCTCCACTCGCTGACAGCATTAGCTTCAGATGAGTTGCTACCAAATGAAGGATACAGCACCGGACAGCAGCCTTCAAAGCACAGAAATATATTAACCAGCATATACACTTACACATGATCCACAAAGTGGCAGCACGTATTACGTACCAAACCTTGGGAGTGCACCTCAAGGGTAGTTCCATTTTTACTCATAAGGTCAGAACATTGTATGGCGGCTATGGTGGGATCTTAATAAAAGGTACCCGCTTGGCAACAATAATAAAAACAGCTTTTGATCTTCTTGGCCCACAGCCGCAGAATATGTATCTCAGTACGGATTCGCCTATCCGTTGTTGCTGAAAATACTTTCTCTTCAGGACTCCAACTTCTTCGTACAGGCACCTCATATCATCAGCTTCAAGTACCGGCAATAGCAGTCCAAGGATATTGAAGTCTTGTTTGGAGGACGAGCCGGGCTATACGCAATGATTACTGATTCAAGGAAAACTTTTTTTAAAATAGGGCTCAATCCTTTTGGAGGATTGATTCAATGCACAGGCAATACCATACTATTATTATGAGGCACACAGCAATGAAATGGGTTTTCTTTTAAATAAACATGAAACAATAGTAACGACAATAACAAGCATGAACCAAAAAAAGAATAAAGTATCTCTACCTGGCATCTTTTTGGTCAATTGTTCGCTTTTTGTTCTTATACAGGATTAAGCTGTAGTAAACAGACTAGCCCTTGACGGGACAAGGAAAGGTGCGGAATGTCAGACAAAGACGTAATGTCGATATTTTTCTGACCGAGGTATATACTAACATAATATAGAGAAAGCTTAGCAAGTTTTTACATTATTTTGGTATTTTGGGATAAATGCGCCAGAAGAAAGTACAACTATATATACCAATACCTTTGCGGCCTCCATTAGGAAGCACCAAGGGCCATTCTGTTGAAGGCTAAAGATGCGGACTTCCCGAGGATCATCCGACTGAGAGTTAACATCTCGGACTAGATACATTTTTTTTTTTTTTTTTTAGTAGAAACCCTGGGAGCGCTTGATGGTATTATAGGGTGCAAAGGAGGATGACGTGAATTTGCGTTTTTGTGACGAGACAGATCTTGGTATATGATGTTCCGTACTGGAGAGAGATTGAAGCGGAGGGCGGGGAGACTAAAGCGAGTGAAAGATATGAGGGGGATAGAGACGAGGAAATGACTGAAGATTCTGAAGGACCTGAAGAGGTCGAAGAGGATGAAATGCCTGAATAGGCTGAACCGGATCTTTTCTGAGAGTAGGTATTTCAGAGGTGAAGAAGCATACAAGAAAAGACTTAAGATCCTATTGTTAAGTTGAGAGGGGTAGCCAACGCAACAATAGCCAGGTCCGGGATATCACTGCTTGAATCTTCCAGAATTTTTTTCTCTCTTTTCTTGACTCGTTCCAAATCTGAAGCTCGTCTTCGTCATCCTTTATAAACTGAAGCCAAGAGGCTTCGGCAAAGATCTTCTTGGTTTTAAAGTATTTCTGGAGGCTTTTTTGCTTGAATGATATGAAGACATGTTTAAAGTGGTAGGCTGCAGGGTGGGAACTGATGACTTTATTGGGAGGAGATTCTTTGGCCTTTATACTATCTGTCTACAGGTGACCGTGGTAGTGCTCGCTGATGACGAATGAGAGATTCTATTTTTACAAAGAATATCTCCTTGCTGTGGATCCACAGAACACCCTGAGCAGTTAATAAGAATAAAATAAAAACTAGATATTGGTGGCTATTAATGCCCAGCCACAGCAGCAATGTAAGCTTTGATGAAATGGGATGTATACGAAGGTAATAATGAAGAAGATCTCAGAGACTATTGGTAAAACGTGGCGGCAACAGAATATAGAAGAAGGATGCTCCAGCACCCAAATCAATATTGGCAAGCCTTACCAATCGCATTGGAGGCATGCTTATGCGAATATCGGTAGCGAATAGTATAAAGAGAAAAACGAAGCCTTATCATGGGAATTGTTATTTTTTTTTATTCTTACTCGCGCCTGATAGGAAACACGCGTTCTGGATCGTAAAGCGCTGGGCCATAAGCTTGTTTCTTTGCGTGGTCCCCTGTGACAGCAGCTGCCTCTTCCTGATGTTAGCCATGAAGGAAGCTTTCAGACAAATGCCTTGCAAAGCAAGTCCATAAACCCAGTGGACCAGGAAGACTGCAGTTGACAATCATCGGGATTAACAGCTTCACCATCTGTTGTGTGGAGCTCGCTGCAGGAATTAAAGAGACTGAACGTGGACCCAGCTCTGGCTCCAGATACTGGGAGAAATTGCTGGATGTATAAAGGGATGACAGTGAGGTTTGCCGTGCAGCCGATAACTTAGAATCATAACGTGGTATAGAACGTCCAAGCACCGTGTGTCTGGTATGATGAACTTGATGTGCAGATTCGGCGAGAGGGGAAGGCGCTTTGGGGAACCTCCTCTTTTCGCGACTGAGGCTAGGAGCGGTGTTCGCTATGGGTCCCGCAGTCGCCTAGGAAATAGTCTGGTATCTCAAGGTCAATATCATTTAGTATACCTTGCGCCTCGAAAGATTAACTATAGTAGTCCGCACTTATACTTTAGGAAGAATCAGCCCTGTTTGCTGGAAGGCTGTTCTGGTATTGCATTCTTCGTGCGATTGGAGTTCGGCGAGGTACAAGTATCTTTATAGAAGCATTCAGTGGTATAAAAATATCACAATAAGCGAATGGCCACTAAGTGTAAACGAACTTAAACCTCCAGCACGTGCCTAATTCACTTTCGGTTTACAATGTGTTCATGTGTTCATGTTAGAAACATCATCAATCATTCTTTTTTTTTTTTTTTATTCCATGACTTCATTCCATTTACTTGAGACTATCCTCTATGACCCGAAAGGTAAGAGGCATTGTATATCCTTGCAGAGGGGAATGAGGCCATGGATCTTCTAATGTTCGAGCCTTAAAGATATCCGAACTTTCCCACGGTGTATCATACTCATTCCATTCCTGACAATATCTTCAAATCCTTATAAAAAAAAAGAGGGTTTTTTTCTTCTTGACTATCATTGTGAACGAATGATCAATTCGGCCAAGGCTTTAGGAGAATTTTTTGCAACTGATCCAGAAAAATTTTTACGCGACCTGATCCCCACACATTCAGAGATATCGAATAAACTGGATGTCGCCATCAAGAACCTAGGCAGAAATATACGTCAGCGAGTAAGGCCTTTTTTTTTTTTTTTAAGAGTAAACATGGTGGCTAAAGGAAGAGAACAATCATTTCCTAGGAATACTCACGTTGAATCCTCTTTTTTGTTGTTGTTGTTGTTGTCGTTGCAGATACGAGTGTTACTTGACTTTGATGGAGCAATCTCAATTCAGTCCAGTCAATTGCTTTCGGAGACTAATGACTTTTCAGGTATTTCTTCGCTCTTTCTGTTTTCTCTTTCTCTCTCTTCTCGCTCTTTTCCTCTGTCTTCCATTATCTATCTCACTGACTTGTCTTGGCCTTTTTATTTTTTTTTTTTTATTTTTATAAACCTTCTGGCATCAGATTCTTCTATCATTGTAGTCCTGGATACAGAAGCAACAAATAGCGACAACCCCTTTTTACATCATAAGACTACAGAGCGGGCTGTTTATAATGATGCACGGGACAGACTAAGTATGTTTGCCATGAGTTGAGCAGATATGGCTTTATCATTTAAATTGCTAAATGTTTGTCTTACGTCTTTCTCATCTCGGATCCAATTTTTTTTTTTTTTTTTTTTTTTTTTGTTGGGATTTAACAAGAGCTTGGTCCCATTGGGCCACCTGGAACAACATCGGGACCATACGACGTGATTTTATACAATCAGAACAACGAAATCATGGAGACATCCATTGCTAATATTGCTGTCGAAATTGTCGATCCAGAATCAGGAAAGCTAGAGTGGATCACACCTCCATTGTCCTCAGGTAAAGCTTTTTTTTTTTTTTTTTACTCATAAATCATTTCCAAGTTGAATTCAGTTGAATAACCCTAGTTTCTTTATTTTTGTCTTCATTTGGTAGGTCTTTTATGTGGCACAATGCGACGATATCTACTGGAGAAAGGAGAACTGCGTGAAGGAATCATTAAAGTGGATGATCTAAAGAAAGCAGCATTGGTAAGAGCGCTATATCTTCGTCCAGGTTTTCCCCATCTAGGATTACATGACTAATTTTATTATTACTATTGTTGTTATTATTATTTTGCACCACATTGTAATGCTATAGGAGGGCAGAAAGATAAAGTGCTTCAATTCTGTACGCAAGGAATATCCGGTGACTTTACAACTATAAACTCTTTTTATTACTATTAATATTATGGTTACAGAAATAAAATAAATAAAAAAAAGTAATCTAGACTGTCACTTCAATCAGTTCATTCTAGGCTTGGGCGAATGCTGGGGTATACTGAAGAAAGTCTGCTAGATTTCTTTATTATTATCCCTACTTCAAAAACATCATTATTCTTATTTTTTTTTTCTGTTTTTTTTTACTCGTATAGGAAGACAATGACGCCAACTGCGCCTAAGAGCGCGTATTTAAGCATTGGATAGTCTGTCATGAAGATGGTGAACATGCCAAGGTATGGCAAGAATCCTTGTACACGACCAACAATGTCTTTGGGTTCAATCCACATCTTTCCTCTGTTTGAGTGCAATTCCTGGTAAAGACCACGATCATCCACATTATTGTTGTCTCCCTTGGTCAGAAGTAGCTGGCTTCCAGTACTCGACCTAAGATAAGAAAATGCAAAAAACAAACGAGTGAATTTGAGAAAGTAAAGAGAGAGAGAAAATAAAAGCGGATTTCTCTTTCTTGAGTAATTCGAATTGAGCTAGAAATAATTGGACGTACGAATCATGGCGATCGATGACGCGGTGAACAATAGGAATATCGCGTCCAGGAATCTTGAAAACACAGATCTCTCCAATCTCAATAGGTTTCTTGGGATTGCTTAAGAATAAGATATCGCCTCTTGCAAATGCTGGTTCCATACTTTCACTGTAAAAAAAAAAAAAAAAAAGTTAGAGAGGCTGCTCTAATTCTCAAGGGAACGGCAACACTTCAAAACACAGTTTCGATGATTATTAGATTGACGTGGCGCGTTATTCGTGGGGGAGGAGAAAAAAAAGACACGAACCTCAGGACGACAACCAAAGGAGATTCACAGTTGGTGTAAAGACCCCATGCCTTATAGGACATGAAGACACCAAAGAGCATCATCAATACATTGAGTGAATTTGTGAGGATCTATAATGTATTGAAGATTTGAGAGTCAATAAATAAGAATTTGTAGTGACAAGATGAGGTGTATTCACAGAGTGGCGATGTCCTTTTGGAAGAGGGATTCGTAACAACCTGACGCAGATTCATGGTGAAGTGATAAAAAAGTGTCTCCTGCTATTCCTGATGTTCCTGAATATAACAAGAGAAAGGAAAAAGAAAGACCAAGTAATAAATTTCTTTTTTGTGGGGTGTAGACTTCCTGTTGCTTGTGAGATGGAGAAATGAGGAGGGAAAAAAGCGAAATCGTCTGTGGCGAAACTTTTTTTTAAGCCTAATTGATATGCTTTTTTCGTAAACCAAAAAAAAAAAAAAATAATAATAATAATAAAAGGGCAAAGCAACCAGAAATTGCTTTTTCATCGTCTTTACTGTTTGCTACAAGCACTTTTATCATGCTGTATTGGGCTTAACCATGTTGTGTTTTCTAGTAAGACTATGTATGACATGTCTCTCGCTCGTCTCTGTAGTCCGCCGCATTGTACCCAGCTGATCAGAATTAGTAGGCTTATAGGTATGTTTTACATAATGCTCCAATACCTATATTGTCGCCAGCGATATTGACGCAGAGGCCGCCTTTATGGAAGCGCCCACTGAATCCTCGTGATTACTCATCCCAACCAACTGTGATTCTAGTGGTCTTTGTCGTAAGGAATAGACGCGTCCAGAAACACATCCCTCACATTTTTTATTTTTGATCTTTACCATCAGTCACGTGCATCCATTATCCGTTAAGACAAAGATTAACATTTCATTCCTACACATTTCATTCGCCTCTTTTACTCGATAGACAACCATCAATGCCACCACCACCCCCACCACCCCCACCACCGCCACCAGGAGGAGGACCACCAGCTCCTGGGAAACTGCCTCCGGTTTCAAATGATAGAAGCGCACTTCTCTCGCAAATTCAGTCTGGCAAACGTCTCAAAAAGGCTGTCACTAACGACCGTTCTGCACCAATCGTCGGTAACGTCTTGACTCCATTTTTACAGCATGTCTTGACCATTCTACATCATGTCGAAGCGATTGTTTTGTCATTATTCTATTACAATTATTATTTTTATTTTTATTTCATCGTTCCTCTCGGTGAATGGCAACAAGAAAACTCGTCTTTGTGACAATGACGTGCTGATGCTAAAAATTAAAAGTTTATTCTTGATTCCTTTTCTAAAATAAGAGACACCAAAGTCATCGATAGGCAGCGGAGGAGGAACGTTACCACGACCACCACCAATTGGAGGCGCAGGAGGTGGAGGCGCACCTCAATTAGGTGGGCTGTTTGCTGGAGGAATGCCTAAACTTAAGAGTCGAAGCGGTGGACTGGATACTGGAGGTAAGAATAAAGATTTTTTTTTTTTTTTTTTTTTGGGCTGTTCTTCTTGGCATCTTTCATCGCCATGCCAGCTTTCGGTCATTGACTTGTAGTAATGGGAGTAATGATGATGTGGTAACCAGTGCGGGCAAGAAAACAAAAACAAAAAAAAGACAACACCAGACACTCACCATTTACAGTTGTCGACATGTGATTTGAGGTCAATGGAGCAAACAACAATGTGCAGACAAACTATGTGCGACAAATGACATTGGCGATGATTTATATTTATCCAGTTGGCCATTCAAATTATTACAACAGAGGAAGAAAGATATGAATTGAGCAGCTCTCGTCGCTCTTTGTCTCGATTCTTTTGCTACTCCACTTGATCTAATTGCGGCTCTCTGCACTGCTCGTACTTTCACACGCGCCGCTCTTGTCCACAGATCGCTATCTTGTTGGGTTTTTGTCAGGCATGTTTATGCCAGTATGTATCTAATATAGCTACCGTCAAATCTGCTTCTTATTGCTTCGTAGCCGACCACAGCGCAAACAATAACACCACCAATGGGACTCCAGCTAGAGGGCTACCGAAACCACCGACTATCAACGCTTCTGCCCGGTCTACGCCTCCAGTACCTGCTGCAACACCGCCTAGCGTGCCAGGACGAACCCCACCGCCAGTGCGCCACACACCCTCAACACCATCCGCAACAGCAACTCCTCCTAGCCTACCGAATCGTAGCTCTGCTCTACCGCACGTCAACGGAGCAAATGGGTCCCCTGCTCGACCCCCAGGGCGCCCTGTGCCTGGGGCCCCCAACTCCTCGCGTTCTCCTGCTCCACCCACACCAGCACGTAAACCAGGACCACCACCACCACCTCGGACGAATGGAGCAGCGACTGCACCACCAGCGACACCAGTAACACCATCAAGATCAACTCCTGCGCCCCCAGGCCGTGCCCCTCCTCAACAACCTACTCGCTCTACACCTGGCCCACCCTCGTTGTCAACGCCCAATAAGTTACGTCCATCGCCTAGTGCACCCGCAACGCCACCTGTTCCACCAGGGTCGGGTCATAGGGCCAGATCAGGCTCTGCACCAACCAAGCCAGATTTTCGACCCGCCTCCCCTGTGACTCCCTCATTTAAGCAACGTAAGCACACAACTTTAGTATTTCAAAAGCTAGAGAGAATTATTTTTATGGCAATAATGCATGACCATTCAGTTTTGATAATGATCAATAATGCTTTTTATTTTTTTATTTTTTTATTTTTTTTATTTTTTATTTTTTTATTTTTTTATTTTTTTATTTTTTTTATTTTTTATTTATTTTTAATGCCGCAATTACTACTATCTTAATCAACAGCAGAGCCACTAGCAACAGAAGGACGATGGACATTTAGAACTACAGGAGATTTCCCTGCACCCAGGACGAATTATGATCATGGATCAAAAGTGTACCCCAGTGGGAATTCAACAGGAAGCTGTAAGCTACTTTTGCGTCTCCATGCAGTTTTTTTTTTTTTTTTTTTTTTTTTTTTTTGAAAAAATGCACAAGTCTCTGGCAAAAAGATACATTTTTTACTAATTTTTTTTTTTTTTTTTTTTTTTTTTTATAAATAAAAAAGCAATCCCTCTGGATTTTTCATCATTATCAGGGGGAAGAAACCCGCCTCCACCGCCAATTGGAGGAGCAGGTCGTTATCGTTAAAGCATTGAAGCATTGATAGCAATACACTCATGGCAGCCAGTCAACACACCACGAGATCACATCGAATTGTCTGTCAAAAAGTCTGTTGGATTTAATAATAAAATAATAATGTTTGTATAAATAAAAAAAGTAAAAAGCTTCCTGTGACAACCAGTTTTTTTACTCTTCATTCTTATTATCATCTATGGAGTCATCCTGCTCAACTAATCTCCGATGCTGTTCTTCTGCATCAGCAACCATTTGCTTTCTACGCAATGAAACTTCATCCAGCTGCTTCTGAAGACTTGCGATCTGCTCCTGAAGCCTTTTGATGTCATGTTGATTGGCAGCTAGAGAATATTGAAAGGAAAGAATTAGATTATGAGTAAAAACAAGTTGAAAACGGAATAAGCTATCCTTCTCTCTTCTCTCTAATCAAATAAAAAAATAAAAAAAATAAAAAATAAAATAGTTTACCATTGATTCCAGTACTCAATGAAGAGTTACTGTCTACGATTGGGCCAAACTCACGACGCCAAACTTCCTTTGTAGCATTCCAATGGTGTTCTTTTTCGTCCACCTCTTTTTTCAAGCGCTCTACTTCGGCCGAAACATCGGATCTAAAAGGACAAAATGATAGATAATAATAATTACAATGATACTTGTAACGTTTAGATATAGCAGGAATGCGGAGACTGAGGATGTATAAAAATAAAAAATTAAAAAGGCTATTCATATTCTCGGTAGTTACCGATCGTTGTCTGATTCATCTAGTGCATCCAATTCTGCCTGCTTCTCGCTCAATTGCTTGCGGATCGAGATCAATTCCTCGGTTGATTTTTGAAGCTGTTTGGTTGTTCGAAAGAGGGTATGAGTGAATAAAGAAATTACTCCTTTTTTTTGGTGTACCAATTAATAAACTTTTTTTTTTTTTTTTTTTTACCTCCTCGAGGGCAACTTTTTCAGGATCAGCACCAATTCGTTCCTCCCTAAATTCAATATGAAAAAAAAAAAGTAAGCTAATGTGTAATGCTTCTTTTTTTTTTTCCTTCAAAAAAAAACTTCTGTGTATATATATACTTTTCAATAGCTTCCAAACGATCCTTTACGGTTTCTAGTTCTGCAGCAAGATCAGTCTTTTCGAGAATGTTTAAACCCTGTAAATTGATCTCAAGCTTATCAACAGTTGCATCGTGTTCGATCTTCTAGACGAAAAAAAAAAAAAAAAAAACGTATAGGTTTCGTGTTATTACTCGTCATCAATTCTCCATCGAACAGAAGCCTGTTGACTACTCTGCTCTCGCTCAACCTGTTCTTGCGTCTTTTTTCTTTTTTTTTCTAATAATAATAATAATAATAATAATAATAAAAAGAAAAAAGAAAAGAAAGAAAGAATGCTTCTGTGCTAGTTAGAATACCTGGGTCTCTGGAGCGGTCTGATCCTCTGCACTCATGTCTGAATAATTATGATGTAAGGGGCTTTAAGTAAAAGGTAAATGGTAATGGCGAAATGTGGAATTGTGAAAGAAGAAGAGACAAAAAAAAAAAAAAAAAAAAAAAAGATTGAGAGAGAGAGAGAGAGAGAGAGATAAAAGAGGCGAAGGCGGAACAGGGGGAACCCTGTCACCCTTCTCTCTCCCCGAGAAGTGTACCCAAAAAGACACGCCTTGTCATTCATTGCACAGAGCGTTTTTGCATGGTAATAATAGTTCAGAGCAAATTACATTGCACATATTGTTGCACATATTGCACATTCACCCATACATATTTTAGAAACGCATACATAAAAGAGGTAGGCTCCTGCGGACGAAGCGCATGTGTGTGCACACGTGCTGCAGGGCAGCCGTGCCTAAAAAGGCAATTGGATGGCTTGCTCTTGCAGATGCTTGGCCAAGGTATGTATGGGTGACGAGCCTAGGTATGGGTATCATTATTCAGAGTGGCATTCGACATTGATAAAGATGAAATTGCGATATGATAGAGTACAATGACCGGCGTAGCTCAGAGGTGATATATTGATCATGCAATAGTAGTTCTTCTGCGTCTATTGTTTCCATAGCAATCCTCGATTGAGTACCAAACAACATCTTGGGGATATCATGACGGTCTGGCGTAAATATTTACACATTTAGATAACGCAAATAGTTTATTAAATGATTTAGGTATGCTTTTAATATTGTACTGATTTTTGTTTTTCATTACAAGGCTCGTTCCGAATGTTAGCTGCGAAGAAAAGGAAAAACATGGCCATGGTTCATTATGTAAGCTAGGGGCTTTGATTGCCAACGAGCTGATTGCAGGTTGATTGGGACACTCACCAGTTCTTCGTGTACATTCTGAGGCTACGTGACCTCTTGTTTTGCATTTAGAGCATTGTTTATGCCCTTTTGTGTTGTGTGTAGTGTTTCTTCCACACTGCTGACAGTCAAAGAATCGTTTGTTGTTCGATTCATCACTTGGGGCGGGTTTGTTCATGGGATTATGCCTTGATTTATTTCGAGCATACCTCATGGAACCGGTCTGACGAGGTTTTTCCTCGGTTGCATCAGAGAACACCGGTGTTGTTAGGTTTCGTGGACCCTGGAGATCACCCAAAATTTTTATGAAGTCCGATATGTGGGTGAATGATGTGATGTATTGCTTTTTGTAATTTTGTAGCATTGCCATCATGATGTGCAATGTATGGTTATTCATGGTTGCCTGGAGCATCGAGATGACCATGTCGTTATCATCACGAACTCCATAAACACGGACATCCCTATCAAGTCGCATAGCGAATTGATGGTACGTCTCATGTGCACCACGTCCTTTTTCCAAGAGTTTGTAAAATTGAGACGTCCTTTCTTGTTCGGTCAGTGCACATTTTTCTTAAGTCTTTTGGTCCTCAGTAAGTTCTTTGACTTTTAGATGGAGTGGGGTTGCCAGTGACTCCACCTCTTGCACGGAATTCAGGAAGTCTTCGGCTCTCCTCTCAAGCGCTCTAAGTTCTTGGGTTACGTTTTTAGAGTTTCTTCGATGTTTCCATCGACAGTTTCTGAACCTTGTTGAGCAACCAGACGGGCCAGGTAAGCTTTTCGAGTAATTAACTCACGACGCTTTTCATTCATGTCCTTTAAGATTTGTTCGTTGCTTCGAGTATTCGCGAACGTGGAGAGAGGGTCCTCCGTTACAACATCAATATCTATATCTTGAAAATGTTCTCTTTGGGGAATAGTAGACGAGTTGAGCGGAACATCTTGCAGGTCAACAGGGGTAGCAGGAGGGACATCGTTATTGGCATGAGTACCAATAAGAACGGTTTTGAGGTTATCAGATGCAATGTTGGGGTTCATTATGAAAGAGTGTCTTTTATGGAATGGATGTGGAAATGTGTTCAAACCTTCACTTTAAAAAAAATGAAAAATATTTTGCGGATAGATAGTAACAGTAGAAAAAGTAAGTGAGAATAAGATGTGGGTCCACACACCACACCTATGGGGTACTTATTCATTTTCTGGTAGAAGGGGCTTGTACCAGGCAACTACGTATCTATCTATAAGACAACATGGGTTTCATTCAAAAACCCACATGTCAAAGATTTATCGCGTCTTTGTGCGACGCGTTATCGACACTAATTTCTACTGCTAATTTTTTTTAGCGTATTAATTTTGATTGGGAATTTCCCTAGCCAGGCCATCATTATATTGCATACTGTGAAATTTGCAACACAGACAATTACTTCCTTCAGCTTAGTTAGCTGTGCTTTACCACTGACAGCGCTGTATCCTAATTGTAAACGGCTCGCGCTAGTTGAATGCAATAAAGAACCTGCAAGGCTCCAGTGGTAGATGACATTGCGAGGTCTCTCACTGGTCATCCTTCTTTCTTTAAAAAGTAAGCAACTACGTCAGCACATGCTAGGAAAACATTAAAGGCATGCCGCGCATCAGTACATTTATTTTACATGTAATTACTTTGGTTTATTGCACTTACTGTGCCTGTGAGAGTGGGATGTTTATGCATTCATACGGATACGGGCTTTCAGCCACGGGTCAGAGGCACATCTAGTAATGCTCACTGTCGCTCATTCGATACCTCACAGGCGGTAGGGAATACTCTACTTTAATGACTTCTCTTTCTCATTTTTATTTTTTTTAAACGATTGTTGCATATTTCAATATGCAATATAATAATGGTCCGGCTAAAAAACTAGGAAAGATCTTAAAAAACACACTAGAGAAATTTCAACTGAAATAGTACGATAAAAAAAACTAGCAGTAGAAACTAGTGGCAATAACGCGTCACACTAAGATGCGACAAATCTTTGACATGAGAACCCATACTGTCTTATAGATAGATACATAGTTACCTGGTACAAGTCCCTCTACCAGAAAATGAATAAATACTCCATGGGTGTGGTGTGTGGACCCACATCTTATTCTCACTTACTTTTTTTACTGTTTACAATCTATCTGAAAATATTTTTCAACGATGAAGGACAAGCAATTAACCTCCACGTATTGCCCTGAGCTTATCTAATAGAGATGGGATGCATGTGTGCTCTTTAGCATGTGCGCTGGCCGAAGGGATGTGGAAGGTGAAGTCCAAACAATACCAGGAGAAATCCTCTGATGCGCACCAATGCATGTTTGAACTGTGCCATTCTGCTCGACTACCGTGCGCTTTTCAGAGACTTCTGCGTAATCATTAACGAATAATAAAGCATGCCTTGCCTTCCGACAACAGAATCAGAATTATGTCGTTCTTCCTCCAGTTGCCCAAGGAATTCCTTGGAGGGATCGTACGGTGCATATGTTTAATGGTCGGGAGTATTTTGAGAGGCTACAAACAATAATAGAGATGACATTTGAGTGATACATTAGAATAATGTATTAGCTTACACTGCCAATTACTACTGGAACCATTAATAAAAGTCATAAACAATTCTTATGGGTATCCCCCTTTCGCATCGCCCGAGAAGAGAGACTGAGCGCCACGGAGACCAGAGTATGGCTTGGATCACTGTCCTCTGATTCACCAACACCCGACGTTGCCAGTATTTGTCACAAAATTCAAATACTTCATTTTGACCGTGCTCTGATGTTAATTCAATAACCAAGAGACCCTGAAATTCGCTTGATTACTTAAACCCAAACAGAATTACTTCACTGAACCTTTGGCTGACATAGCAAATTCATAGAGGACAACGCTCTGGAGCTCGGCAAGAATCGTAAATAAAATGCTAGTTTAGTATACCTAAAAGATGTATAAGAGATTGCCATGGCGTATCAAGACGTCTCAGAATGTTCGAAAAGGCCGTACAAAGTATCAGTAGTAAGCCTTGCTAAGCGAGAATGCACGCAAGCTACGATAAAGGCATTACATTGGCGATCATTTCTTGGTGGCAATTGTAGATTTCCATGAGAGCGTGATGAGTATACCGAAAGCATTCTTTGAGAGCAATGATTTGTCCTCGTTGATGGTTGAAGTATTGGCGCCACTGAACTAAGGGCCACGGCTTGAGGAAAATCCCAATGCTAGAATACTTAAATACATGAAATAAACATTAGCCGCATCATTGAAGCCAGTATCTTACATACTTCTGGAGGAATAGGCCTATATACAGGGCCCCTGTATATCTATAGCCGCTCCATATCTGAGAGTTGTTTATGTAATGCAACTATATACCTCAAGGCGAAACGACCTAACATCGTTCTAATTGAGTCACATAAATCAACTTCAATTCCACGAGTACTGTCGTCGACATCTGATAATAACCTCCTCGTTCAGACGCCTACCACAAAAATATCCTCTCGGCCGAAACGTCTAAGCACACGTCATTAAACATGGATAGTTATAAAAAAAAAAAAAAAAAAAAACAACAACTGATAGCTGTGAGCCATTATTAGATATACTCGATTGATTTGGTCATCGATATAGTCTGGGTATCAAAAAGTGTCTCAAATAAATGACTGGCTGATGGTAGCAAGCGTCAATAGCGTCGTTACTTTTCTGATCCTCCGATGTCTGATCACTCCCCTTGCAGGAAATACCCAGCGTACTAATTCATTCAACAATACTAATCATAATAAAGGCCGTAACACTACATACATTAACAAGCAGTATGGAGGTGTAAAATAATATGTCGATATTCATATTTTCTTTAACACAGTTTATTAGGCTGAGATTTACTGAACAACGTACGTACACCCTCATGCAACGACAAAATTCGTTGTCAGATGCTGCATGCTTTGCAGCAATGGGATGCACCCAATCCTTGGCCCATGAATCTTTGACTTGTAACGGATCAAGGGATAGCTCTAACCTACAGCAACATTGTCAACCATTTTTATTCATATATTCTTTAATCAATAAACGAACGATGATGGAGTCTATTTCATGACTGATTCGATAATTCATCCATGTCGTTTTTTTTATTCGACATCATTTGTACTCAAAGAGCCTCCTCAACTGTGCGACGCCACAGTAAGAAGTGTGAGCCTCCAAGTTGATGAGCATGTGTCCTCAGCCCTGCCCATCTCCCCACGTTTAAATGGACGAATTCTCCTTCGTTTGGTCCTGCGTCAAATCTCTAACCTTTGCATGTGCACCTTACAGCAATTGCTCTCGAAGTATATACTTGCAAACTTCTCTTTTTTTTTTTGATGATTATAAAAGATCGCCTTTTTGGGATTTTATATTAGATGTAGCAATTTTTCTAGCATATTCTATTTCTTACTCTTTTAATGTACAAAAAAAAGGTCTGATCGACTGAATAAATAGGAGTATCATCCCGAGTAGCATATGATGAGATCCTTGAAGCATATCCAAAAAAAAAAAAAAAAATAGGCCATACAGCTCTGAGAAATAGAGAAAGGTGTTTAGGATTAATATTTTTTTTTGGGGAGGGGGGGTCCCAGGAATTTTTGTTTTGTTTTTTGAGACGCGTCGTTTTTTCCTTTTTTTGAGATATACTCCTAGGCAATACTCCATCCAAGGCTTTCAAACTCGAAGGCCACCATGTATTGTGCTGAGCCTCTAGAGTTTTCTACGCACCTCTACAGCTCTTAGTCATGCATCAAACTGAACCTCACACAAAACAACAACCCTGAAGGATAAATATTGAAAACAAGTGCTTTCCCTCCGATGGCACAGCCTGCTCTTCTTTCCTGAACGTTTGCAGGGAGCATATATCCTGGATAGCATGTGAAGGATATCGAATTGTTTGTGGGCATGTTTACCAAGAAGACATAGTAGAACAATGATCATAGCCATTCTTTTTTGTTTAACTGTGAGATTACATTTATATTTGTCATGACTTACACTAGAAGCGTTGTTTATTTCGACTTGCTTAATATTTTCTGCTCATTGGTGCAACAACAGTAAATTTCCTATACACACCACGTAATCTTTTTTGTTTTGGTTTATTTTGTATTGTTCTCTCATATTCCATGTTTTTTTTTTTTTTTTTTTTTTTTTTTTTTAAAAAAAAAAAAAAAAAAAAGCTGTTGTCAGGGTGTCAGATTGGCTGTTATGCTCTCTAGTAATTGTATGTTTAGTCCTGTCTAAATACGTATAAAATGTTACAACGAAAAAAAATAAAATAAAGAAGCAACTAATAAATAAATAATTGTAAGCATATTTACAAGGAAACATCAGGTGCTTGTAAAAAAAAAAAAAAAAAAAGAACAAAACAGATGCTCTAATGAATGAACCCATTTGGGGATGGATATCCAAGGATGGGAATCCGTCACAAGAATAATAGAAAAAAAAAAAAAAGGATGTTTGTGCACTGTAACACAAACGTTATGAAGAACAGAGGGAATCCTTGCTCCTCCACAAGATCCTCCACTTTTTGCATGCTCATGCAATGTGGGAGAAGGCGAAAATATACCCAGCCAATAACAAACAAACAAACAAACAAACAAAAGCAAAAAAGACAGAGCCATATATTTTGGATAACATCGGTATAGAAGGACCCATGAATAAACAGAAAGAGAGAGGGCATTGGTGCGTACTCAAAGTTTCAGTGAAGCGCCGTCGATTTCATTACTAACTCCATTAATAACTCTAACCCAATGTATTCTGTACATGTAACCCTTTTTTCATATTTTAATCGTCTCCACTGGGTTTGACTATAGCCCATACGATAAGAGTTTGCTTTTACTACAGTACTTTTGATTGATAGTGGAAACAATAATAATAAGAAACCTCATAACTCGCTTGTATTAGAAAAGAGAGGATGGGAAGCGCATACATTACAATCGACCTTCACTAGGTGTGTGGAGGAGTTATAGTTTACTCACAAGTTTTGAAGGCAAAAAAAAGAGAGCAATGAGCATTCCTGATTTTCGGGCGTTTTTTGTTGACATGTTCCCGCTTCCTTATGGCCATCGTGCATACCTGCTTACGCGAATGTGTTTATGTTCTTGAAAGAGGGTTTCATCACAATGGCCTTCGCCTTTTACTTTCTCCTTCGCCAACAGTAGACAATTTTATTACAGAAAGTCCCCAAAGCGCGTTCATTTTTCGTCTCAACTTTAATTTCTTCTCTCCCTTTCTTTACATATACAAAGCAACATAACACAACCACAAGTTAATATAGCACAACATGACATACGCAAACACAAAAAAACATTTACTGACAAGAGCAATTCCTTCAAAATCGTATGACAAACTATGTCTCAGCGGCATTTCCTACACCCCTCCTTTGGCCCTGCTGATGTTGTGGGAAACAAGAAAACATAGCAGCACATCCATCCTAGGGTGCACCTCGGATATTCGCGCGTCATCACCAATGTTCTTTTGTTTTTCAGACATTCTGTTTTCATTCCATTGCGATCTAGGCCCTGAAAGACGATAACTCATTTGTAATCCATTAACCAAAAGTCTTGTTTCCTTCTGCCACTCTCCTGACTCGTTGTTGATGTTGGTGCTTTTTTTTTTTTATTTTTTTTATTTTTATTTTTATTTTTATTTTTATTTTTATTTTTATTTATTATTTTATTTCTGTGGAGAGTAGACTTCATTTTCTTCCATTCAAACTCATGTAAAGAGTAGATTATAGCCATGTCATTCGAGTCTTTTATACTAATCCAGACCATCTCAAGGGTGAAGTCTTCACTATGTGAAGAGGACTAAATCTTCTAATAGAATGTCTTTCAGGCTAGCATACTTCATTACACACGCGTCTCAGTCTCACTTCTTTCATCCCATTCTTTTGTCTTCCAATTCTTATCAAATGGATACAGGTGAGCACGAACTTTGTTAGGTCTCAATCAGGCCGAACCGTAGAACTGTAAGCGTAGATGTTTGTACGTGTTGCAGCGTTTTTGTTTAATGGATGTAAGAATCGTTGCATGCTTGTCCGTCTATTGAAGACTGACGCCACATGTCGCTGTTTGTTTTTTTATTATTGTTTTCTTTAATTGTTTGTTTGTGTTCCTGTACCTTGTACTATACCGTGTATAGAGGATATGTGCACACACTCTATCCTGCGCCCATTATACCTATAACACAAGCACATGTAAGGACAATTATTTTGTGTGCCACCAACCTGTACAATTCACAACAACTACCTCTAGCGCATGAGCGCATTAGTAGAACTTCATTCTCAACGGCTCCTTCTTATTCCTGATTTCGTATAAAAGCAGATCACTTTCATCCCCTTTTTTGTTCTTCACTCCTCAACTCTCCAATCCAAGCAATCTCAACAACAACCACTCCAACAAAAAAAAAACCTTTCAACATGAAGTTCATCTCTGCCGTCTCTGCCCTCCTCCTCGCCGCTGTTGCCTCGGCTCAGTCGCCCCAATTCACCAACTGCGCTACTGGTGCCACTGACATGACCGTCTCTAGCCTTGTCCTCAACCCTTACCCTCTCTGCGTTGGTAAGGAGGTTTGCGCCACCGTTACCGGATCCCTCTCTGCCCCTGTTACCCAGGGTGCCAAGTTGAACATCGTTGGCAAGTACCTCAACCGCATCGTCTACACCGATGCTCACGACCTCTGCACTGTCTTGGCTGCCAATGGCACCCCTTGCCCCGTTGCCACCAGCGTTACCTCGGTCAAGGCCTGCATCTTGGTAAAGTCCACTGCCCCCACTGGTATCCCCGTCGTCCTCCAGGTCTCCGCTACCAACGGCAACGGTCACGTCCTCTTCTGCCAGCAAGCCACCGTCACCGCCCAGAACTGCCCTTAAATTCAAGGCCGCAGGACCTCGGCTTAGTTTTTTTTTCTCACTCTCTCATCTCTCGTATATATCAAAAGTTATCACTTAGTTCCGCCCAATCCCTTTTAAGAGCCTAATGATTTGGGCTCAATCCCCTTGTTGATTAATCAACAGAGTTTTTTCATAGTCATGAGAAAAAAAACGTATAATAAAAAAAAGAAAATTTTGATTAACATTTTTACGTTTACATCCAGTCAACTGTTGGTGCTACATGTGCTCTTACAGTAAGGAAAATTTCCTTGTTTAATAATAATAATAATAATAATAATAATAATAATAATAATAATAGTTTTAGAACAACCTTTTTTTTTTTTTTTTTTCCTTTCTTTTTTTCTTTTTTTAACACATACACATAAATTCAACTTGATCAACTTTTCTTCTTTTGCTTTTATAAGCTTATAACGACCGTTTATAAGTGATAAATAGTACATGTGCCCGTTGTTTGTGTCTTTACTTTATTTTTTTTTATTTTTTATTTTTTTTTTATTTTTTTTTTATTTAAAAAAAACGCGTCTACTAATTTTTTAAAATTACTGTGCTTTAGAGATACTTTTTTTTCAAAACAAAAACAAAGAGTAAGAAAAAGAAAAAGAAAAAAAACACAAAACAAAAAAGCAAAGAACAATAGCAAAAAAGAAAAAAGATGAAAACATTGCTTCTCATCATCTTAAACTGACAAACATAAGATCTTTCGAACGAACACCATTCAAGTTTTGCCCTTATCCTTCCATTATTTGTTGTGTCGACTTTTTTTTTTTTTAGTACCCAAAGTCCTCTAAAGTAGAAGAACATTCGGTACAATACATCAACATGTACTTTTGCACAGTTTATAGGAGCCGTGCATTTGTTCAAATAGGTCTGTTTGCTTTATGCAATCTATTGACAACGACGAAACTGAAACAGGAAGGACAAACTACATTATATATCAGCATAAATGTTTTTAATATTTGTTTCTAAAAGGAGGCTGTGCCTAAACGACAGTGTCCCCTCTTTTTTTATCAGATGCGCATTGACTGTTGAATAAAATTTTTTAGTATTTAGTATTTGCTATTTACTAAAGTTCGTAAAAAATTTATTTTCTTTACATCGTACCAATGGAATGATCTCGACTTCAACAACACATCAACTTCAAGTAACTCAATGGCAGATTCTCCAACTGAGGTGCGTCTAAGTTGAATAATAGAAAGTTGTTCTGTATTATATTGAAGCTATGAGACTATATTGACTATAAACGTAAATACACTGGACATATTTCCTATTGGTTACAAAGAAACCTAGTCAGGCTGCATCCTCTCTGGCACCTGGAGGAATGGGAAGAGAAGAAGAAGGAGGGGGAGGAAGAGTAGCGGATTCGACGCAGGAACTGCAGCCTATCATCATGGACACAATCAATAAGCTCTCATGTACTCTTTCATTTGAGCAAATATCAAGCATAGAGGAGACCTTACAACATATCAAGTGGCATAAGCAGCGACATCAACAACATTCACCATATCAACAGCAGCAGCAGCAGCAACAACAAAGTCAATTGCAGCTCCCTCCGCAGCAGCTACAAGATTATGATACTTCTATCCAACCGGAGCCTTCCGGTTCTGCACAGGCGTCTCAGCAATCACTTCTTGTTTCATCATCACAGCAACTACAGCGACAACGACCGCCATCTCTACCACGCACGACCATGCCTGCTATGCGTCACTTTATGTCTGTCATGACTTCTGCTTCAGAAGAGGCTGTCACATTGCTACCTACTGCGCCCTTAATCAAACTGGCTGAGGATGGAGTACCCTGGCTCACATTCGCCTACAACACGAGAACTTCTCGAACTTTGTGCAAAATTCGTGCTGACATTGATTCCATTCAGGATATTACCGTCATGGATACTCCTGCGGACTTTCGATCCCTCAACTGTATTTATGTAAACGCAAATGGGCCTGAGAATTGTTATAAAGGTGCAAAGGCCCGCCGAGATTTTGAGCGTGAATGTAACGAGCAAGGGTGGAAACTGGCATATCTGAATCCACAAGTGTTGGCTGGCAAAAAAGGTCTTTTACAACAAGCCGTAAATAGCTTGCGGAATGCGACTGTGAAACAGAGGTCTCGAAGGGCCCGTAGGCGTGAGAAGAACCTTCGACTGGCAATGGATACAATCATAGCCTCGCAAGGAAGCCTTCCGAACCAGTACCAATATCAGCATCAATATCAGCACCAGGAAAAAACATGGAAACAGGCGTCAGAGCAAGGTCTAGACTTGGCGCAGGGGCTTGCAAGGGTTGGTCCGCAGCGGGAGCAGCCCCAATCCTCTCCAGAATTTCATCCGCCTTCAGCAGCACAACGCGCTCTGCAATGGCGGCCACTCTTGGTACCGTCTCTGCTACCTCAGGAGGAACGGCAGGTTACTATGGATACCACTTCAAGAAGCGACACGGCGGAGGAACCTTCCTCATTACTGCCTTCACCAAAGACCATCCTTGTTTCGCCAACACTTCCACAACAAAACCTTCCTAATCTCGGATATTTCAAGCATGTGCCTCCATACACTGTCACCACCGCAGATCTAGATTACTATCTGGAATTTGATGGGTTTTTTGATGGCCGATTTCAAAAAGTCCATGTCCTGCATTATGGGATTGAACAGGTCCAAGTAGACGAACTGTCTTTGGAATTCAAAAGAGCCAACGCTGTATTCCCTCGGTCATTTTCAGATGATAGTCAAAAATCTGGGAACACTAGGAAGAATAGACGTAATAATAATAACAAAGATGAGAATGAAGACGAAGATGAAAACGAGAATGATAATGGCGGCTTGTCTGGATCGCAACAGTGGAAAGTGTCCAATGCTAGACAAGCAGAAGAATCTTATTTAAACGAGCTTGGCTGGAAGCTGGTAAGAAAGACATTTTAAAAAAAAAAAAAAAAAAAATTGAACTATGACTGTACGGCCGGTAAGATTTAGTAAAAAGAAGCTCCACTCATGAGTTGATTTTGTTACTTTCGTTATCTCTGGTTTGCTGTTATCATTAATTGGAACCTCCCAAGTGCTCTCTTAATCAAGCTGTCCTAGGCGGGAGACGTTTACTACTCCAGCAGGCGTTAAACGCTTATCGACGTCGATTCCTTCATGCAACCTGTCATCCACGTGCAAGGGTCGCGCCTACTCTCTTATCAAGATGGACAATAGCGCCTTCATCATCATCTTCATTATCACCATTACTCTCTCGGCTCCGAGCATCGCAACTTTCTACAACACGGACCTTTGATGATCACAATGCTTTTACCCGCTATAGATTAAAGGCGTCTCGACCTTTGCAGCAATATATACCGGACCGTCGCGTTCGGCTCAAGGGCTACAGCGATAAAAAATATATAACGGTCGCCAAGGCAAGGCCGAAGTTTGTCTCTCCCAAATATGGAATGGATTGCAATAGCTTTAAACGCAAGAACTTAACGGACATCAAAACCAATGGTAATCTAGGAGACGAAGAAGGAGATGGAGACGGCTATGGTAGCGAGATCGAAGATGAGACAAACTTTTACCATGATAATGATGATGATGAAGATGAGGACAATATTGGTGGAGGCAGCGACGGTAGTGACGGGGATAACTCTCATTCTCAAATGTCATTACTGACATTCACGGGAAATATTCGCACCTACAATCTGGGTTCCGGTTCCGGATCTGCTAGAAGTCGACCTCGTATCAATACCTCCAATACTAAACTGAAAAGCTTCAGCTGTACTCACTCACCTTTGCAAAGATCCAGTGAAAGACATCATTATAATAAAATTGAGGTCGCTTCCTCGATGAGTCGGCCATCCCGCAGATCGCATCGTCAAGAGCATCAGGAGGATACATTTAGGCCTCGAAAGAAGGTGAGACGTAATGATTTTAATGAGCTTAGAGCCTCTCAAGACAACGATAGTGGTGAGAGGCCTTCCAAAGACCCGTCAGGGACAGATGCTGCTCGGACACAGATCGGGGAAGTTGAAAACGATAATATTAGTGGCAATGATGATGATGAGGAAGATAATTGGTGGATGTCGCGGCTTCAAAATAGCTCCTATCCTGAGGATCACAACTTTGTGAGCATGACGACCGAGGAACTTATCGATGCTCTGACAACGGGATATAGTAACGAAGTAGAGGACGAGGAGGATGAAGAGGGAGAAGAGAGAGAGGAGGAAGAGGAGGAAGAGGAGGAAGAGGAGGAAGAGGAGGAAGAGGAGGAAGAGGAGGAAGAGCAGGAAGAGGAGGAAGAGGAGGAGGAGGAGGAGGAGGAAGAAAAAGTCAGCGAGACTGATTATGAATGATAAACACACCATGTGGTCACTTGGGAAATAAACTTTTAACCTTTTCGCCAGGAACCAAGAGTAGGCCAGTGTATCTGCCAACATTTTGTGATTTATCCCATCACTGGTAGGGCTATACACTACATCATACACCAGTTAAGTTTTACATTGGCGGAAATTACTGCCTACATGCCATTTCCACTCATTGAACTTGGCCTTTTTTTATTTACATTGGCATCTGCGTGCGCGTATCGATTATATAGATATTGTAATATACTATACTCATTCACATTATGCTCTTGACCTTTCTTCAGGTTGGATAGAAAGAGTCCAGATGTAGTCAATTATTTTGTCCAACGCCTCCTTCTGAGTGGCCAGAATCGTCTCACGAGGCACTTTAGGAGGCTCCCACGGTCTCTTTTGCTCATATGGTGCAGGACGCCCAGGGAGCTGAGGAAGAATCGGACGAGGCAGTGAGAAGTCGGCTGAAGGAAGGAGGTAACCAGGACCATCTGGATCTGTAGCAGCAGAAGCAGGAGATACCTGTAATGGCCTCAGTGTAAGTTCATTAGTCTGCGCGCAAACCTCAGACATCTTTGCTTCCTCCTTCTCATCCGTCAACATTCCTTTCGCTAGAGGGCTGCCCTGTATCAATGTAGTTGATTCTTGTGCGGCGTTCACAAGTAACCTCTGCAGCTGTTTGGATTGTGTATTAGCACTTACTGCTTCAATATGAGGAACAGAAGGCCGGTCCACATCCATTTCAGTAGTGAAGGTCCAAGTACCGTCAGGGGATGAAGGAATACTAGTAGCTGCGGATATGGCTATGGCTGGAGGAGGCCTGCTTGTGCCTAGCGAATCATTACACATGGTGGATACCACAGGACTTACCATCATCGTACGTGTCCGACTCTCTAGACGTGTCGCCTCTGTTGGTCCTAAAACACGCGCGCCATGGCGACCAAGCATTTTCCTGGCCTTTTTAGCATTCATTCCTGTCCCAGCAGCAATATTGATCAATGTTAAAAAACTCTGTCTCGTTATGTTGGCTTGTGATATCGCGTTCAAATTGATCATGGACTGATCTACTGGTGTAGTAGTGGCCATGAGCTCAGATAGCTTTTCAGAAAGGTAAAGATGAGGGTACCACACAGGTAGATAGCTTTGGAAATCTTGTAGAGGAACACCTGGATCAAGTATAGACGGAGTAAGCTCTCCAAATAGGGCGGATGTGCTAACCAGGCGTGCATAATTTTTATCTGTAACGGCAAGGACAATCATAGGACTGAGAGGAGATATTGGTATCAATGACCCAAGATCACTGATAAAAACTTCTTTTTCGCTTCTTGGGCATGAAAGACCATGGGTTTCTGCGATCTGTTCAAAATAACTCCATTTTAGGCGATAGTATCTGACCGTCTTCAAAACCCTAATTTCCAAAATATCAGCAAACGAATAATGGTCTAGTGGATTCGGCTCAATGTCGCTACCTTTCCCGCGACCAAAAAGTCTCTTGTACTCTGTGAAAAATATATTTGCCGTCATGAATGCAAAATCTCGGCTCAAGACATGCACTATTGCTCGGAAGATAGCTTCTCCAGCAGCTCTGTTTGCCACCTTGTTATCTTTCAAGATAGGAATATCTCCCACCATAGTGATCGCGAATTGGATCGATAAGTATTTGTTGTAATTGTCTTTTGGTGTTGGTCGCGAAAGATCTGCTGCAGCGAGTGACGCGTATAGCTGTTTACGAGCCTTTCTACTCATTTTAGTAGTATCTGTCGACTCTGCCATCTCTTTCAAGTCTTCTATCGTAGGCTGCGACGTTGACAGTGGCATACTGGGCGATCGTGATTCTTGCGATTCTTGTGGCTCTTGTGATTGGGGCGAAGAATATGAAGAAGGAAGAGCCTGAAGTGAGGGTGATACTGATAATGGTGAGGCTTGTGGTGAAGATAGAGTCCATGGTGAAGCTGAGCCCTCTGGCGCAATTTGCCAATGAAGCACTTTTCCGCCTTTTGGGATGAGTGGATATAAGCTACTCGGATTAGATGGCATTACATAAGATAACGCCTTTTTTTTATCTGCAGGTTTTGGAGCTACAGATGACGCTGGTTGTTCTGTAGCCATCGATGATGATTGCTCCTTTGGTTCCTTCTTACGTAATAATGTCGCTAGTGGTGGAATATCTATAGACACTGACATTTTTGATGGTGTGGGGCTCGGATGTAACATAACAGGCTGGGATGATATCCGAATCTGTGGACTGGGAGAGGGATGAATGATGTCTAAACAGGTTTTAATATAAATATCAATGATGTTAATGAGTCTATGAATGCTCTGCCTTTAAATGTTTGTAAGATAATAGCGCATTCTTACCCTGTAGATCTCCATTTTGCGTCAATGGTCGTTGAGATACGAACAGCGATTCTCCAATTCTTGGCCGCATTTGAGGCATCGTGTGTGGCGGAAACACTGGGCTAGGCATAGAAAAGGCTGCAGAGCCTGAAGTAGAGCAACTCAGTAATGAAGGCGAGGGTAATGGCAGCGGGGCATGCTGGGTGGGTGTTGATGAATCAGAATAGTGATGTTTCGAGTCAAAGCTGCTATTATTCTCCAGTGATGTCAAGGCACTCGATGTTTTGACAGAAGCATTGCGCCTAGGAATGTCCCTTGGTCTCTCGGGAAATGCATGAGTAGATGCTTGATTGCGCTTCTTCGATTTGGATTTAGCCATTACAGCTGAAGGAGACTAAAAAGAAAAAGGTGAAAGATTTGAATAAACGGAAATTTTGTTTTTATATGGAAATTATAAAACACGTGGAATGGTGGCCTATTTGATGTGATTATGACAAAAAAATGGAGCGGAACCAACAAAAGTATATGTATATTAACAAGTCATCTTTATGGCAGGTGGCTAATGACGAGGCGTTCCCCATAGAGCTCAGAAGCTCACCCACCAGATGGCACCGCCACTATTATATCAGTAATAATAACTTCATTGGCGATGGAGGCGACGGCAGCAGAAGGAGATCCGAACAACAAGCGTCCCTTTCTCTCCCCAACTCTTTGGAACACGGTTATTACCACGTGATATTAATAATAATAATAAAAAAAAAAAAAGAAAAGTCCATTCTCCCATCGCTCATTCCTCATCCTCCTTCTCCTGATCCGCCTTCGGTTTCATTGCAAAGAAGCCTCGTAGCTAGTCTGGCCTTTCCCTTTGAAAGAGAGTGGAATAGAAAAGACATAGGAAGAGAAACTACATACAAAGACTGTGATGATTCCATACTATTCTCTTTCTCTTTTACCAGTCCAGTTCTTCAATTTACCCCCTAATCAAAATCTTTTGCATCTTTCCAACAATGGCACCAACAGCAGGGATAACGCGCTACACTGTCGGCATCCTAGCGTTATTGTCGGTTGTTTGTATATGGGTCTCATCAAGCTTTCTTATGAATGTAAGTTTACCGTCCACATATTCATTCCACTGGCTTTGGGAACTAGGGATGAAGTATAATATAAAAGTCTTCATAGGCATTGTTACCTCTTTTCGTCCTTTCTTTTCTCTGGATTAATCAAACCATTGGGTCTGTGCATCATTTTATACTCTCTACGCTCTGTGCGTACATACGACAAAAGAAATGTGATTCCATCAATTGTCGTATTTATGGTGTGCGCTTGTGTGCACAACTGTCCATGTGCGGCGTGCACATGTCTTTTATTAAGATGACTGTTTTTGTTAATCATGCAATTCATTTCACACATGACTATTTCAGAATATTTTCGCAGGTCAAAATTACAACAAGCCGTTCTTTGTCACTTACGTGAATACAGCGTCATTCTCCTTTTATCTTGTCGGACCATTGTTCCGACACTGGCGCGCAATCTGTGACAACAGTAATAGCAGATCTTCATTGTCATCAAGCAAGACTACTCCTTTCTCAAGGTAAGCGGATGAAAACGAAAAAGATATTATATAATTTTTTAGAGTCACTGTGGATCTCTGATTAAACTTTATACTCAAAAAGAACAATGGACGGATGATTATCATGAGAAAAAAAAAATGAGTAAGGGAGCAAAAGCAGATCTTCACTATCAAGGATAACAATACAATGTGATCAACCCCCAATGTGTGTGCCCCATTGGTATTATGCCGTGGGCGTGTTCGCGTAGTTTAGTGTAGCGTTTCTTTTGCCTATACAGATCTGAATCTTCATTAATGCGCCGTCACCTTTCAATCTACTTAACCTAGATCATACGGAAGTATGAGTCAGGAAGCATCAATCGACACAACTGCAGCGCGCAGCTCTTCATCTAACAGCTCTGCCTTAGAACGAGGATCAGCGCACTCGACATCATCTTTATTAGAAGAGCCTCCTCTCACTTATCATGAGATTGCTGAGCTTAGCTTCACATTTTGTATCCTTTGGTTCGCAGCCAACTGGGCCACCAACGCATCCTTAGCGTACACCACTGTAGCCAGCTCCACGATCCTGGCATCTATGTCTGGATTCTTTACACTCGCTATTGGTGCTATACTCAAAACAGAAACGTTCAGCGTCTTCAAGTTGATAGCGGTTTGTGCGAGTGTGGCAGGAGTCGCATTGGTCAGTGAGTCTGATCGTGGAGAGAGCGGTACCAATAATTTTATGTTTTCAGTATTTGAAACTGCTTCCGCCGGTCTTGCTGAGGACAGTGCAAAACCTACTTCTCCATCGGCGCCCTTGTTCGGAGATTTTCTTGCTCTCATGTCCGCCATGTTCTACGGATGTTATACTGTACTACTCAAACTCCGGATCCAAAACGAAAGCCGAGTCAACATGTCACTATTCTTTGGGTTTGTTGGTCTATTCAACATAGTCCTACTATGGCCTATGTTTGGGGTCCTCCACTGGACAGGGATTGAACCGTTTGAACTTCCTAGCGACACGAAGGTCATTTGGATGATTGGTGTAAATGCCATCGTAGGCACCTTTGTGTATGTGATTTTTTTTTTTTTTTTTTTTTTTTTTTTGGAGATCTGGGGTTTTTTTTGTCGATATTTCAGTTTGGTTTAACTTATTAATTACATTTTCTCTCGACTATAGATCTGATTATCTCTGGCTACTTAGCATGCTCATGACCTCTCCCCTTGTTGTTACGCTTGGTCTGTCCCTCACCATTCCCTTGGCGTTGCTTGGGGATGTACTGGGCTATGGGCGTGTACTAGGTGCTGCGTACTGGATTGGTGCAGGACTAGTCTTGGCAGGCTTTTTTGGTGTTAATGGCGTAGCATTAAGTGAGCAGAACGAGGAGGCAGAGCGCCAGAAAGAAGTAGCAATCCATTCTGCAGCCCCATGTACCCCCGCCGCTGTTGCAGCGTCGGCACTCATCTCTGAAGAAAGAGGAGAACGGGAGGCACTGTTGCTATCAAGAACTCAAAGTCAAGTGAACTGAGAAAAAAAAGAAAAAAAAAAAAGAACCATATCTACATCTTAATCTTAATTCATAATTTTACACCCCATCCAAAAATTCTTTGTCGCCTGTATCAATAAACTTGTACTATAGCTTCATCTTAACATTGCTTCATCTTATTTATTACAAAAAAAGATATCACTCACAGGAAAAAAAAATGTACAAAGATCTTCTACAAAAATCTTCATGAATATAAGAATCAGATTCATCCTGCCGTTTGAACTAAGGAATAGGAAATTGCGGCCTTTGATAGATCTTGAGACAACTGAAGTATGATGCCTATGCATTATCCTGACCAATGTAGCATTCAGCTCTCCTGATTGACTTGTATACGCCGATTTTTTTATATATATATAATATACATCTTTTTCGATACTTTTGTATTATTTTTCTTTTATGGCTTGTACTCTAGATTTCCATAGCCAAGCTACGCGGCATTGATTATATTGCCTTTAAAGTGTCCTGTGGAGGGAAGCTAATATGTAGTGCTAAGCTCTATAAAAAACGGCGAACGCGAAGAATCAACGCATATGCTCATGGTATAAGGCAATCCGGTTGGGCGCAGTCAATGCGGCCTTTGTATTCGAAAACACGACTGGCTAATGGCACGGATGAAGGCCTCTGAATATAATCATGATACCGAAGACGAAGCTACCAAACTACTTTCAAGGGATTCTGCTTCACGCACTTTACTCATCAATGCAATACACTCCATCAGTTCCTGAATTTCCTGTTTAACAATATCACATAGTTGAGTCATGACTTGAGAAATCCCGTGAATCTATATTTATTGTGTAGGATGGAAGAAAGAAAAAAAAAAAAAAAAAAAAAAAAAAAGTCCATTATTAATGCATAATAAAAAAAACCTTCGAATAACATAAAAGGATTAATGTTTCATCGGCTGATATCATACCAATTCTCTTTCATCTTTTGAGCGTTCATTAAAGTTATTCAACACTGCTCGGCACTCCAAGATCTGCCCTAGCCATTCCTTGAGATTACTATCGTCGATCCCAGGGATATAAAAAACATTACTCTCGTTGTCAAACGCAGCGGAGAAAATCTCATAACGGTCCTTAAAAGACTTCAGATTTGCAGTGACGGCAAGTAGTTGATCTCTCTATAGTGGGGTATCGAGGTAAGAAAGCAACATGATGAGGAAGCGTACGAGCTTAACCAGATATAATGTCTCATACACCTGAATATAGAGTCATACCTGATAACCCAGTGTTGACTCAAGATCCACTAATTCTTTCTCAACCTCAAATCTGTTCTGAAGCTCAAGTAACCTTTCCTTCTTCTTCAGAAGTGAACGTCCAACCAATTCAAATTGCGCCTAAAACCCCAAATATATATAAAAGGGAAATACAAGTTTGTATTAAGTCTCACTAAGTAATGGAACGTTACATCTAAAACCCGTACCCAACTAATCAAAGCAAAGGTTCTTACTGTAGCGGACTCCTCTTGTTTTTGAAAGTGCATCGCTGCCTGCTTGTTCATCATGTGCCATTGCAAGAGTCGTGCTTGAGAAAGATAAAGGGCTTCTTTCCGTTTTGTTGGAGTCAAGACTGCGGATGGTCGGTCTTGACGCGTACTGGTTGTGTCAAGGAATACGGATCTTCCCGATAGATCGACCTCAATGTTAGGCTTATCAATACTAGTCCCGGACGTTTCAAGTGTCTCTTGAGCGGCCTTATTCAAATCGTAGGAGCCAACATTATTCGTTACATCCAGAGTTTTTTCATTTAGGTTATTTTGATTTGCTGTCCGTAATGTCTTTGATAGGGCATGTGTAGACGTAGACGAGAGCTTCTTCTCGACTCGATGGGTTGATGTTCCAAGGTGCCGTCGTACACCCAACAGATTATTAGTAGGTTGGCTCGCTTTGGATAATGTATCAAAATGCTGAACGATCCTTCGAGTGTTGAACTCTTGCACACCAGCTTCTTCTTCTTGATCATTACTGGTGTTTTCATTCCTGATAACATTTTCCTTCTTAGACTGGTCAATACCTGCTGATAATATTGATTTACTATAATTGCTACTGACAGATTTTGTCGGACGGAAAATGGATCGATTCAAAGACTGTAAAGAATGAAATCCAGTTCGGCTGTTGTTGCCTCGTACAGATGCACGCATAGATTTGTTTAATGCGCGCTCTATGGTCGCAAAACTTTCTTGTGTTAGACTCTTTTCAGCTGAACACTTGGTTTTCGTTGTTGAATTTTTTATTACTTTATCAATAGCTAACCTGCTTGAAATGCTTCAAGTTGCATTCTACGCTCCTGAACCGACGGAGGTGCTGGAATGGCTGGCTCATGCTGTTGAGTATTCGATTCTTCACGAGACTCCATTCAAGATGAATAAAGAATTATGAGCTATTTTGAAGAAAGCTGACATAGACCATGCTTGGAATGCACGTGATATACGTCAAAACCTGCAGACAAAATATGATTTCCTTTCTTTTATTACTATATAATTATTGTTTTAATTTGAAGATAGTCCTATCAAACGTTTTCTTGCGATTTTATCATCGTCCGTCTACTACAGTTCTGGTCTATCCTTTCTTTCGCTGAAGAGTTACCGCTTGCGCTCAAAGTACTTTGATGAGGACATGAAACTGATTCCTTGATCCATGACCCATTCTCCAATACCCAGATATTTGTCGACAGCCGAGCGGACATCCTTGTTCTCAATCTTGTTCCTTGCCACACTATATCCCGCAGTACAGTAGTTTCAGTATTATATAAAAAAAAAAAAAATCGTTAGCGATCTTCTGTAAATGCACGGATGGAACTGAAAGAGATAACCTGTCGCTAATTGCTGTTGTTATTAATCATTCTTGGTCGCTTTTTCTTACGTCAAGCCCTAAAGAAACATAATGCAAAGGCGTGTTAATACTAATTGCATTGTCAGTTCCTCAAATGTCAAATGTCAAATGTCAAATGTCAAATGTCAAGCTAAACTTAGGTGAATGCAACTTACAGTGCTTCTCTTGATACCAGCGAGCACAGCCGAGAGAAGGATGGCATCTGCAGCATAATGAACTAGCTTCCCGAACATATTTTTATTGAATTTGGGGGTGAGGTAAAAGTGAATGGTTGGAAGAATAAAATTATCAATAGACCACAATTAAATTCGGCGAATGTCAGGTGGCCCGTGGCTAATCAAAGCCGGCTCAGTGCACAGCCGACCGACCACAGATCTCAAGCATTCCAATGTTATGGTTTTGCTGCATGGAATTTCCCCTCTCTTTCAGCCCCTGTCTTTGTTTGGACTAAAATAGCAAGATCTCGAAATAAACGAGGTTGCTTTTATTGGTAACAATACTACTGACACAGCCTTTAAAGGCATATAAAATGGGGACGTGATGTGATGTTTCTAACTAATTTTATTAAAAAAACGTATTTTTCTTACTTATTTTAGCAATAACAATTTCTACAAGCATGCTCATGAAGACCTTCTTTCCTACTTTGTACCTTGTACTGCAAATCGCACTTTCCTTCCCCTGGTCAATCTCTGCAGTACCTGACACCTCTATTGCAGTGTCCATTGCTCATCTTCAGGAAGCATTTGCAGGAAATTGCCCTAGTGAAACAAACGACGAAACAATCACCTGTGAAGACGCTCTTCCTTATATCAATCAAGCTATTCAAAAGTAAGCTGCAACATTATCTCCCCTATCTGTCTCCAATGTTTCATGCATTCCTTTTTTAACTTTTTTTTTTTTTAACCAGATATGGATTGAGAACAAGAGGTCAACGTGCTGCCTATATTGCAAACATGGCCTATGAAGGTGCTTATCTCAGATACAACTACAACATCGTGATTCGTAGTCAAGGAAGTAAGCTTTCATTTACAGCGTTAATCATATTTATTCATAATTTTTGAAGAAAAAAAAAAAAAAAAACAACTAAAGGTTCTAATTCCCTTTAACAATAAATTAAATAGCGCGATCTATTCTCCCCGCTGTATCCTTAAGGACTTTTGTTGATGCCAACAAAGATGTACAGGACCTTTGGCCTGACTACCCAATGAATGTTAACGAGACTGAGATCGCCGACGTGTTGGTCAAAGCAAACTTAGATTTTGAACCTGGTGCTTGGTGGACGGTCTCTGGTCCTGGCTGCTCTAGAGTTGCATCGCGTCTATCAGACTCTAATAGTAGCTTCGTCGCATGGGAGACTACATGTATCAATGGAGGCGCTGATACAATCGTAGATCGCCTAGCAATTTATAGGAACGTGTATAATGCTCTTCAGTAGAAGTAAAAAAAAGGAGTTAAGCAATAGATTTGATAGAAAAGCATTAGACATGAAATAGTAATAATAAAAAGGATGCATTTGTTCCAAAAAGATAAACCTGAAGAACTTATTTGGAAAAAGATATTTGCACGGCCCCGTACATACCTTAGTTACACTGCTCCCCCCGTTAAATAAAAAAAAAAAAATTATTTGCACGGAGATCTTACTTCAGTCTTAAATACTACTACCAGGAAGCCTTCCACGACACAAGCTCGATACCCCAAGCATCAAATATTGACCAGAATATTTATCTTATCAAAGTCGTACGTATCCCAGAATAGATGTTGATATTATTTATGCGATTCTCGGAGTAAATAAAGAATTACAAACGATTTATAGGTTGTGTATGTCACAAATGAACTGTTTGTCAGAGATTCAAAATAAAAAAAAATAAATAACCCCACTTTGACCGGACTTTCTTTCGGGTGATTGTAGAGCGGAATAGAGCGTGAAAAATATTTTGTAAATAGTAAGCAGTAGAAAAGTAAGTGAGAATAAGATGTGGGTCCACACACCACACCCATGGGGTATTTATTCATTTTCTGGTAAAGGGACTGACTTGTACCAGTCAACTACGTAACGTATCTATAAAATGACAAAGGCTCATTCTAAAAGCCTCATGTCAAAGATTTCTCGTGTCGATGTGTGGTGCGTTATTGCCACTGCTAATCTTTTTTAGCGTATTAATCTTGCTTGGACAATGGTTTTTTACCTGGTTTTTTTTTTTTTTTTTTTTTTTTTTTTCCTAGCTGTGATACATGCAACAAGATGAATTGGCAGGACGATAGGTATTAGAATAGGCAATAGTGGACATCTTCCTAGAATAATTTACCTGTTTGGAGCCCGAAACGAAATCTTGCTGAAACCTTTTTCTAGCGGGTGGTAGAAAGTTGTCTTCGGCAAAGGAATTATCTTCGGTAGAAGGAGCATCCTCAACAGAAGGATCACCTTTACGCTCGTGTATTCTGAAGGTCAATGGTAAATGGTAAATGGTAAATGGTAATTGTGTAAGATTAAGTACACGCAATGTATAATACAGTATAATAAGCCAATAAAAAACCGAACAAAAAGTAGCACACCCTTGTCTTTGCACGGGTCTTTCATTTTCATCTCCACCATCTTCAAAACAATACTTCGTGTGCACACAGGCCTAGCGCCATTTTGCACTGAGTTACTAACAACGCTATTAAAGCAAGCAGTAAACAGGAAAAAACTAAGGATTAATAGTCTATTGCTGAGACGAAAAAATCAAACCGTTGAAAATCAAACTCACCCTTTATTACTTGAGCATGGTCTACATCTACTCCTAGGCAACTGCAGATACTGCATTTATACACTGTAGGAGCTGGTTGACGGTGCTCGCCCTGCAGGTAAGTAATAATGATGGAGGGTTAAAAAAAGAATGACAAAATCTAATGAATATAAAATAGGAACCTTTGCCTTCGAATTGACCCAACATTCTGCACATCGTTGCTGGCAGCGTTATTCAAGTTATAGAAGGTATATAAGCTTAAGCTCAGCATGCACCAACCACTACCATGTCAAAAATAAAATAAAATAAAATAAAATAAAATAAAATAAAATAAAATAAAATAAAAGTTTTCTACGATTGTTAAATACCGAAATCACTCATTCTTCATTATTTGGGTATGAGCTGCGCACATGGCCTGGACGACTGCACCCACATACAGACGTAGAATGGAAGGGGGAGCGAGGCGATTGGGGAAAATCGTTCTGTCTTTATCAGTTGGGAAAATATTATTAATGTTTATATATTCCAAAAACATAAAAACAAAAAGATAAGAAGGCCTTACCACATTCCTTACATTCTGAGGGCATAGTCTCTTGCCATGTCTGTCGCTGCTGCACAGGCTACATGCCATGAGGCGTAGCATTGAGAGGGATCTTTAACTAATATAGATAATAAAATCCAAAAATAAAATAAAATAAAATAAAATAAAAATAAATGTAATAGTGGCAAAAGTAGAGAACAGTGGATAAACGTGAATTATATAGATGTAGTCCCTTCGGAAATAAACCGATATTCTCCTCACCTAATGCAATAACAAAAATAAAGTTAAGCATTTTAGCATGGCGGGTATGCAAGCGAAAATGCTAGAATTTAACTGTTACACTAGATTGTTCCTCGCAGAAGAACTACGTAATGTAAATTATCATTCCCATAGTTTTAGATAGGCTTTCTAGCATTACTTTTGTAGTGTAGGAGGTACTCTTTTATGATCATTACTTGGCTATTTAGCTACCTCTATTATAGACAATGCATCAGTATAGTACGTAGGTCCCTTGTCCTCTTTTTGTGAGGGAGATTGTGGGATTGAAAGAGAGCGAACAGTTGTTCATGTGGAGGTATGCGGGACGGCTGCTGGAGATCAACTCGGTGGAGTGAGTGCCGTTAGACCAAGGACTTGAGCCTGGCTATCCTTAGAATAGGACAAACACATCCTTGCTGCAAGAGCAACCTACGTCAAGCAAGCACTACATCGAAGTTCGGCTGCAGTCTTAAACCTTTCTACCTCATTTTTCCTTTCTTCCCCTTTTTCCATCTCCTATTCAAGCAATGCAAGCAGGGCAGAGCCGATTGGCCTATAAGCCCAGTCATATTCCTTCACCTGTTCTCCTCCTTGTAAGCTCTCTTCAAACCTCCGTCTCACCGGACTTGCCATGCTTTGATGACCCATTTGGCAGGTGGCGAAGGTCTGACAGATGAATGTATGGAACATATCTTTTTTTTTTCTTTTCAAATGAAGAGTGAAAGATATGTGAAGGTAAAGTGTGTGAAAGCAAGGAATGTGATAGAAGAAGGTGTAGAGTGGTAAAGTACGCTAAGAGTTCAGGCCCATAATATGTATATACTCTCGCATCGTATATTGTTGACATTGTGTGAATGGTATACCGTACTCAGAGTAGAGGTCAAATTTTTTTGAGCAAAAATTTTTTGGTGTCGACATTTGCAATGAAGAGAGCACTACCCTTTATTTTCTCTTTTCATTTACAAATAAGATACCTCTTTATTTCCACCCAGGGAGCCATATTGGGGCCAAAGCCACTCTCTGTAGCAGCCACTTTGCCTTCATGGCAGTCACATTTCGGCACGTGCAGACACCCTTTCGTTCCAATATATAGGATGTTACGTCACACTTGGGGCCAATTTAATCTTTAATCGCATGGCGTCTTGTGGAACAAGAAAAAAATTTTCTCACACACACAGCATAGCCCAACCTTGACAAATTTATCAATTGTCGCTCCTTTCTTTAACTTGCTTCACTTCATTTTTGCACTCTCCTCTTCCTTTTCTTCCTTTATCCTCTTTTCACTTTTTTCTTATTTCACCCCAGTTTTGCTCCCATCAATTTTGCTCTTTTATTTATTCCAAGCCTTCATTCATTGCCTTTCCTTTCCTTTCCTTTCCTTTCCTTTTTTTTTTTTCTTTTTTTCTTTTCCTCCCTCAACTTCATCTCTAGACAATTTTGAACCATCCTGCTACTGAATTATCATCCTTTAGCATTTTTATCAACCTTTCCCTATTTTCTGTTCTCCGTCTATTTACGCCCTTGTTTTTAAACAGGTTTGAAAACACAATGGGAAGCAGCAGAACACCATCACGATGCCCATCACCTCGAACTGAACCGTATGAAAAGAAAGAAAGAAAAGGGGAAGCGAAGGAAGAGTCTTCAAGCACCAATGACCCTAAAATCCTCGAGCCAACCGAGCTAAAGATTTTTTGTATTGTTGATGGAGAAGCTTCATGTTTTCCTGTAAATATTCCTTCTGATCGTTCAGTCGGCGAACTCAAGCAAGCCATCAAAGCAGAGAAAGCCAATGCATTTAAGGATATTGACGCTGACCAGCTCACCCTCTACAAGGTTTCCATCCCTGACAAAGGCGAAGCCATCTTTGAGTCAGAAATCGAGTCAAAAGAGGCTCTTACAGTCGCATCAAGGAAGCTTGGGGACATATTTATTTCCGAACTTCCAGAGGAAACTATTCATGTTATTGTCAAGCCACCACAGCGAGGTATGTATTTAGCTCTTGATGGACTGATGGTTGTTGTTGATATTTTCAATTGATGAAGCTTGTTTGCTTATTTTCATGCCCAACACCACGTGATATCACCATTTGGTTTGTGTCTTGATAACTCAACGTTCTTTCTCATTATTCGCTTTTGATACTTAGCTCAGAAAAGAAAACAAGATGAAGATTCTGGTGAGTGCTTTTGGCCGAGAACCTGGTTATTGATCATTTTAGAGTGATGTGCAATAAATCAAGAATATTAACTTTGATCACTCTATCTCCTTTATCAGAGTCACCCTCTAAAAAAGCTCGTCCAAGTATAAGTAGTAGAAGTGCTCTTAGGGATGCGATTACAGAAGCAGGGCTTGTAACGAAAGGGATAGTGAATGATAGGCCTGTAATCTCGCCTCTAAACTCGAAAGAGAGGGTCAAGGTGCTTTCGTACATGGGGGAGGAGTTATCAGGAGATAGTATTTACTACAGCATTGTTAGCGTGGCTTGCGAGCTCCGAAATTCTGGTGGTATCAAGGATTCCAAACTATTGACTGCTCCTGAGGGTTGTATCTTCCCTGTTGCCGGAACAAGGCATCTTTATATCAGAGATGAATATAAAAAGCTTTATGACCATATTACATCTAATTCAGTACCCCTCATGAGCTAGTTTGAACCGACTCTTTGTCACTGGAACGCCTGGAATTGGGAAGTCAGCCTTTTTGGTCTATTTTGCCATCCGCCTCCTTGCAGAGCATGACGAGGAGAATCCACCGATTATTGTTTTCCATGAAAAGAAGAATACCGAATGTTATGCTATGGAGGAACAACTTGCCAAACGTTAAGGGAATATACGATTTCGAAGATTTCCTTGACCAACCTGAAACGTGGTATTTAGTTGATAGTGGTAAAATCCTCAACCAGGTAAAGCCAGGACGATATTTTCAGCATCGCCAAAACTCTCTATGGGCAATACGATGAATCACCAAGGAAAATACACCAAATAGCTACTATCACATGTCACTCTGGAGTCTGGATGAGCTTAAGGAATGTAGAGCCAGTGTAAAGTTTTTTCATGTAGTGATGAAGCATTTTTGGAGGAGCTTTTTTACAACTTGGGGGGCGTGCCAAGACAGGTCTACAGGTCCAGCCAATGTACTATCCAAGAATCAAGGAAATACTGAGCGTGCTAAAGCAGCTGCGTTTTCCGCGTCAAATGCCATTGAACACTCCGGAACCCAGCAGATCTTCTAAGCCTCTTTGCACGAGGAAAAGATGCGAGTGGATTTAGTTGTTTACTCCATAGAGTCCCCACTTCTGACCACCTCACTTCACCTGGTATGGGCATCTCGTTGGGTTGAATCAAGATTATGGACAAAATGAAAGATGACACGTGGGTCGATGTGTTGGCGAACTTGTCAAAGGCGGAGAGGATATAGATAAAGGCCCACTGTTTGAATCTATGCTCATCACTTATTTCGACGTGGTGATATTAGATTTCCCTTTAGGGATCTCCAGTCAGGCGAAACAGGATTTCTTGATTTTCCAGCAAATCCAGAAGAGGTGTTTATCCGGACTTCAGAGGAATTATCAGGGCTCACTCAAGCAGCTGGCAAGTTGTTTGTACCAGAACATTCTAAATTTCCGTGCATTGATTTTGCATTGGGACCCAACGAGCTATTTCAGGTCACAGTATCAGAGAAGCATCCGATCAAGCAAGCACCATTCAAGGAGATAATTGATTGTATTACTGGACCCTGCTTGAAGGGAGAGCAATCAAAGTCGAAGGGAAGTGATGATACTATTCTCCTCTATTTTGTGGTGCCAGGAGACGTATATGACGATTTTAAGGTTCAGAACTTTCTTACCACCAGAAATACGGTCGTCCAGAATCTATATAAATGCTCAAAACATGTAAGACAGCGTGTCATAAAAATCGACATCGAAGCTGCATATTCAGGAGGATCAGCCGGTACGAATCTGAAGAATTAAATCGAATAGCAATCAAGTGGATGAAACTTTGTCTTTTTTTAAAAAAAAGCATTATACCCGTTCCTTGAGAAATTTTTACAATGGTTCATTCTTTATGAATGAAGCCATCATTATCCACTTACCTTCTAGACGAATAAATAGAGCGGTTTAATCCGTCCTCCCTTCTACTGGGGCATTTAGAACTTTATAAAGCTGTGATCATTGTGCGATCTTGTGTGCAAGAAAAGGCAGGATTTTGTGATACTATTATCAAAGAGTTTTGTAAAAACGGATAGAGATGAAGAATCCTGTGGAGAACCCAGTGAGAGTCTGATGATGAGACCCAAAATCATATTATTATCACCAGGACAGCTGGTATTGGAAATTATCCTTTCTCGTATGCTTTGTCATCTGGATGCTTGCCATTTGCGGAAGACCTATCAATTATCATCATCCAGGGCGCCAAAACGTTTACCGGGAGCTAGGATGACAGCTCCACTCTAAAGACATAAATGTCCCATGGTGCGCGTGCACGGGATGGCAACCTGTGGCCAATGAGATCATATTAGTTGTATGTGAAGGCGGCGCGTCTTGAATCTCTAGGCGTCCAGAGACATGGAATAAAAAAACATCAAGAATTTGGCCAAGGCTGCCACGCGCTTGACCGGTAAAATGTGATACGATATTGGATTGTGTCGTCAGTATATTAATAGTTCTCGGTACATTAATGCTACATGCTGTTGAGGGCATCAATCTCGCCAGAATCATCCCCTCTCACATCAATTCATGCTAGACGGATGAAAGATTAGGAGGAAAAGGTCCTTGATGTCTGGGATATCCACGCTTGTTTATAATCTCACCAAATGTTCTGTGTCCTGCGTTCATAGGCGGTTAATCGCAGTTTGGTTTTCGTATACCCCTTGAAGAACGTAAGCAAAAATGCCTTTATGTTTTATATTTGATACTCATCAATTTACCCTTTTTACTCGTCCGAAGGTAGAATGACGCCTAGCCAATGGATGCTATATGCTTGGTCCTGTGGTCGTCTCCGTCCAATGATCACTATAATAGAGAACGTCATTGGACGTGCCGATGCAGGCCTTTGGAAGCAAGAAATCAAGGGCCTGGTGTGGTCGCTCACTGATCCGGGATATAAAGAATCTGGTAACCTATGCCATGAGTAATCTAGAATTCTGAAGCGTATTAACAAAGGGGATGCAGGAATTAAAACCAGTGTCGACATCAGGGAAACCTTCGGTCGAGCCGTAAAGAATGAATAGATTACTATATAGTAAAGACTTGATATTGGAGTACAATGAGCCTGTTCCGTCGAGGTTTCGTTTGCTTGAATTGTCGTTAATCAAAGGAAGAAGGAGTTTACAATTATCGTTGAGCCAATATCATTTATAGCAGCAATTAACTTGTTTGAAGTGGATGACCCTTGATTGGCTAAATTGGTTAATAGTGTGTTGCTAGACGCCCCTACGTCTGGCACAAAGGGCACACATTATGAGTATTTCAGTCCCGCTTTGTTTAATTTCAATCTTCCAGAATTATAACAATGAACGAATTCTTAGATACTCACTGTAACAAAGGCTCTCCATACATCGTATTGATTTTAGTATTTCAGTACCAGTATCACATACTAGTACTGCGTACTAAAATAACGAAAATTTAGTATGACATACTCGTACTGCGTACCAAAATAACAAAAATGCCATTTTTTTTCCACAAACAATCAATCAAGCATGCACTGATCCTAAGCACTCACATTAAAGATACATTGATACTAAAAACACGCCCGCACAAATCATATGTAGTGATACTACAACTTGTTCTATGCAATACTATTATTCTCCAATAGTTCCACTCTTTGCAGATGCTGTGATCGTGTTACCCGCACTCCCAGTTGCCGCATGGCCACATCGTACTGCTCTTGAGGCAGCTTAGTGAGGCAAGTCCGAAGAAAGTGGTAGGACCTTGTAATAAACCACCCTTTCTTGATGTTACTTGGGACCTTGACTACAATTCTTTTAGCTTGCCTCTCCAGCTGACTATTACAGCCCTCACGTGTTGGCAACCTTCCCTTATTGGTAACGACGTCGGTGAGAACACTGAATGGATAGTTTTGCTGTGCTTTCTGTGGCTGCTTAATACAATCCACCTTTGGATCTTCTTTAGAGCTTCCGTGGCTCTCAATTGAATCGTCCTCAGAGCTTCCTTGACTTGCACTTGAACCCTCCTTGAGGCTTCCTTGATTCTCATTTGAATCCCCCTTGGAGCTCCCTTGGTACTCGCCTAAGCCTTCGTTGGAACTAGTAGTGCTGGCACTACTAGAGATATCCGTCTCGTTACCGGCTAATTGGTCGTGGGACCTCAGGTACCATACCTGAGTTGGTTGAAAACCATCAGGAACAATCATTTGGTCACCGACCCATTGTAACTTACGCTGTTTCATACCATCATAGTAAACCCAGCGTCCCTTGATCATAGCCATGCTCGTATAATGCCCCCGGTCTGACTGTGGAGGATAACACCCGCCAAATTAAAATCCTCGCCATCGAGACAAATACATCGGTCTGGGCAAACGAATGGCCCTGGAGAGTCGTGCCATGCTTGAAGGCAGTCGATAATGAGTAGCAGTGGCCATTCAACTACCTCCATTCGGGAATATGCTCGTATGCCACTGCACACATCCAGGGATTCCAACGTCCCACTGTCGACATTAAATGAAAGCATTCGCTTGCGGGGTCCCTGGGTCTGCATTGGCAAAGAACAGGGAGCGTGTTCTTTCTTAGTCGACATGTCAAAGCTTTCTTGATTAATGTGCCGTGCATCTCCCTTCATGAAAAAATAAGCAGAGCTTTGTGTCTCTTTTGAACTTCGATTGGGGCATCCCTCTTCAGAACACGTCGAGTCGTAAGTGATTTTCAATGTAGCCAAGCCTTGCAAATGATCAGTAAAGGTATTCTCAACAGACCCCCATAAGTCATGCTCCCCTTCCGTCAAACCTAAGATCTCTTTGCACCATATCCGTCTTGCCTTGTTGTGCTCTTTTACTAATACCAATTTTACGACTTCTTCCAGTACGGCTCCTTCAGAGGCCTTTAAGGTGGCTGTTGAATAGCACATACCGGAAAACCTACGTAAAAGCACCCAAAGCATAAGAGGAGCGTCTAAAGGGCATGTATTGGTTGCGTCGAAGTCCCCATATTGGATCTGCCAAGGTATTGCGAGGCCTTCCCATTCTTCGTCAATCACTAACTTGGGAACTTTGTTCTTACTTCCTTTAGGGCGGCCTGCTCGACGTTGCCGCTTAAATATTTCAGGGAACAGTGTCTTGTTACAATCTGGCGCGCGACCATCGTTGCTGTGAGCTGCTCTTTTTTTTCTCCCAGGGTACTTATTGGGTGGTATCTTAGCGTCGATCCCTTCAAGGCTTGTTCAATATCGCGCTCGATTAGCTTCAAGTAACGGCAGGCGTAATCATACGTGTCTCCGACATTCATACCCTTTTTATTAGTTGGTGCATGGCGCTTAAAGTCCCCTCCCAGACTCTCTTGGGCATTTGTATCCTTTGAGAACTTTGAAATGTCAACATTAGAAAGAGATTGGAAAATACATTTTGCTCTATTTGGATGCATGTACCAATCGATCCATTTTTTTGTCCTTGGAAAAGATTCTACCAAATCTTGAATAAGCCCATGGAACTTTTCTTCAGCGTGCTTGTCGAGGAGATCTAGGCATTTGCGATTGAAAACCAGTTCTTCTGAAGGTGGAATTACGGCAGAATTTCTCTGCACTCTCATTAAGGACCGACGGAAATGGACTTCACAGAATCTGTAGTGGTTCTCCAGCTGTACTTCATGATTATCATCGAGCCTAAAATATTCGCGGACAGCAAGCTCAAACCCCACACGTTCCGCCTTACTGAAGTCACAGACCATTCCAGAAAAGCCCTCAGTAAATTCAGCAAATGTTTTGAAAGGTAAGTATTTAAACATTGCCAGAAAATGGTGCTTATAGTGCTTTTGTGTTTTTCCAAACAGCATTGACATCACAACAGGCACCGTCCTGTTGATCAAAAATTGAACGCGCTTGTGAACGTAATGTTGATATTTGGAAAATCCTCATCATGGACAAATGATTCAATTGAGTCAGTCTGCATACAGCCATCCATGCTTCGAAGCATCTCCTTCATGAACCCCGCCTGAATAATAATGTGTGCTTCATCATCTTATACTCGCGGTCGAATGCAGCCAAAGAAGTGATATTCCAAGGTTTCTTAATTCCATTTAAGATTTTCCTTCTGTGGTGTGCAGTACGACCGAGGTTATTGAACGAATCATGGAGCTCCAAGACAGACGGTCGAGTATTCGTACCAACTAACAACATCTTGGGCCCCGCCTCTGATGCCACCTTCACCATATCCACGAATGATGCCATAGCCTCTGCGGTCGGCTTAATAGATGGTGGGTGCTGATGGTAGTGGAAACCAGTATGGCGAGCTTTTTCAAGGTTGCCAATGCGCTCGATCATTATTCTTGCCTGGCATGGAACGTGGATCAATTGCTGCTTATGTATCTTACATGGATCCTCTGGAGCCAGGGGGAGTGCGTCTACACTCTTGCTTGCAGGCAGCTTGGGCCTTGCTAGATACTCGCAGCTATCTACCGAACACTTGTAGACTCCAAGACATCGCTTTGTAAACATGGTTTTATTATTTTTCTTGCGGTTTGTTGCGATTAGCAGTCATTTACATGGGTTTTTACTATAGCTGATTTTTACCCTTTTTATTTAACGAAGATCCCCGGATCATAATAAACACATCTTTCTTTCGTTCTCGTTACTTATTATGATCCTGGCATATTTCACTTTTTTTAACGTAGAAAGACAAACCCCTTATTAAGCGGGGATGAGGACCTATTCATACTATTCATATCATCTCAACTATCATTTTCCTCATCATATTTACATATTTATCATACATCCCGCATAAGATAAGTATATTCATTTCAACAATCGCAAGATTTATTTCTTTCCTTTGCGATTTCTACCACTACGACGAACAGTAGGAGAAGGAATGGATTTCTTCAAAAGTTCTATATCAACTTCCAAACTCAGTATCCTCTCATCCTGCTCTTTAACCCGCTTGCAGAGGGCCCTGACAGTGTCCTCAAGGCGTTCCTGCGTCGTCTTGCTAATACGCTGACGACGCCTCGAAGGTTCAGCCTCTTCGTCATCGGTCTCGCTGCGGCTCCTTCGGCCGAGCACAGTCTCAGTGGCACTAGAGGAAACGGTATGAGTGGAGGAACCGATCTCCAAAGAAGGGGATCGAGAAAGATCCCTCAACCCCTTCTTTAGCATACGCTGATGCCGATTGTACTGCTCTAAGGCAGGATCAGCATAGGGATCCAAACTGAGTATGGGATCCTTCCTGAGCTTGAGAATCCTCTTACGTCCACGTTCCTCCTCACTTCCACTACTTTCCCCAATGCTGGTTAGCGAATAGTCGAGGGTGATATGGTTTTCACCCTTCTCCTGAACAGATTGACTTCTGCCCTTATCCTGAGCAGCGGAAGAGGTGATAAGGGTTTTAGGGGAAACAACGTTGGAAGACATGGTGAAAATTTAGTGTTAAGAACTTGTAAAAAGTGTATGTGAAGTGTTGGAAGTGTTAGAGTGTTAAGGTCAAAAAGTTTGAGAAGAGTGAAATGAGGAATGGAGGAATGAAAAATGACAATCAATTTATAATCACAATCATCCATCCCTCACCATCCATGCTTCATTCTCATTCGCCATTGAGATTTTTCTCCATGAAAAGACGATGGCGTGATCCTCAGCTCTAATGGACCAATGAATTATTGAGATTTTGACATGCGTAAAAAAAAAAAAAAAAAGAGAGAGAGCTTTACAAATATTTTGCCTGTGCTAGCTCCATTCAAACACTCCAAACACAAAACAAAGCTTATTTGCTCTCAGAGATACTCTTAATATATTTCTGCACTAGAACAACTCACTTCCCCACAGTTGCATTATTATTATTGAAATATTTATTTTACAGCGTTTTTAATTGTTTTATCCATTTTAAAAAAACATTTATCCATTTTCAATTTGCATTGCTCCGATGGGAAATAAGCTTTATCCATTTAAGCTAATAAAATTATCCTATAAGTTATCCGAATGTGTCTGAAATATTATCCATTTTTTCAAACATAATAACCGAACCGACTGTAACAAATATCCAAACACCATGTCCTTTTCCATGTCCCACAAAAGTCATGGTTAATTCCGCATGACCACTTGGACAAAATTTGCAAACACTTGGATAAATTTCTCAACCCTTTTCGGCCAACTTTTTAACTTACCTTTGGATAAATTTTTTTATTCATTGGAACAATTTTAAAAAAAAACCGATAAAGTTTATTTTAAAATGGATAAAACAATTAAAAACGCTGTAAATCAAAAATTATGATGAGTCGAAGAGCTTGACCCCAAGGTGTGATGAGCTTCTAAACATTGTATCCTCTCTAAAAGAGCATTGATAATATTTTTCTGCTCGTGAATGGTCTTGTCTAGACCATCAATCCTAAGTCCATTCACAAATAAGCTGAAGCCTACACTTATTTTTTTACTTTATTCGAATCATACAATCAAAGTTTTGGTTAAAAAACCATTCTGCTATTCTCGGCTTTTTGCCTTCCCCTTATTCTTAGTCAAAGGACTTGACCCAGAGGCATGCTTAGCTTCTAATTCTTGTAACCTCATTGAAAGAACATTTATAGTCTTTCCTTGCTCGAAAATGACCTCGTCTAGACTATCAATCCTGCTATATGCACCTCGGAGATAATGCAAAACTAGCTTAAATTCATTCGCACATTTACAATCTTGTCCTTTCAACAATCTACTCTTCTTGTTAAACGGTGAAGATGAAGAACTCTCAACAGATCCTGAATAATCCTCTCTAGAACGCTTTCCCTTATATACCCCTCGTGAAGAGCCTGCTGCATTAGTCTGATGAGACTCTCTAGCAGATCCTCGCCTCACTGATTCTCCACTTGAAGTATTAGAGGCATGGGTATGGGGCTCCGGTTCTGGAGATAAGGAATCGGGCACTCTTATTCTAATTCTTGACACGTTCTCCTGGTGGTTGGGTCCAGCAAATCGAGCTCTAATATTGAGAGACAGTGACGCTAGAGGAAGACGATTTTGGCTTCGACTAAGCCTTGCCTCTTGGGCCTCTGACTCAGCCTGTTGACGTGTCATTAGCCTGGTGGTGCGTGAACATGTAGAAGTATTGTTCCTGGTGTTTGAAGACATTATTATTTTTTTTTAAAAAAAAAAAAAAAAAAAAAAAAAGGGAAACTGGTGTAGTCTGAAGTGTTTGAGCAAAGTTTGAAAATGGCTGTGGTTTAGGAATGAGGAATGAAGGAGCGAGAATTGCTTAAAAAATTGAATTTCAACCATTACATTCCCATTGACATCCTCATCCAATCCGCATTCACCATGCATGGCATGACCATCAACCAATCACTGATCTTGATTTTGCCCATGTTACTAAGCGTCACACCCTCACAAACCAATTCAAAATGTTTATTTTGGACCAGGAGACAGAGCAATGTGGGGTAATTATGAATTCCTGCAGATCAGAGCGATCTATTGTTAATTTGCCTCCAAATTTGGAACGTGGTATACAAACCATGCCATCCTGGCGCGTTGTGTCTTAACATGGATAGAGATGATGGCACTCGTATATATATGTATAAAAAAAAAAAAAAAAAAAAATCAGAACCTTTTTCGAACACACACAATTTACATCAAGAAACAATATCTCCTACACCCTCATACCAACCATCATTTTACCACAATGGCCTCTAACTCAACCAACTCCACACCATCTTCTCCCGTCTTCGACGAGCAAACCCCACCTAGGACCTTTGTTTCTACCCTACCGGAAGAGACAATGATGCCCTTGCCCGGAACAACCCCAGTAGGGCATCCTCCCACGCTTGCGGAAGCGGAAGCCCCGTCCCAAGCGTTGTTGAGCCAGCTGAAAGAATCACTTATACAAGCTGATGCCAACCGCCAGCAGTGTTTGAATGAGAAGATGAAATTGGCCGTTAAGTACAACACGACAATTATCAACCCAGCCTTTCCTCCCGATGAAGCTGAAGCAGCTAAGCTGGAGTTTGAGCAGATGAATAAAAATTTCACTGACAAGCTAGAAACAGCAGAGGCCCATTATCAAATGATTAAAGGCCTGATCAACACTCAGGAAGCCATGAACAAATCTAGGCAACCTGCTGCTACCCTTCATGAGGATCAGTCGCTTCCAGAAACTGAAACGCAAGACTCTAACGGTCTCGATGTATTTCCTGTCATTGGGATCAAGAAACATGTCGCATTGGCGAGAGTCTTCAATTATAAGAGGATCCCCATTATCGACAAAGCATCCATGGAAATCGATTATTCCAGGGTGCAAATCCAAGAGAAATCAGGAGCCCCTTCGCTTCGATTCCAGCTTAAAGGAATTCCCCTGAAGGATGTCCCATTCAAAGTTATCAAGACTGTCGTGGACTTTCAGAAGTCCTTCAAGACCCACTATACCAATTATCTGACTGATGATCTGTTTGACGACATGGCGTGGAGGTATATGAACCTAGCGCTAGTCCCTACAGGCCTTCATGAAGAGTACGACCGACTTATCAAGACCCCTGTGTATCAAAACCGATCTTGGCATCAAGTTAAAAGATGCATCCAAAAGATCTTGAAGTTCGATCTCATTCGTTCCCTGATCATAAGTCAAATTGGTGACCTCGCTCCTATGTCTGGTGAAGACGCTAATTCCTATGTGGACCGGATAGAGCTGCTCATTGAAGCCGGAGGTCTGCAGCTAATGGGTGTTCTTTTATATGGGAAAATCACCTCGACGCTGTCAGACGCAGGCAGAGAGAAAGTCCTATCTGAGTTTCATTCGCTGGATACCATTACGGACGTAAACCAGCTTCTTGAGTTTATCAGAATGAACCCTAGTGTCCTTTCTGGTGAAAGAAGAAATCCATGTGCGTGGTTTATAAACAAATTTGGGAACGAGCTGTCTCCCACCAAGAATGCAGAGGACAACCAACCTAAGGAGGTTCAGCAGCATCGTCGACAATCAAGAACCCATTCCAAAAGGGTAGAAAGTCGCCATCCCTATAACACAGGGAAAAGAGCCCAAAGGGCCGGCAATTCCAATCCTTGTAAGGACCCTACTTGCGTCTCCCTGAACAGAAAACATTCAGATGCAGACTGCTTTCGGCATACAAATCCAAACAAGTTTGCCGAGCTTAACAAGCAAGCTCACGGAAGAGACAAGAAGGGGCCTATTCAATATAAGAAGGTAGCCTCCCTGCGTCAAATGAAAGAAGATAGCTTTGATGACGTTCTAGGAAATGATCTTGAACTCGCAATAAACCGAATGGATATTTGCCCTTATGTTGACAGCCCTACCGGCCCTTCATCAGATACACCTAAGTATTCATCTTTGATTCACAAAACCGTGTCTATAAACCATTCCTTAAAAATAGCAGCGACAAGTGCTGTATTAAATGTTAAACAACCACAATCAAAAGCACCACATCCGTATGACAATTATGCGGATCCCAAACCGAGTAGAAATATTGGTTATAGAGGACCTGAACCGGAAGACAACAGAATATCTGTTCCCATTACTATAAATGGCCTCTTATACACGGCTTTACTTGATCCTGGTTCCAATGTATCCTTTATCAATCGAGAAGTAGCCAAAGACCTCAAAATAAGGACTACAACCTCGAAAAACACTGTAATTAGATTTGCAGATGACACTACTGGTTTTCAAAATGTCGGCACAGTAGATGCTATTATTCTCTCTTGTAATCACCGAACAGTAGAATGCAGAGTCAGTGTGATGCCTATGGGCTATTACGACTTCCTTATCGGAATGGATCTATTTTACCGCTTCGGCTTTGGGATCCATGGCATAGCTACAGCTGTTGCTGAAAAGACAGGTGATTTCTTAGATGATGAAAGTAAACCGCCACTTGTACCCTCCATTATGAAAGACCAAGAGTTAGAAACTGAGTTCATCGAACAGAAGAAACAGTTCTTATTAGCCATTGAGCCCTTCCTTTGCTCTAATAGCCAGATAGACCCCAAGAGTCACTGTCCACTAGACGTTATGAGAGTCCATCTAAAAGTCAGAGATGACTGCGTGATTCAAGAACGCTCTCGTAGGTTCTACGCGCAAGTAGAAATGGATGAAGTCAATACCACCGTACAGAAATGGCTAGACAATGGAGTTATAGTTGAGGCGCCTAAAGGTAACCCCTACAACAACTCTCTCACACTTGCAGCAAGGAAGAACATAGAAGGCGAAATTATTAAATACAGAGTCTGTCTTGACCCAAGAACGCTGAATAAGCAGCTCGTGGATATTGATAACTTTCCTATCCCTATCATTTCCGAAATATTGGAACGAGCTGCAGGCCATAAGTATTTTACTACAATTGACTTGTCACAAGCATATCATAGATTACCTCTGGATGAGAAAAGCCAACCCTACACGGCATTTAAGCATATGAACAAACAATATATGTTTGCTCGTGCTCCTTTTGGATTGAAGCCTATGACTAGCATCTTCCAAAGAGGAATGTCTCAATTGCTTGGAGATCTTCACTTCGTTAGCGTTTATGTTGATGACATTGTCATTTTCTCCGACAGCATTGAAGAGCACACTGAACATGTCAAAATGGTGATTAAACTATTGACAAGTGCCAATCTGATTATCAATAAGGAAAAGAGCAATTTCCTCCGCATGGAAGTTTTGTTGCTCGGGTTCGTCATCGATGCAAATGGTAGAAGGATTAATCCAGAAAAAGTTGCTAATGTTCAATCATGGACTCCTCCCACCGATGGCAAAATGGTACAAAGATACCTTGGATGTTTAACTACTTCAGAGAATACATACCCCTCTTTAGTACTTTGGCAGCACCTTTGGATAAATTGAGAAACGTCAAAGGACACTTTACACTAGGTGATCTAGAATTGCGTTGTTTTAATCAGTTCAAACAGCTCATCATATCAGCACCTGTATTGTCATTCCCTGACTTCTCTCAGCCCTTTTATGTGGCCACTGACGCGTCTAATCTAGGTATTGGTGCAGTTCTTTATCAATTACCAAATGGTCCTGAAGATGACACCAAAGTCAATTATATTTCTTTTATGGCTAGAGCTTTAAAGAACCACGAACGCAACTACCCAGCATATATGAAAGAACTTTTAGGCATTATCTATGCTTGCAAAAAGTTTCACTACTACTTATGGGGTCGCAAATTCACCCTATACACTGATCACAAACCACTCACTTATATTCATGAACAAAAGGAACTTTCACAGATCTTAGCGGACTGGAGAGAAACCCTTCTCAGCTATGATTTCCAATGCATCTACAGACCTGGATTGCTGAACATTATTCCTGATGCGCTATCGAGAGCTTTTCCTGATGAATTATGGGCCCGAGAAAATAGTCCGACCCATCCAGAGTCTTCTCAATCAGAGTCTACAAGAGTATCTGCAGTATCAACGAGACGCAGCTTACGCTCCACTGACACAACTGATCCTCTAATAGTTACGCAATCAGCAGATCTTATTCCAAGGATTGAAAGTCTTGATACTTCTTTACCTTATGTGCACCAGATTCAAGATCAAGAAGTGCAACGAGTGGCGCCTACTGATGATCAGCAAAAGCAACTTTTGAAAGATACACACAGCTTTGGACACCTTGGTATTAATGCCATGGTTTTATCATTGCAGCAGCAAGGGTATAACTGGCCCAAAATGCGTGAAACCTGCAATCAGTGGATAAGACAATGCTCTGCTTGCCAGCACTATAATATCGTGCGTAAAGGCCATCCACTCAAAGCAATACATGCTACTCTACCAGGCGAGCACATAGCCTTTGATCTAGCCCAATTTCCTGTCAGCGACGCAGGCAACGAATACGCTCTTCTCGCCGTAGATGTATGCACGAGGTTTGTTTTTATCGAACCAATACCTAATCGTAATGCGGTCACTGTCGCCGCTCGACTTTTCAAATTATTCTGCTCCATTGGGTTCCCTAAAATTATCCAGAGTGATAATGGGACTGAATTTGTCAACTTAGTTGTCAGATCGTTAACTACCAAGCTTGAGATTGATCATAGGCTTACTACGCCTTATCATCCTCGGGCCAATGGCTTAGCAGAACGTAATGTCCGTACCCTTAAAGATCTCTTGCAGAAATCTATTCAAGGCGAAATCACTAAATGGGATGACCAACTTCCTATGGTCCAGTTACAAATGAATACTAGAATTGTTAGCCTTCATGGCTCGGCGCCTTTTTCGCTGTTTTATGGTCGATCTTTCGCTGGAATATCTGACTTCTCAGCATTGGAATCACGATTGCTATCTGAATCAGAATTGAATGAGCGCTTAAGGTATCTTACTGACCTTGTATTCCCTGCTATTGCAGATAAGAGTACAGCCTCGCAGCAGAAGATGGTGGATAAATTCAACTCAAATCATTTTATAACTGACTTCCCTATTGCCGCCTATGTGATGATCAAGGACCCCTTGGCTAATAGTACATTTGATAATAAGTACATTGGGCCGTTTCAAGTAGTTCGCCGCACTGTTCGTGGTACATATGTTCTCCGTGACGCGATGAGACAACTACTACCTCGTAATTTTGCTCCTGAACAGCTTAAGCTAGTGGATCGACCACTTGATGCTTCGGATGACGCCGATGATCATTATGAAGTCGAAGCTATCTTGAGTCATGAAACTTCTGAGGGGGGAGAGACACTGTACACAGTTAAATGGAAAGGATATGACGATGAGCACAACTCGCAACTTAGGTACGAAGATTTTGACTCCAAAGCAATGATCAATAAGTACTATAAAAAGCTTAATCAGCAGAACCCTCATATGATTGCCAAAATGGCTAAGAGGAAGCAACCTGCAACAGTTGTAGGGTCAAGGGCTCAGAAAAGACATAAGAACAGAAGGTAGAAGCAAAAAAACGAATGTTGCTTCACTAAGGTTTTTGTACGCATGCGTTAACAGCATGAACGTTTTCCTCACTATCAAATCAAATTTAAGGTTTATTATTTTACCCTTTTTTTATGGTCGCATCTAAAAAGAAATGCAGACGCTGAAGGTTTTATTTATTTTCCTTCAAAGAATTTATTTATTTATTTAATCAAACAAGAAGGTTTTTAGACTTTTCCTTCGACACTAATTATCCTAATAGGAAGGTTTTATAAATTTTCCTTCCAAGCTTTATAAGCACTCGCTCTTACCTGGACGCTCGTCTGGAGGGGGAGTTATGTTGCGATTAGCAGCCATTTACATGGGTTTTTACTATAGCTAAGATTTTTACCCTTTTTATTTAACGAAGATCCCCGGATCATAATAAACACATCTTTCTTTCGTTCTCGTTACTTATTATGATCCTGGCATATTTCACAGTTATTGTATACCAACATGGACCAGCCGGACCCACATCCTGGCTTACGTCGGCGAGTATTGTCATCACCATCTTCACTGCCACTGGCAGTGATGCTAAGGTCTTTTTCATAGAATCTCTCTCCATTTGGAAACTCAAAAGATGAAATGATATTGGAGAAAGCATTCTATTGAGGATCGATACAACAGTTGTTTATTGAGAACATATTTTGTAATTTTCATATCTTTCAGTACATATATATACGGTGACTATTTTTAACCTTTGAAGGGGATCCATGAGGCAACATTGGTGAAAACTTAGGTGAGGGCCTGGAACGATGGGTCGCCTTAGACTCGTCTAGTGGCTGTACAGGCAATAATGGCGAAAGAGGGGGGGAAAGCGGTGCCTCCAGATTGTCCTGCGTAGGGTCAGATATAGGCCTCTTCTTTGTAATCTTGCCCTCGGACAGAGTCTCTGTATAGACATTCGCACTTGGCGACATAAGGCGCGAGAGAACCTCAGGTGCTGTTGAAAATACTGGTGCTAGTCCTTGATGATTCGGCTCAGATGTTGGCGGACGGTGAGGGTTACTGGGAAACGAGCAGAGGCACTGGTGCGAGCTTTGGATGGGATGACGTGAATGGAGTGCGCATGGGCAATGGGATGCTGAGCAATGGGATGATAGACAATGTACTGAGAAATGAGTTCTTTGCGCCAGAGGGTCAAGCTTGTCGCTCTTTTTGGCTAGACTCTTTCAAATATAAATGGTTTACTTAACAAAAGTGACAAGCTTGACCCTCTGCTGCGCCCTAAAGATTATCACGTCACAATGACCAAGAAAATGGCACGTGGCTGATTTGAAAAAAATATTTTTTCACACATTAAAATAAAGGATCACTTTTTTCATATTTCACCCCAGTTTTGCTCCCATCAATTTTGCCTTTCCTTTCCTTTCCTTTCCTTTCCTTTTTTTTTTTTTTGCCTTACACATTTTTCATTTTTGTTTTCATACAGCGACCACGAGTGTGAAAGAGTATAGAATATACCTTCGCCTATTTAACCATCATTCTCCCTGCATTTCAACCACACTCAGTCCCACTCATCTTAATTTTCAATGGCCGCCACAAGGAGCTCAACACAAAAAAACATGGCTGCAAATGATTCCACAGAGAGCCAAGCACAAAAAAAAATGACTGCAAATAAGCCTGAGGATGCCTCCACACTCAATAAACGAAAAAGAGTAAACCAGCACCCACAACGAAAAAAGCGCGCCATCCCACTGCTACTGCTGAACTGCGTTGTCGAGGGAGAAGCAACGTCGTTCCCAGTAGAGATTTTCTGCGATAAATCGGTCGGGATGCTCAAGCAAGCCATCAAAACAGAGAAAGCCAATGCATTTAAGGATATTGACGCTGACCAGCTCACCCTCTACAAGGTCTCCATCCCTGACAAAGGCGAGGCCATCTTTGAGTCAGAAATCGAGTCAAAAGAGGCTCTCACAATCGCGTCAATGGAGCTTTGGGAGATATTTAATTCTGAACTTCCAAGGAAAACTATCCATGTTTTTGTCAAGCCACCACAGCGAGGTATATCCTTGGCTCTTGATGGACTGATTGTTGATATTTTCAGCTGATGAAGCTTGGTTTGTATCTTAAACGGCCATGTGCATAATATCACCATTTGGTTTGTGTCTTGATAACTCAACGTTCTTTCTCATTATTCGCTTTTGATACTTAGGTCAGAAAAGAAAACAAGATGGAGATTCTGGTGAGTGCTTTTGGCCGAGAATCTGGTTATTGATCATTTTAGAGTGATGTGCAATAAATCAAAAATATTGACTCTGATCACTCTATCTCCTTTAGCAGAGTCACCCTCTAAAAAAGCTCGTCCAAGTATAGGTAGCAGAGGTACTCTTAGGGATGCGATTACAGAAGCAGGGCTTGTAACGAAAGGGATAGTGAACGGTGACCCTGCCATCTCGCCTCTAAACTCGAAAGAGAGGGTCAAGCTGCTTTCGTACATGGGGGAGGAGTTGTCAGGAGATAGTATTTACTGCAGCATTATTAGCGTGGCTTGCGAGCTCCGAAATTCTGGTGGTATCAAGGGTTCCAAAATGTTGACTGCCCCTGAGGGTCGTATCTTCCCTGTTGCCGGAACAAGGCATCTTTATATCAGAGATGAATATAAAGAGCTTTATGACCATATTACATCCGAATTAAGTACCCCTCATGAAGTACCTTGTTTGAACCGACTCTTTGTCACTGGAACGCCTGGAATTGGGAAGTCAGCCTTTTTGGTCTATTTTGCCATCCGCCTCCTTGCCGAACACGATGAGGAAAATCCACCGATTATTATTTTCCATGAGAAGCAGCATACCAAATGTTATGTTTATGGAGGAACAACTTGCAAACGTAAAGGGAATATAACGATGTTCGAAGATTTCCTTGACCAACGTGAAACGTGGTATTTAGTTGATAGTGGTGAAAATCCTCAACCAGGTAAAGCCAGGACGATATTTTCAGCATCGCCAAGAACTCTCTATGGGCAATACGATGAACTCACCAAGGAAAATACACCAAATAGCTACTATCACATGTCACTCTGGAGTCTGGATGAGCTTAAGGAATGTAGAGCCAATGTAAAGTTTTTTCATGTAGTGAGTGAAGCATTTTTGGAGGAGCTTTTTTACTACTTGGGGGGCGTGCCAAGACAGGTTCTAGAGTGTCCAGCCAATGTACTATCCAAAAATCAAGAACATACTGAGCGTGCTAAAGCAGCTGCGTTATTCCACGTCAATGATGCCATTCGCGTAACCTGGCTCCCAAGCAATCTTTCAGACCTCTTTAGAGAAGGAGATGAAGCGGGTAGTTGTTTACTCCATAGAGTCCCCACTTCTGACCACCTCCACTTCCACCTGGTATGGGCATCTCCTTATGTTCGATCGCGGATCATCATGAAGTTAGAAGATCAGACTTGGATCGACGTGTTGAAGCGACTTGTCGAAGTTGGCAGTGAAATAGAAAAAGGAGCTTCGTTTGAACTCTATGTTCACTATTTAATTCGATGTGGTGGACTTAGGTTTCCATTTAAGGATCTTCAATCAGACGAAACAGGATTCTTTGATCTTCCGAGGGACTCCTCGGATGTATTATTTACCAGGACTACAGCAGATTTTTCAACATTCTCCAAAACAACAGACAAGTTGTTTCTACCATCTATACCCAACTTTCCGTGCATTGATTTTGCATTGGGACCCAACAAGCTATTTCAGGTTACAGTATCAGAGGAGCATCCGATCAAGCAAGCACCATTCAAGGAGATAATTGATTGTATTACTGGACCCTGCTTGAATGAAGGCCAATCAAAGCTGAAGGGAAGCGATGATACTATTTTCCTCTATTTTGTGGTGCCAGGTTACATATATGATAATTTTAAGGTTCAGAAGTTTGTTATTAACGATAGTCAGGATGCCAAGGCAATACCTGGATACTTGAAACATGTAAGACAGCGTGTCATAAAAATCGACATCGAAGCTGCATATTCAGGAGGATCAGCCGGTACGAATCTGAAGAATTAAATCGAATAGCAATCAAGTGGATGGAAAGTTGTCTTAATTATACCTGTTCCTTGAGAAATTTTTACAATGGTTCATTCTTTATGAATGAAGCCATCATTATCCACTTACCCTTTAGACAAAGGCGATAGCGCTTTTAAATCGGTCCTACACACATACTTATTGAGGGCCGTCATAACCGCTGTTGCATATTTCGTTTAATTGCAGCCCTCCAGCCCACATAAATAGGATCTTTATATATAGAAAACAAATGAATAAATGCTCGGATAATGTGGTGCTGCGTGCAATGTTTTAACTTAATTGATATTGCTTATACATGATCTCTGTCACTCAGGAAATTAAAAACAAAACCTGTGAGGAAAAAATAAACCTCAACGTGCAGATTATTATTTTTTGCCAGTAAAAAAACCTCTGCGATACTCTCTATGAGCGTTATGATGCCATTCTCTTGGATCGTGTTATTCGTCTATTTTTTGAGTTGGCTTTATCAGATGGCTGTACCTTTTTTTGGCTTATTAACCTCTGGTGTTGCTTCAGGAGATGCTTTCGACTCGGGAATTTTTTCAAATTTAAAAAAGAGACCTCCAGCCAAAATGTCAAGTTTGGTCCCAGCCTGAGAGAGAAGTGTCTGCAAGAGCAAGCCAGATTTGCCTTTCAGTACGTGCATGTGCACATGAACTTCGTCACCAGAGGTCGAAGCCACCTGCAGCGAATGAACGTGCTGCAAGGCAAATTGTCCGCTCTTAGTGACGAGCCTATCGTCAAATGGCAATTCATTTGAGAGAGGATTCCTATTCCGCCACTCATAGAAACAACTTGCCACTTGCTTGAGAAAATTCTGATGATGCAGCTGCGGCAATCCGCTTGGTGTGCTCACTTCTCCTTGCTCAGGTTTATTGAATAGCGATATTTTAATTTATCTATTAGTGCTATATTACAAAATTGTGTCTGTGCCATTGTCATAAACAATGGCGAGCAAAAAGAAGTAAAAGAAACGATCGCTACTTTTTCCTTGGTCCCTTATCCCTGCTTGGCCTATTGGACTTGTTGTCCTCCGCTTGAGTCGACTCACCTTTTCTTTTATTTGATCCGCTGGGTTTGCGCAGTTCTTCCCTATTTTCATCTGCAAATACCACAACTACCGTCTAATGCGATCCTGATATTGTTAATGCCCTTACGTTTTCTTCGCTAGACCGTCACAACCCTGACCTGCGTCAAACGGTGAAGGTGAGAAGTAGGCTCGTCAACAGCCTGTGTGCCTTATATGCGCTGCACCAATGCTCACTGACAGGTTGAGTCCAAACTCGAGATATCAAAATAGCCTTCGTTGAATCCATGGGGAGGAAAGACACCAAGCCGGCAACAACAATTGGATATGATCAGTTGCATATTTCACAGTACACGTGTTACATGAAGATTTATAATACAGACATACTAACGGCTCTATGCCCCATGGTGTGGTGCCCGATACAAACTTACAGTTTTATTTTGATACAAATTTGGATAAATGCCCCATGGATGTGATGTGTGAACCCACATCCTATTCTCACTTCTGCTCCCTGGTTACTATTTGTCTGTCTAAAATTTTTCATGAGCTACTACAAACATGACTAGGTCGGGAAAGACCTTCGTCTTGAAAAAGTTGTAAGTATTAGCTTGACAGTGCTTTCTTGACTAATCTCTTTATTTCTATGCTTGGTCTAGATGGTGTTTTTTTATGGGGAGGACTATTTAGACAACATATAGACCCCACATATCTTAATCCTAATAAATTGGCTTGGTGGCATTGTTGTAAAAAATATCTTTGCTTAAGGGACAGAAAGATAGACACAATCAGGATAAGGCAGGACAAAGAGTGTCAACAAGATTGACAAGAGAAAATAGAGTCAAATAACCTTGACTACAAACAGCACCATAGAATGTCAAAAGATGGGAGCTTTATAGGTGAGCTCACAAACTGAGTTACCGGAAGACAAATGCTTGTTGTGAAAAGGGGAAAAAGATAAATGGCAAGATGAACTGCAGGTGAAGAATAAGACATATGGGGAAAACTGAAGACTTTATTAAGAAGGAAGTTTCTTTGGCTTTTATACTCGGTAGTTTCTAGGTGAGGCGGACCCGCCTATGACTACAAAGGCTTTGCGCAAAGATTCCTTTAAGCTGGCTCGACAGATTAGTGGATACAAAATAATTTTAATGACCAGTCACACCACTTGCAATAACAAGCGAGTCAATTGGCTGCCATTACATTTAAGAGTATTCAAAAAATATAAGGGATCGCGACCAAATGGAACGGGCTATATCCATTTGAGATGGAGGGATCGAGATAATACATCTTGATTGACGCGATGTGATATGTATAGACATAGTAGACATTGATTGACATATAGATATTGATATAGATCGATATACACCCAAGGATGTGTGTCCCACATTCGTCCGGCGGCATATATTTTGCAGGTCGTTTTTGCTCTCTTGTCTGCGACTCACAGACCCTTGCGATGTTCTCAGCACCAACAGCATCTCGATCAAAGTATGCTTTACAATTTCGACAGTACTTGGATCGAAAAGGAACATTCTCCAATATACTGTCGCAGTGAGGCCGTGGACACTTGGCAGATGTGTAGTATTCATGACAACCTGCAATGGGGTAGTCTAGAGATTTTGCCTGTTCGAGCCAGATTTAATACTCGTTAAAAAAAAGACTCAAAAATTAAATGTCATTGATCAAGGGATTTTTTTTTTACCTTTTCAACAAGCTTCTTCATCAATATCCCATGCTTCGATACTTGTCCTCGGTTTGTCTTGAATGATCCTAGTCCAATACAGATCACCGCATTCGTATTGGCATCTCTTCTTCTTCCATTGCTTCCGCCCGCAAGCTTCAGAATTGCCTTGATCACATAATCAACCCATCCGTTCTGTGCTTTTCTATTATCCCAGCTATTCCGAACAAACCACCCGTCATTATAGAAATCGACAAGCGCCCTATATATAGTCTCCTTATTGTCGTCACTGGTCCCATGCTGCCTGGGTGTCATATTTAACTTCTACATTCTCGAGGAGACGGGATCTCTGCTTCCAGTTGATCCCACGCCGGGGACTGGGACTCACCGGGGACAGTGGATTTGTGCTCGATGTACCTTCTTCAGCTGCTTCTTCTCCCTCGTCGCCATCTAAGAATGGTTCATCAACTTCCAGCAAGTCAATATCGCTGATACCCAGCAAGATATCGTCATCTTCATTTCCGTCGTCGTCTCCATCATCACCACCATCGCCTGCACCATGGCCTGAAGACGAGGATCCCTGCTGAGCACTTGAAGAAGCCTGGACTGCTTGAGATCTTTGAGTATCCGAAGGTTGGGCAGCTTGCGAACCTCTACCTCTTTTTTGCTTCGATGTGTCATAGGCAAGAAGTGTTAGGGTAAGGCCGTTTGTAAAGAACGATGTCCGTAGTTTCCTTCTAGGGCCATCATCAGGTTGCAGTCCAACGTCCTTGTATCCTTTCAAGGAAAACAGCTCCTGCAACAATATCCCCTTGTGGTTAAGGATCTTGTCCTCTGCAGCCCCCTTGGTACTCATGTTTAGTTCCAACAATTGGACTATTTCCTCTCGAACTGTTGGGTTAGACCATAATACTCATGAAGACTTTCGCATGACTCCATTGTCCGCTTGGGGGGCCTCATTGTATCGTTTATTGATTGATTGATGTGATATAGTGATGATAATATTCGTCGTATGATTGAGGCAATCTGAGTTGATTCGTTCTACAGCCTGACTAACTTGATCTTTTTCTGTACAGCTCGACGAGACTTGATTTGTCGCATCATTTGCCTACTCGTCTTCTTGCGTTCCCTTGATGTATTTGGGTTGATAAACACTGCTAATAGAGTTTGTTGGGCCTGTTGAAACCAGAGGGAACCACAGCAACATATCATACCCAAGGTGATACAAATATCTCTGTTGGAGTGAGTGGTGAACTGTGTGTGGTTCAGATGTAGTGGACATAAACGGCGAAAGAATGCATCGAAAGGATGTGAGCGGTTATGAGAGCAAGGAAGAAGGGGTTGGTATGCCTGTTCAAGTCCTTGGCAAGAGAGCATGAGTAGCAGTTGTGATCAATGGTATAGTTTCTAGACCCTATCTTCCACGTACAGCATTGCATTATTGTTGTTTTCAGACCTGGCACCAATCATGCGAGGTATTTCTTTTTCTGAGGGTTCCTTGTGTTAAACGGCCAGACAGAAAGCTTAGAAGAGTTACAGACACAACGGTGAAAAAAATGTATGTGAGCAAACAGTTTGTTTATTTGTTGTCTGCATATGCCTTCTTTTATCGCGGGCTTTTTCCTTTTTTGTTCGTCAATCACTGTGTGCACGAATAAGCAGCTGAAGCATCTCTTTTGTTTCTGTACATGCACAAACACATTTTGCTAAAACACAAGCCTTTCCATTGGTGGAGCTGTTGGAGCAAAGAGCATCATATGAAGCCATTCTCTGATAAAAAGAAGAAAGAAGACTTTTTTTCTTTTGTTGTTACCTTTGACAAGGATGTAGCCACCTGTTTCAAATCAGTTCCTACAGACCGAGTCAAATCTACCCATGTATTCACCACAGGAGCACAAAGATATAACTTTGTGTAGAGAATCCTCATGCATATTCTGCAGTCGATTGCTCTCTATTAAAGCTCTCTATTTTTTTATTGTTCGATGAGCTTTTCTTGCCAGAGAACAATGGAATGAAAAAAAAAAAAAAAAAAAAAAAAAAAAAACAGACTTCCTTACGTCCCCCCTCGGTATGTGTATCTGTCTGAACACGTTCTAACTGACATCCTCTCGACAATCCTCCCAAGGCTGCAGTGTTTGAATGTGTACAGGGAACAAAAGAGGTCTAGATACAGGCTCTCTTTGTGACATTGAAGGAGATCGCATGTTTCATGGCTATCGAGACAAGGTACCCCTACAGGCACAAGACAAAGGTATAACTCGGTTCAAACTCAAAGGGACGATTCTACCAATGGCCTTGTTCTGAATCCACTTGCCTATGGCACAATCCAGACGAAGAGATAGCAGCAGTCTGACGTAGATGAAGAAGATCTCAGCCAGGGATTGAAACTTTCACAAGGGTTCTTTAACACGGCGTGTTTTAAAGGCAGCCGGTGAAGACCTGACTGATGAAGACTACGCAAACATAAACTGGAAGAGGAGCCCCAAACTTCTTGAAAACGTTGGACTCATATTCCATGAGCTAGGGCGATGCTCCATAGCTTGAGCTTTATCGGCAATTCTCTTTGATGTCCTCCTTGCCTGTGGTTCTTTGGGCTTGCTTCCTTCTCCCTCATCCTCCACAGCTCGAGTCAATTCTGACTTCTTGAGGGACTCCCTTGCACTTTCAAGGAAGTTCAACAAGCTAATATTGAGTACGTCGTTTCTATTCGTTTTGTCTTTGATGGTAGGAACTTCTTTGACTTTAGCTAGCGAATAATCACCCTGTTCGTGATAAGGCAACATGATAAGGCAACGTGATAAGTAAGGCCTAAACAACAGCAACAAGGATATGCCATTCGAGCAAAAGCCGAGAGAAGACGGTGATGAGAGGTGTTCTTTGATGCAATTATGGCAAGTTGTATTGTGGGCATCCTTAATTCTTGACCTTCTCGCCGATTTTTGACTGTACGGAACCAGGATAATATTTACCCTCCGATTCTAATACAAA